AAAGAAAAGAAAAAAAGGAGGAAAGGGGGAGGGAAAAAAAAAAAAAAAAGGTGTGGGGGCTGGATCGAACCCCCCCCCTCTGTTTGACCCAGGTGTTCCTGAACAGAGGGGAGCTTAGAGGTACGCGGTATTTAAATCCTGAACGCCATACCCACTGAGCTACCGGGGTAGCTCACAGAAAATCAGTAACTTTTGTGTCTGATATGGACCTCTGTACTTCCTAATCGGGAAGGTGGATCCACCACCATCACGTGACACAGAGCCTCATCGAATGCAAACACTGCCTTTCCCTCCAAGCCCTCGGGGTCACCTACTTAGGTACTTTCCTGTCTACGTGGACGGACAAATGTCACTTGTAGTATTATACAAGAGCCATTTTCTAGTCTTTTTAACGCTGGATACTCATGATGCAATTGTATCTATCTCTCATATGCTGTGTTCAAAGTAATTAAATCGTATCCAAATGTTCTAGATGGAATTTACGAGTGAGATGCGTCGTAATAAACGTCCAGCAGACAGGCTGCAGACCAGGATTGGGTGGGGGACTGGGTAAAGCATGTTAGTAACAATTCAATGGAATATGACAGGAGAACTAACCGAGTCGTTGCAATGCGCGCCAGCCTGGTTAGACAATTCAGTCAGACCCTTCCAGGGGCTCTCCCGCAAAGCCTTCTTGCAGCCATCAAGTCGGCGAGTGACCTGCTGGAAACATTCGGTTCGTTCTTCTGGCGTCTTCCGGCGCAGAAGATCAAAGTGCAGCAGGGCACGGAGGAAGTAGCCGCGTTGCCAGACCCATTCTGGGCCCTGGTGGTAGTTTCGGCCCTTGGCTGTTGCAAAGTCATCCGAGTCATCCGAGTTAATGTAGTTGGGGCGGTAGTTCAGGTCAGATGGATCAAGGGTCGACATTCCGACGGGACCCACAATAGCAGAGTCGGCAATTGACAGAGCGATAAGAGCCTTGGCAGGTGTGAACAGCTCAGGGGCAGCGGCCATGGCGATAGGGAAGTTGGCGCGGAGCTGATAGTCTTCATAAGGCTTACCAGACTTGTACAAGTCCTTGTAGATGCCGCGGCGGTTAACAATCTTTGCATCCACCTCGTACTGATCATCTTCCTTGGGGTCGAGAGGAACAAAGTAGCAACGCTCAAAGTTGTCTTTGATCTTGCCGGCCCATTCAGCAAAGCTTATTTTCTTGCCATCACCGATGTCAACACCCTCGTATGGGTATGCCTTAGATTCGTGAAGGCGGGCAACCCACGCCAAAGCACTGTAGGAAAGACCGGTAATCTCGATAGCGGAACCATCGCGCGGTGTGCCAGGAACACCCTTGTTTCCAGCCTTGGGGCTCTCGCCCATCTTGTCTTGCCAGGTACCGCAGTTATCCTGATTGCCACCGAAGATGAGACCCGTGTTCCAGTCAACTTTGACGTCAATCTGGAAACCTTCGGGCTTCATCTGGCAGTCGAGGTCTGGGCCGGCATTGTATTCGCGGAAGGACATACCAGAAGCATGTCTTTGGAACACTTCCTGGACACACTCGAGGAGAGTCGGAGACTCGGAGTATGCACGAGGGTCATCGAAGGGGAACCAAGTGTCGTCGTACGGCAAGAAGCGTCTTGGGACCTTCTCTTGCAAGATTTCAATGCCGTTAGGTGCCATCTCAGTGTAATCCTGGATAGCTTGCATGAAGAACCAAACAGAGTCGCGAGAGTTGTATCTCGGTAGCTTGCCACTGCTCAGCAAGTTGGGAATCATACCATGCTTAAGGACACTAGCAAAGGCAATGATGTGTTCCTTGGCATCATCAAACCGCTGGGTACATAGGAAAAGACCACGGATAGAGATGAAGATATCCCGACCCCAGCATCTTGTCCAGTCCACCGCGAAATGAGGCAATCCTGCTGCAAGACTGGGAACCATCTTGGTAGGCCACAACGATGCGGACTTGACGTAGCCGGTCTGTTGAACACTGACCATAGCCAGCTGGTGAATGAATTCCTGGCCATGTCGCACATTATCTCCAAGCAGATGGATACCTCTCTTCCATGCTGCATTATATGCGACCTGCACAATGATTGCGAAGTACCTCGGGAAAAGGAAGTTGGGCAAGGCGCGAACAGCTTCGAACTTTCCACGCAGCCATGCGGCAGGCTTCTTCAAGGCAACATACCCCTCTTTTGCGGCCGCCTTCTCCAATCGTCCAATGATGTAGTCCAAGGCCCATTGGCCCTCGCGCAAATGATCGCAGAGGGGATGGCCGAGCTGGTTGTACTTAATAGTATCCTCAAGCACACTCCACCAGCCTTGAAGACCAGCATAGACCATGGGTCCAAGCTTGGGCACCTCGTAAATACCATCCTGGCCGTCACTGGAGTCTCTCTCCTCGGCCTCGCAGCGGTAAAGGACAAAGTTAAGATCAACCAAGCTTAGTTCAGAGAAGGCCTCATCCGCACCGTTAGCAAGGTTGTTTTCAAAGCCGTCTGCGTGGTCTGCGCCAGGAATCCATGTCTCAAAGAGGGCAATAGATCCAGGAACGAGGGTATCCAGAACGGAGACAATGACTTCTTTGTCGTTTTGCTCAATGTTGGTGCTCTCAATGGCGCGGGTGTGGCTGGGAAGACCCTTCAGATATTTTTCGTCGGCCAGCACCTTCGTCTTTTCGTCTTCACCAGCCTCAACCTGCAGCTGCCATGATCCAATGTGCTTGGCACTGGTGCCGGCGATGTGAGTGGCGTCCAGGATGGCACCGCTTTCATTGCCCGGGAAGGCAGTATGAGCAATCAAGAATACACCCTTTCTCGTCTTTGGGTGCACTCTGTGTACGGTGATATATTCACCATCGTGGTGGATGTGAGTCTCATCGTAGCCCTCGACTCCCATCATGGTGTGGAGCTCGTTCAAAAGTTTCTTGACACCGCCGATGCCACCCTCGCCAGCTCCCACATCCAGCTTCTCGGCATCCGATGACACAGAAGCATATTGACGGGTTTCATGCACCAGATCAATGAGCTTGGGGTAAACCTCGTCATATCCCATCACACTGCCAGTGGCGGATGCACACATGGCCACAAGCGCAGCGTTTGGCAGAGTGTCTCTAGCATCACGCTTTTGGGCAGGCACCTCGTTGTCATGGGTACAGTCCATGAACAGGGCAGGCACAGGGCATGGTCGAATATGAGTTATGTTCTCATCGCTCTTGCCAAACTTAGCGGACGCGATGGCGTGGCTGCTTCCAGCCGAAGGAAGGTCCATCTCGAAGCTGCCAATTGGTTGACCACCATGACGATGGACAAGGCGACTAAGCTCCTCGGTACTCCAAGCCTGCATGGCTTCGCGGATGAGGGCATTGATACCCAAGCGCTTGACAAAGACGTAATCCGCTTCCTCAGAGCCGGTGAAGAGCTCTGCGAACACGGTCAGATCAGGTCGGACCTTGCGGGCTTCATCTAGTAGGTATTCTGCAACAACCAGCGGGGTGGAGTGGCAATTGTCGATTCGGAATCCGACAAAGTACTTGGCCATGAGGCGAGTATAACGGGTCATGAAATCCCAGAGGAAAGGACTATCTTCCGGGGAAGATCCGTACCGCAGCTTGACGCAGTCACCCCAAACGATGACTTCGCGGCGCAGGTAGGCCCTTGAATCAGGGCCAGCGTTGTCTCGCATGGCATCAGCGTTCCAGATCCAGCCATTGTTAGCCAGAGCCAAAGCCTTAGAGTCATGTTTCTTCGTAGTCTCATTCACAGGAAGGCGAGTGAAGTAAGTCTCGATCAAAGGGTTCTCCTTCGTGACGGGGCCCATCTTGGGGCCGTGATCATCGATCCTCAGATACTTGACACGGTTGAACAGCTGGTCCATAATCGCGTCAACATCAGCATCGTACTCCTTGTAAAAAGGCAGGTTTGCTTCATCTAGCAGTTTGGTCAAGGCATCCTCAACCTCAGAAAGGTTGGTACTGGCCTTATCGTAATCACCGAAAAGCACATTCAAAGCAACGGCGCCGAATTGTGGGTCTACAGAACGGCCAAATCGCCCAAGAATCTGCTTGACGGATGGAATACCGAGCTCACGAAGAACATTGGCCTGCTGGTTCAGGGACCAGCCCTTGAACAGCTGCATGTCCTGGTGCTCGACGAGCTTGTGGTCAATATCTGCTTTGACCCACACATCCAAGATTTTCTTGACATCACTCTTGATATCAAGAACGTAGAATTCCCAAAGACGAATTCCATCAATGACCTGCTTGCGGGCCGCGTTCATGACTGTTACCAAATCCCCCTCTGTCTTGAAATCGGTGGGAAGACCCAGGTCTTGAAGCTTCTCGCCAAATTCTAGCAGGGCAGTATCGAGCTCAAGCGCAGCCTCCAACCAGGGGGCAGTCGCTACACTGTAGCCAGATTCGGGGTGCTCCTCCAGCCACTTGCTATTATTAGCTGTGTGGTTCCAGACCACATCAGTCAAAGTGAGGAGACCGTATTCCTTCTCCATCTTTGCAACGAGCGCAGCGACATCATCTTCTCCATTGGGGAAGAAGGCGCTATCGAACGCCAATTGATCATAGATACTGTACGGGGAGTTTGACGAACCCCGCTGCATCAAGGGCGTAAAATGAACCATGTTGTAGTTCCGCTGTCCGATGCCACGGAGATGTCTGTCCCAGTCTGTGGGGTACTCGCCCATAAACTTGGAGATTACCGAGAAGATAGAAAGCGCATTGAGCGGCAGTTCCTTCCCTTGGACTGTGAGTCTTGGCGACACATCGATATAGTGAACAGGAGTCTGAGTAGGCTCCGGAGTGGGTACATCCTCGACGGAGAACTCCGGCAGTGGGGAGAAGGTTGTGTAGAAAGCAAACGATCCCGCAAACGCCACTGGGATATCAATCTGGATGTTCTCATTGAAGTTGGGTTGCAATCTGCTTGTGATTAGCAACTTCTCGCCCCATGTGCGGTTGAAAGTTTAACGACCAAGACTTACTTGAATTCCCGGAACGAATGGCGCTCAAAGGGTTTGCCTTCCTCGGGGATATTTATCCACAGGCTACCCTGTCGGCAGATGGAGCTCGTTCCCTCGATGATGAACCGGAGAACGTAACCCTCCTTGGGTGGAGGAGCCAGGTAGATGAAGCCTCCAGGAACATCTGGAGCTCCATCATCCTTCAATGGAAGCAAGTAGACCTGGCGTGAAGAGCTCATCGCGACGAGCAACAGTTCCGGGTCTAGACCAACGGATTGTGAGAGTTAAGGAGAATCTGGAGCGATTCGCCCTACTTTCACACAGAAAGTACTAAAAGCTGAAATAACGAACAGAAAAAAGGTGAAGAGAAAATTCAGTCAAAAGAAGAAGGGGGAAAAAAGCAGGAAAAGACCTGGGGACAGAGGACCCAGCGTTCCCCTCATCTCGTTCCTGGAGAAAAAGCCCAGACCGCGGGAAGAATGACATCATGCATATTCCTTGGCTGCAACCCGAGTATTTATAGTCTTGACATTTGTAGAGCTACACAGCTACAGAGCTACATAGTAATTAATTTAATATCTGAAGCTCGTCAGGTCTATAAACTCGATTCATGCAATTCATAAATACAGGTCATGAAAATTCTATACAATATCCAATATCCATCCCATCCGAAATCATAATCGTGCAGCACCGAACCGAGCACCGTCATTGTCACCAGAATTTTGAGATGTTGAAGTACGGGAAGGAGGGCTGTGAAGGAAACGCAGGGTTTCTGATAAGCAACACAAACAACGAAGGAAAGGTTGCAGGGATTTTACCGCTCAATGTACTGAGGAATCTCCTCAACTTTCATAGTTCCCTCCAAGATACCTTGAACAGCATTAGTATAGAACAAACGGGAAGAGAGCGTGGTAGCAGAAACTTACGGAAGACAGCAGTGAAAAGAGGGAATTCATCCTCCATGCCTTGGTTCTTCAAGAAGCTGTTGACCTCATACGCGGTCAAAGTACCTTGCAACTTCTGGCCGTTGAGCTCCTGCTTCTCAATCTCCTCGATGGGAAGCTTGCGCTCAACACTGTGCATGGCACAGCGGAAGTTACGACCACCGCTGGAGGAAGTGATCAGATCGGCCACACCGGCACTCTCGTCAGTGAAGGTGCGGTTGTCGATGGTAGCGCTGAAGAAAGTGTCTCCGAACTTGACCATCTCCATGAGGCCAACACGCATGATAGCAGCCTTGGCGTTGTCACCCCAGCCCATGCCGACAACCCAGCCAGCGGCCAGAGCGACAACGTTCTTGAGGGCACCGCTGATGGAGACACCAGCAACGTCGTTGACAACACGCACGTGGAAGTAAGGGCGGTGGAAGAGAGACTTCAACACGGCGTGGTCAACGGGAGGGTAGTTAGGGGGCAGAGCCTGGAGCTTAACCTCTGAGATTTGTCCGGAGGTATCCTTGTGTTGGAATTCCACCAAGTTGCTTTGGGAGGGAGAGGGAGTGATCTGGGGAGTGGGCACCTTGGAGTCCAGGTGAGGGGGGTCGTAGGCCACACTGGTCTCAGACCACTTCTCGAGGGCAACCTCGTTGGCGATGTTGGCTCCGGAAAGAGCACCACAGTAGATACCGAGAATTCTGCCAATGGTCTCGGAGAAGAGGTGAATGCCAGTGGCGTTCACATCAACACCCTTGATACAAGAGATACCGCGGGCGTAAGGAAGGATCTTGCCCTTGATTTGCTCGCAGGTCTTGATAATGAACTGGTGGGGCAGGTTGAAAACAAGAAGGGTGCTGTCCTTGACAGCGTCCTCCAGAGATGGGTTGGCGTGGAGGTTGACGGGCAATTGAATTCCTGGCAGGTACTTGACGTTCTCATGAACGGTGTTAATCACCTCGGTCAACTTCTGAGGACCGGCATTGGAGGCAGTGTAGTTCTTTGATGTTTGCGGGATCTCGACATTCTCCTCGTACACCCACATCTCTACCTTCTCCTCAAAGAGGTCGGGGTTGGCTGCCGCATTTTCGGCAACGATCTTAGCGATGGCGCAGCCCCTGTGAAGACAAGATTGGTGTCAATTCTTCCCAATTGCGGATTAATTACTTACCAGTTGCCGGAGCCGACGACAGTGATCTTGTGCTTTTGTTGGAAACCCATGGTGTGTGAAGAAAATGATCTGCGGAAACCAGATCTGGGGAAGAGAGGTTTAAAAGTAAAAAAGGACGGAGGCGATCGGGGTAACAGGATCAAATGCGGGTGATGGAACCGTGACCGAGGTAGGGAAGCTTTGCAGAGACGAGGAAAGCAAACCCGACGCAATGTGAGAGGTTTGTCCATAAAAGGTCTCGTGCTGGGGACCCAATAGTAGCAGCAGCCGGATTATTGGCCTCTGATGTCACTTGTGGATCGACAATGTTTCTCGGGATAAAATCACGCAGAGTCAATTAGTCAAATGGACAAGCCCGGTGTGATAACGTCACAGTCTTCCCGAAGGGCTTTGGTGGTTGCGAGGAGCTAGTTGAGTCTAGTTCACAGAATATTCACCAAACAACGTTGAGATCGGGTCTCGCATAGTGGGGAGAGTGGGTGGGCGGTGAAGGCGGTGAGTGTTTTGAGGCACCGGGGCTTTTCGCTTTTCCCGACGCAATTTCGTCCGTTCTCCGCTGTAGATCTCACATGCTTAATATGGTAAGATGCAGGTTGACTTATCTTTGTTCCACTTGCAGCCGGTTAATTATCGTTCTTTGACAGGCGCCCATACGGAAAATGGGAAAAACTGCCCCCGCGAAAGGCGCGGCCACGCCCAGCATGTTCGGTGACGATTTCCGCACGAGCAAAAAAGACAAGCGGACGATCAAGCGTGCCGCACTGGTCTCCAAGATTGAAAAGAATTCAGCAAAAACGCCCAAGCGTCGACGTGCCTCCAAAAAACTCGTCGCAAACCTCGAATCCCTCGCCGATGCGCTGCCCGAGGCCGCAGAAGAAAACGATGCAGTTAGTCAAGCCAACGTCATCAAGCAGAAAACGCTGCGACACAAGCCCGGTGCACTGAAACGCCGCGAAAAGTTGGAGAAGCTGGAACGGGACCGCTTCAACAAGAATTTGACCGATATGTCCAAGATCACAACGCCTGTGGCAGCTCCCGCTGGCGAGACCACTCAGTCAAACCCAACGGCTGGCCGCTGGTCTGCCCTTCGTAGCTTCATCTCACAGACGATGGAACAGCAGCCTGTGTTCAAGGAAAATAAATAAACAGGCGCGTGGTTCAGGTCAGATTTCAACGAAATATGCCCACACTTGCATTGTGCTTTGGTTATATACCAGCGTGGATCGACGAGAATATCTTGCCAACTGGACACAACAACGTCAAAAAAAAATCATGCCATCCGCATCACCCTGGGCTTGAACGCATCACACTCAAGCGGTCATGGATGGGAGAAAAGTCACAATCCCCTACACCCTGAATGTCATCCTCGAAGTATGACCAGGAAAGGCCTTGACCGGATCAGGCCACAAAAGTCACATAGCGAATCTCAAAACATAATCAAATACCCGGCAAAATCGAATTAGAAGACTTGTATGTCAACTCAACTTACATACCGGTCGACCGTAGGGTCATAAACAGATGGCTACCTATACAAACCAAAAATTTCCCACCAACCAATTCATCTCTTCAAACACAACCCCGCATCATCCCAGTCCTCACTGCCCACCCCTAACCGTGCAATGAAGAGCCCCTCGGGATCCCACCTCTGCTTGATCTGGTACAGACGGGGATAGTTATCTCCCCAGAATGATTGCTGGAAACCAGGCTCGTATGGATGCGCCTCATTGCCATACGAGCCCATTTTGTCTTCACCCTCCACAGAACGAATCAGAGGGATTTCGACATTCGTGGCATTCTTAATCATGGCATGCTGGCGTTCTACCGTTGCATTGGCCTCCCATGCCCTCGAGATGACCAAATGAGTGATGGTCTTTCTCCACGCTGGATTGACAGCGCTGTCAATCTTCTTACCGTTAGCTGCGACGGCGCCTCCTCCAACGGCATGACCGCGGAATGAATCGCCAGGACCATATCTAAGGTTCCTCCATGCCTTGACCAATCGAATAGGTCCGTCCTTCGATGTCAACAAGTCTTTCGAATATAGACGTGAGATAACCGCTGCCACGCCACCGGTGGCGTCGCCTCCTTCTCCCGCCCATTTATTCTGGAGAGTCGAGTTCACGGACGGGAGCGGGAATGTACCGTATTGAACAGTTACGCCAGGGAGCTTTCGAAGCTTCGACCGTAACGGCGCATAAAGATCATCTACGGCACTTGTGTTCGTGTATCCTGCGAACAATAGAAAAGAGGTCATCGCGGAGATTTCAGTTGTCGAATTGACCGGCAAGATTGGGAATCCGAAGTAATAGCCAGATCCGCCGGCGTCGTTCAGCTCTGGCAGTGCTCCATGGTATTCGCTCACTGCATCCCAGAATTGATCATGACCAAGAGACGTCGTGAGGTTCAGATTGGCCACTATCACTGGAGCCTCTGGGAGTGTTCGAACGGTCACGTTGACAACAACTCCAAATGTTCCTCCCCCACCGCCTCTCAAGGCCCAGAAGAGGTCGGTATTCTGGTATTCATTTGCGATAACCAGGGTTCCCTAGATTTGGTTTAGCCAAAGGTTCATCGACCTTTTTGGCATTTTTTTTCACTTACATTGGCCGTCACGACTTCAAACTCAAGGGCATTATCAGATGCCAACCCTCCTCGAGCTCCAAAGGGTGAATGGCCTCCCGCTTGAATATATCCTCCGGCGGCGCCAACGGTATGGGAAGCACCACCTTGAACAGTTCTGTTCGTTTCGCCAGCGGCCTGGTACAGTTCGGCCAAGTGAACACCTGCTCCCATGGTGACTGCGTGGCCTTCACTCTTCCCCCGAGGTGCACCGGCGGGTACGAAATTATCCACAAAAGTGATGTTTTTCATGCCATTGGTGAAGATCTGCAGCGACTCCGGGGCTGTCGAGCGACCAAGATAGTCGTGGCCGGAGTTCCGAATGGCCAGTCGCAAATTATGCGTCCGGGCAAAAGCCACAGCCTTCTGAATATGTTCCGCTGTCTGCACTTTCGCAGAGTATAAAGAAACCCTACCTTGACTACATTTCGTGTCCTTTTCCGATTCGATGTAGCAGGTTTCATTATGCTCGGCCCAAGATTCCCAATTTTCCCATTGCACCGCACCTGGCTGGGCAGCTCGCCAGAGGGAATCATGCCAATTCTCTGTGACAGCCTTGCACGCTGACCCGTCAAACTCGGGCTCATGGCAGACTGAGGCGACGGGTCGAACTGCTACCAAATTTCCATGGATCGTGTCGTTCAGGCGGGACCATTCCTGGTGGGCAGGCCAGCACTCTTCGTGTGGTCGGCATCGACAGTGGCGGGTCTCAGGGGTCGCGATGGCAAGCCCTGCAATGAAGTATACCAAGGACAAGTTTACCATGTCGCTGTCTGTGGCAAGGGATTTATGCGAACAATGTTAATTCGAGACGAAACGGGATAGGGGTTCTCGTTCCTCCATCCCCCTTGCTTAGCTCTTTAAATATTTCTTTCGGTGCGTATTCTGATCGCACTCCAGTCACAACTTGGGACAAATATCATGCATCCACTGCGATAGTGTCCCATATTTGGGTATGATCTCTCATACTTGGGCCACATTTTATGGAAATGTATGGAGTATCACAATGGTTCTTAGAAATTAGCCCAATGGTGCAAGATCGGCTCCAAAAATGGGTTAAAGATCTGCAAACATGCATTAGGCAGAGAGATTAGGTGCGATCTTCAATGACCATCTTCCGTAATACCATTTTATGCGGTGAAGGACCGAAGCCCTCACCGGAGAAAGCTCATGATGTCGGAATGTCGGCGCTCGGAGCGATTACCTCATCAGATAAGATCACCTGCTTGCGGGGAAAGCTATCCGGTATCTGATGCGCAACTCCTTTGCTTCTTGTTCATTCTCGCGGTCTCGCAATGTTTCTAAGGCCTGTACAAGGTCGGCTTCCGACGGTGGCTCGCTGTGTGGCTCGTCGTGTCCCTCGAACACTCCGGTCACGTCCACTCTCCAGCTCAACTAGATACCCGACACTATCACAATTCAACCGCTCCGAGTTCACAAGCCAACCATTTTCCGGCGGCTATGAGACCGGGCTTCCAACTACTGGGCCCCTGGGATCGACACCAGCCTTTGGAGCCCCGCGCGTCACACCAAAGGTTCTGAAGCAGTACCTCGATCAGTACGTTGTGGGGCAGGATCGCGCAAAGAAGATACTCAGTGTTGCTGTATACAACCATTATCAGCGAGTGCAGGAGGTCGTGCGGCGGGATGAAGAGCAAGCTGAAGCTGCGGCTAAACGTCAGCGCAGGGAAGCGCTCGAAAGTCATCCCTTAGACGGTATTATTGCCCACCTGACCCCCGATGACGTCGGTCAATTTCTTACATGCTGTCTGCGATAGATGATTTCCCGTTCCCCCAGAAGAGTGCCGGGACGACTCAATCAAACAAACCCCGCCAAAGCTCCACCCCCTTGGAGCAGCCAGAACTCACCGATACGTCACCGCTACAACTCGAGAAGTCAAATGTTTTGCTATTGGGCCCGTCTGGCGTAGGAAAAACATTGATGGCAAAGACACTTGCTCGGGTCCTTTCCGTTCCCTTTAGTATTTCCGACTGCACTGTGTTTACACAGGCTGGTTACATTGGAGAGGATGCCGAGCAGTGTGTTCACCGACTTCTGGCAGCTGCAGACTACAACGTGGAGCAGGCAGAGCGGGGAATCATCGTTCTTGATGAAGTAGACAAGCTTGCAGCAGCCAAAGTCAGTCACGGCAAGGACGTCGGAGGTGAGGGAGTCCAGCAGGCTCTTCTGAAGATCATAGAAGGCACGACCGTGCAGGTCCAAGCAAAGCCAGAGAAGAACCCTCGGGCTACCAGCCCCCCAAACAGCTTCCCGTCCAACAGCCCGTTGGGCAACGGTCCATTCCAGCCAAACAACCCCAACCCAGCCGCCAAAGGCGAGATATACAACGTGCGAACGGATAACATTCTCTTCGTCTTCTCCGGTGCCTTCGTCGGACTCCACAAAGCAATCATGGACCGGATATCCCGTGGATCCATAGGATTCGGTCAACCTGTCCGAACACCCTCAAACACAAGCGAGTTCCCTGGTTCAGCAAACGTTTCTCCGAGCCAACCTCTTCCGATCCTCCCCGGGTCCGAAGAAGAAGCCTTATATAAGAAACACCTACCCTTCTTCACTTCCGCATCGCCAGCTGGTTCTGGCGCCGAACCAACCTACTTTAACGCCCTCGACCTCATAACACCCTCTGATCTTCAAAGCTACGGCTTTATTCCTGAACTGATCGGCCGAATTCCCGTCACAGCAGCCCTTTCTACTCTTTCCCAGCCTTTGCTCATGCGCATCTTGACCGAGCCCCGCAACTCTCTACTCGCTCAATATACAACACTGTTCTCATTGTCAGGTATCGAGCTTCGATTCACGACTCCAGCACTTCAGAAGGTTGCCGGGAGCGCCTTCACCATGGGCACCGGTGCAAGAGCCCTGCGTACAGAGATGGAGACCATTCTCAGTGATGCCATGTTTGAAGCCCCGGGATCTAGTGTGAAATTCGTTCTTGTCACCGAGGCTGTTGCAGAGCGGAAGGAGAAGCCTGTTTATCTTGCCCGTGGCCAGGGTGGTCGTTTCCATGCGATGATTTCCGCCGAGGAAAGTGTGTGGGAGGAGAAGACGAAAAAGGATCACGACAAGAAGAAGACCCCGGTCGAGGACAAGGACTCTAACCAAAGCAATACTCAAGAGTCCAAGTCTCAAGCAGTGGGGTAACTGCACATATGGCACATAGCATCTTGCCGTTTAGTTTCTGATGGCGATTTTTGACGAACTTCCTTTGTATCGTATACATTGGTGGTAATTATTAGCTTTATGAGGAATACTGGGGAATATCCCTCCAAAGAAAGACGTAAAATTCGTCAACCTACTCCGTATAGTTAACTAACTAGAGTACAGAGTAACTATTCGAGCTGAGGCTCTGTGTCACGTGATAAAAGTTGTGGATCCACATTCCCGATTAGGAAGTACAGAGGTCTATATCAGATACAAAAGTTCCTGATTTTCTGTGAGCTACCCCGGTAGCTCAGTGGGTATGGCGTTCAGGATTTAAATACCGCGTACTCTAAAACTCCCCTCTGTCAGGATTACCTGGGGCTGGGGTAACAGAGGGGGGGAGTTCGATCCAGCCCCCACACCTTTTTTTTTTTTTCCCTTTCCCTCTCCCCCCTTCCCTCTGTTGCTTATTATTCATTATTTAACTTTGGGCATGTAATAAGAATATGATTCTTCAAGATTTCTTGCTGATGCATATATGCTTTTACTGGTTAACCTAGATAGGACATCTGGACTGTGGAGCCCTGGAGTACATGATGAGGCTCTGCGTCACGTGATAATTATGGATCTCCCTTCCCGATTAAGCAATCGCTGTGTCTATATCAAATACAAAAGTTACTCACTTTCTGTAAGCTGCTCCGGTAGCTCAGTGGGTTAAGGAGTTCAGGATTTAAATACCGCGTACCTCTAAGCTCCCCTCTGTTCAGGATCACCTGGGGTTAACAGAGGGGGGGGGTTCGATCCAGCCTTCCCACTCCTTTTTTTTTTTCTCTTCTCTGTTTGTTTCTTTCTTGCGTACAGGAAGCCTTCAGGATACTTACTTACTCTTTGGGCTTTTCATGTCTCCTAAATATGTTTACTGTAGTACTCCGTGAGTTTACTCCACCTGTATTCCACTTCTGTCATCCGAAGACCCACCCGTGGACTTTATGATCTCCGCTCTACCTTTAGCTGTTGGGTATAAACAATGCCCGGTCCCCATGATGTTGCCCACAGACTGGCTAGATAATCTGACTTTTCCATTGCATATTTACTCACGCTCATGATTAAGGAAGCTTTGGAATGGTCCATAACATCTGGCCGACAACTCCAGAACACTACTCCATATTGTGGAGGCCCTTCTCCACTACTAAGAAACCGCCAACATCCATGATGCCCTTAGCTCGATTTCAGTCACCGACATTTATATGAAATATGAAGCCTAGAGTACTCTCTGGGTATAAATACCAAGGGCACCCCGGGGCCTCCCTGTCAGACCAACATCCCTGGTGCCCTGAACACGAATACGAACGAAGATGGAATCGAACTCGGCCTTCACAGAACCACATCAGTCTCAGAGAGTAGTGAGCAGTCGACCACGCCCGTTTAACAATGATATTCAGTTTTTTTTTTTTTTTTTGAGATTGATATCCACAATGCCCTGGGCTCTTACGATCTGTAAAGAGTACCTTACGATCTAACCACTACCTAGGTAGCCCGAAATGATGACTCATCCACAGGGCTGCCCACGCCGTCATTGTCAAAAAACAAAGGGCCACCACTCGACAACGTTTGATCAATTCTATCATTTCAACTTCCCTCCTGCCGCATGCCCTTGATAAACCAAAGCTCCGACAGCCCCTCGCTTGTCGAAAACTAAATCGGAGCCATGTCAATACTCGCACCAGCAGCCACTGCCTTATCCGGGTTGGCCGACAGACCCGGCGGAGGGAGGCACTGGGAAGATCAGTTGAAAGAGTCGCGCGATCTGTACACGCAGTTCGTTATCAGCTCGGCGCTGGGCCTGAGCGCCTTTCTCGCATTCTGTGTATGTGGTAATTATTCGTCAAGTCGATAAATACTGACTTGGAGGACTACAGATCTTGCGACCAAAATGGACCGAATTGTACGCCGCGCGACGCAGACAAAGAAACGCCGCTTCCCGTCTACCGGAGCTTCCTAATTCCCTTTTCGGCTGGATTCCTGTTCTTCATCGAATCACTGAGGAGGAGGTACTGCAGTCTGCAGGCCTGGATGCTTATGTGGTACGTTGGAAGCCTTGGAATGTGTCAATGAACCGTTACTGACTTGCGTGTGACAGTTTCTGTCTTTCTTCAAATTTGCGATTCGATTCCTCCTCGCCGTCTTCATCTTTGCCGTCGCGATCATTCTCCCCCTACACTACAAATACACCGGTCAATATGGAGTTCCTGGATGGGACAACCTTCCTGGCAATGACACCATGATACAAGAGAAGGACAAACCAGTCACCGATCCCGGGTACCTGTGGATTTACGTTCTATTTGCATATGTCTTTAGCGGATTGGCCATCTACATGCTTCTCCAGGAAACCAACACCATCATCCGCACTCGTCAAACCTACCTCGGAAACCAGACCAGTACGACCGACCGCACAATCCGTCTCTCGGGCATTCCGAACGACCTTGGTACCGAGGAACAGATTAAAGACTTTATCGAAGGTCTGCGCGTTGGCAAAGTCGAAAGTATCACTGTGTGCCGCAAATGGCGCGAGTTGGACGAGTTGATCGATGAGAGAATGAAGCTTATTCGTGAACTCGAGAGAGCTTGGACGAAACATTTGGGGTACAAGCGTCCGAAGAGAGACGGGGATAGCTTGCCGCTGACCAACCCTCACTCTGAGGATGAGGATCATGAACGCTCTGGTCTGTTATCTGGAAGCGATAATGACCACGTCAATGATTATTCGAGCGAGAGACCCAAGTTCCGCTTGTGGTACGGTCCATTCAAGCTTCGGCATCGCATGATCGACGCAATCGATTATTTCGAGGAGAAGCTGCGAAGAATCGACGACCATATCCAAAGCGCCCGCGAGAAAGAGTACCCCTCCACCGAGATCGCGTTTGTGACTATGGAGTCCATTGCTGCGTCTCAAATGCTCGTTCAGGCGATTCTCGATCCCCACCCAACGCAGATGTTTGCTCGGCTTGCTCCTGCACCGGCGGATGTCATCTGGAAGAATACCTATCTGTCTCGCTCGCGTCGGATGACTCAATCGTGGTCTATCACCATCGCTATTGGATTCCTCACTGTGTTCTGGTCGGTGCTTTTGGTTCCGATCGCCTCATTGCTTGACCTGGAAACCATCCGCAAACTTGTGCCCCAGTTTGCGGAGTTCCTTGAGGAACATAAGATTTTGACGTCTTTGGTCCAAACTGGTTTGCCTACTCTGGCGTTCTCGCTCTTGACCGTTGCTGTTCCTTATGTGTATGAATGTAAGTTTTAATGCTCATTGTCTCGATGAGATATTTCAAGTGCTAATCTTCCTTGCAGGGCTCTCAAACAACCAGGGAATGGTTTCACGCGGCGATGTTGAACTGTCTGTTATCTCCAAGAACTTTTTCTTCTCGTTCTTCAACCTGTTCCTCCTCTTCACTGTGTTTGGAACAGCCAGTGGTTTCTATGGTTTCTGGGAAAATCTCCGGGATGCATTCAAAGATTCCACTACGATTGCATTTGCTTTAGCAAAATCTCTTGAAGGTCTCGCCCCATTTTACATCAATCTGTTGATTCTTCAAGGCTTGGGCCTCTTCCCGTTCCGACTGCTCGAGTTTGGGAGCGTGGCACTCTACCCCTTCCAGTTCCTGTCCGCTCGCACGCCCCGGGAGTATGCTGAATTGGCGACGCCTCCCAAGTTCAGCTACGGTTTCTCAATCCCGCAGACCATCCTAGTCTTGGTCATCTGTGTGGTGTACAGTGTCTTCCCCAGCTCATGGCTGATCTGCCTCTTCGGCCTCATCTACTTCACGATTGGCAAATTCATCTACAAATACCAACTGCTATACGCCATGGACCACCAGCAGCACTCAACAGGCCGTGCCTGGCCGATGATTTGCAACCGCGTGTTCGTTGGACTTCTCATCCATCAACTGGCCATGATTGGCGTCTTGGCCCTCCGCCGAGCCATCACCCGGTCGCTTCTCCTCGTGCCTTTGCTAGGTTTCACTGTCTGGTTCTCTTATTGGTTCGGTCGGACCTACGAGCCTCTGATGAAATTCATCGCTCTCAAGAGCATCAACCGAGACCAACCGGGTGGTGGCGACCTCTCCCCCTCGCCTTCCTCCACGTTCTCACCGCCGTCCGGCCTCGATCGTGACAGCCTGCCAATCCGGATCGGTGGCCAAGATCTCGAGTTGCGGCTGAGGAAGTACGTCAACCCGAGCCTGATCGTTCCCCTGCATGATGCCTGGCTTCCCGGTCGCACGCCCACTCGAGGCAACGGTGCATCAGCCTTTGTGGCTCACCAAACGCCCAACGTTTGATCTCTCACTTTTTTTTTTTTTTTCTTTTTGCAGCGACCGCACTCGTTTGCATGTCTCTTCGACCCATCATGATATACGACTTTGATACCTCGTTCGCATTTCTCATTTACGATATTTGATATTTCCAGTCATGATATCCATGGGCGGTTTGTTTATGTTTCACCTTCGCTTGTCTTGCTTTGATCCTGTTCCACGTCATTGTTGATTTCTCGAGATCTCAATTCTCCCCCTGTTTTCGATCCCCAGGTGTCTTGTCAGAACATACAATCTGTACGATACTTTTTAATACCCGCAAATATAGTGAACCCGTTGCCTCCGAGCCACAGACAAGTACCTAGTAATTCCTTACGAATATACCCCGAAGTATGTCCTGTCAGTTTTCGGCTAAACCATCGGCCTTCTGGAATTATGCTTTTCCCGCATTCCTCGTGTCTGAGCGCAACTCCGATGTCTGACACTCAGCCAGATGCCTTCTATTATTCCAGCACGAGTGTACGAGTAGTGAAAGTGATTCAGAGAAAAGTAAAACCCCAAGGGGATATGATTTGTGGCCAATAACCTCAGACACGATTCTGCGAGGGGTGAATCGACTATCGGAATACGAAGTCTGCAGTTGGATTGGCACGTACATACAAAGGACGGAGTACTCCGCGCATGTGGAGCAAGTGCCGAATACAATCAGATTCCAAGATATCTATTCCGTAGAATGTTGAAAGTGCCAGACCGAAGGCAGAGTTCTGGAAATTCTTGACATTCCTCGGGTTCCACATGGTCGGACATTCCTGGGCAGTGGGGGATAAAACTGTGCGGTGAGGAGAAGATTTAGAAATCAAAGTCACCAAGATGAGGAATGTGGGAATCGATGATATTATACTAGTGTGCTCAAGTGTTCAGTCTGAATGACAGGGATCGTGAGAGTGAAGTGCAGGGCCAAGCCATGTGCTGCATCCGGCATTCTTCCGAGAGGAATGTCAACGTTGCATATTCTTCTTCTGGTTTGAGGTATAGTAAAAGGTAGTTCTATCAGGTTTCACTTTAACCGAGTTGCCTGCAATCCCACTTGAGCACTACCTAAATTGAATCCGTACTTTTACGGAGTACTACTACTAAAGAACAAAGAACTAAATGGGCTAACCGGACCAAACAAAACGCCATGACTATAATAGACACTAATGAAAGTGGCTTGCCTAAATTCCCAACAGCTGCATGATCTAACCCTCTTCAGTATAAGAGGATTTGTGTACGAGTAATGACTCTGAGTCTCGACGTCAGAAGCCGAGAGGAGAGTATTTAATTTGGCCCTTGCCTGTGGGTTTCATCCGCTTTCAGTTGCCAATACAACCTTTGGGATTCTCATAACATTACATCCGCGAATCCCGTTGCTTTCTACGATCTTGTGGTCCTTTGAATTAAAATAATACATATATCGGTGGCAAACTGTCGCGCTGATCAGTGGGCTGTTCTTTTTTCCTTCTTTCGGCTTTGAATCTGGACTACAGCCGATCATTACGCTGTTGGGTCGGATAAACACTAAACAACGTCTTAAGATCCCCTTCGGTGGTCTTAATTCAAAGGTTGTGTTCTCTTTCGGATCTATTCTCGACTTGAATGTTCTGAGAGGGAATCGGAATGGCTGCCACCGCCGGGTATATTAACATGCCTGCGTTGCGATCGTCAAACCAAGACTATGCTTATGGCCCAGCACCAGACCCAGTCTGCATGGAACAAACGACAATAACACAAGCCGAGATTGAGTCTGTGCCGACGCAACAAATCTCAGAATCCAAATTAAAAGAGAATACGCCTGTGGCCAATTCGGTGCCCCCGGAGATACTGTTGCAGATATACTCCTTATTATCGCCCAAAGATTTCAACAGCGCCCGGCACACATGCTCCCGATGGATGCGAGTCAGTTTAAATGAAAGATTACTTGAACGCAAGTTAAAAAGTGCCGGATGGTGGAATGCATGGCTGCAAGACCACAGCAAGCCATCTGCACCAGGTCGGGACGAAAGTGACGTTTGGAGAATGAGTCGGCGCCTTGCCACCGAGTCTCTTTTTAGCGGCCGAAAATCGAGGTCAAGACCCAAGAATCTGGGCTTTGTGAAAACCGTCGTGATCGACTTCTCAGGTCTTGTGGGCACAGAAAGAAAATCCCGGGCTATTGGGCCTCAGTCAAAAGAGATCGAAAGCAACAAACCAGTGGCCTCGACTTTCAGCGCAAGCAGTTGCAGTAATTACCTGCTGGTTACCACTGGATGCACAATTCATGTCTATCGCCTGCTAGGAAGAAGGAAAGACTCCAACGATGCCAACCTGGTACCACTATCAACAATAACATGTCCACACGACGTCCTTTCAACCGCCATCGACACCAGCACACCCAAACCCACCATAGCAGCCCTCCTATCCAACCGGGTCGGCATGCTCTGCAAACTAGACACAACCAAAACCAAAGCCACACCACACCACCTCTTCCACAACATCTGCTCAGAAGAAGACCCCCCACAAACCGTAGCCCTAAGTCCAGGCCGACCCCTCGTTGCCTTCGGCTGCGCCTCCAACATCGAAATCCACACAATGAACAACAAACGCAACGAAGTCAACAAACCATTCACCCTCCCCCAACCCTCAGAAGTCCTCCACTTCCTGCCCAGCACAGCAGAAGCCCCAAAAGAGCTCCGCCTCATCTCCTCCCTAGCAGGCCCAACCAAATGCAAATGCCCCCCAGTCCCAAGACCCCAATTCCACTTCCTAGCAGACGTCCAATCCTTCTCCCGTCGCAGAATCTCACACACTCCCTCCAGAAACATGGTCCGCGCAACACACTGCCACCACTACCACGCCGTCCCCATAAACGACGGGCTGCACATGGCCTTCGTCGAACCACAATCCAACCTCCTCTGCATAGGCTCCGACGCCCCAATAGGCGGTCTAACAAGTCTCACTCGCTCATTCATCTGTATACCACCATTCATCAGATCCAAATCAGACAAAGTCAGACCACCTGCTACATTCGCCATAGCCTCCGATCTACGCTGGGGTCTGCGTCTAGTCGCTGTCTACGGGTCCAGACTGGTGCTATATTCCATCCCAGGCGATATTTGGAACATTGTTCGTCGGGACCGCGAAAAACAAGTTAATGGCTTTATGGGCGATGATATTTCTCGGCACTTTTGCGCAGAGGCGGATGCTTATATGGAGAGTTTGGACTCGTATCAGCCTCCGCCTATGGTTTGGCCATTACAGGTGCGTGGCAGGGAGATTGGGTCTGTTTCTGGTGTTGTGGAGTTGTCGTTGCAGTGTGGCGGTGGGGGTGTGAGGGTTTGGGCATTTGGGAAGAGTGGGATGGGGGAGGTGTTTGATGTTGATACTGGGGATTTGAAGGAGATGGCTTTTGGTGTTGATGTCGGGGGTGTTAAGATGATTGAGAAGGAGAATCCTGTTTCTGGTAGCAAGAAGAGGAAGTTTGAGGAAGATGTTGCTTTTGTTGGGAGGTATGGGGTTAGGCGGGTTGAGCGTTGTCGGACACAGGGACATCAGCGGAAGTCATCATTTGCGGCTTGTGTGATTGATTTTAAGATGCCTGATTTGGAATAAGTGTATATAGTGGCATTTTGTATATTTTGGGGACGAATGTACATACTGAATTCACCATTTGTTTATTCAAAGGGTTTTTCATATTCTTTCATTGGCTATATTTTGGTTCTCACAAGCTGTTATATACTGCAAATCGCTTTGCGGGGGTTAGTGTAAATGAAGACGACTGCTACTATCAAACGCAATGGACTGCCTCCTAGGAATCTTTTTACTTCGATCAGAAGCTCTCTATCGTCTTCTGCTTTACTCTTACTTAAGTACATAACACAACTTCGCGATTCAAAGGACATGTAGATCTTGAGTATACAGACCTTGGAAAGTGACTTCCGTCACCACGGCTATTATCTCCAGAAAATGCAGTACAGTGCCCCAAGACCAACTAGCGCAGAGACTAGGACGAGAGATGCAAGCCAGGCAGGGTGTTTGAACTTTTCCTCCATCATATAGATGACCACATTTTCAACCTCTCCAGGTACCCGTACAGTCTCGGTCCCTAAAAGGTCGCATCCCAGGTGCTCGTAGACGGATTTCCCCATTGGACTAGCTATCACAGTCCACATCCAGCCCCTCTTTATTGCCTCTTCCCTGCCCCAATTACACAACATAGTTGCGGCCCCACGTCGACGGAAATCAGGGTGTGTGATCAGCCACACAAGGTGTATCTGCTTCTTTTCATATTTCGCGAAATACTTCTCAAAAGCATACTTCATCGTCTCTGAATAGGCACTCATATGTTGAGGATTGGCATCTCGACGCTCATTGATTCCTAAGTCTGTAAATCACTGTCAGATGCATGGAAGAGCTAGCCGCGTCACTTGAGCAAAAGAGAATTAGATACACATACCGCTACCCGTAGACTTGATTTCAGTCGCTGTGTCCCATACGGCAATCGAGATAGGCTTGTGCACAACCCGTTTCCCATCATCAATTAGAACTGGCGCAGTAACAACCAGTGAGACATACTTCTCAGGCTGGCCGAGATACTCTTCATACTGCACTCTTGTCCATTTCCAGAAATCACTCGGGTATTTGGCGCGATAGGGGTATTTGTAAGGACATCCAGGATCATCAGGAAAGCCGGCTTCTACCACCTGGGTTATGGAGTCCAAGTCAGCCTTGGTGGCTGGACGCATGATGAGCTGGCCAATAAAAGGCTCTGGCTTGATAGGTTCCATAGTGTTGTTTTGAATAAACACGTTGGTTTGATAAGTGGGCAAGGCAGGTCGCGACGGTGGACCCAGGTGAGCACAATGGAAATCAACCTGTCAAGTTGGAATGAGGCCATCAGAGGGCTTTTATGCTTTTGTTTTATGTACTCGGGTGACTTGTGGGGCTGGCCGATTACCTTTTCGGGTCCCACCTGGCCGATTACCCTTTTGGGTTAGTCTGCCACGTTAGTACCTCACGCAGCCTTGGTTGGGCGGCTACTTTGAAGTCGATGTTATTTAGGATTTCTTTGTTGAGGACTATCTTATTGAGTTGGGTGGCTAGTGTTCTGTTGGCTTTTAAGAGATTTCTTCTGCTGTTGCTGTTTGTGTTGTCTCGGTTTATGAAGATGACCGGTTGTTAGGGTGAGACAGCTAATTCGCTAGTTAATATACCAGCAGCTAAACACCTTGATTGTCTCGTGATTTGGAGCTGGACAACTCACCGAGGTCTTATAGTATTTAGTTCTATTCTCTAGGTCTGCGGTAAAGCCAAGGAAGAGTCAGCATCACTTATGAATGAGAAGGAATTGCCATTTTAGATGCGCCTTAGCTCACTTCAGCCAAAGATCCACGTTTTGTCGATGTCTTCGTATTTCATGGATCCAGCATCCTCGGATTGTATACGAGACCGGAGACGACAATGGAATTTTGTGAAAAGTCCACTGTGCAAGGTATCGTTGAGCTCGATCGAATTGTGTCGATGGCTCTTGCCAGTGCCGCTGAGGGCCATGCGCAGAATTGTTTCTGAACCGTCCCCTCTTTTTTTTTTTTTTTTTTTTTTAGCAAACTCACAGAAGGGAATCCATCGTCAGAATCCTCTGAAAGTCTCTGTTCCATCAAAGGTTCATTCCACACTTGTTGCTAAGGACAGAAAACGAGCTGTTTGCTGCAGCCCAGCCAAGCGGCTACGTCAGACCAATCAGAGGTTTGTTCGATCCCTTTGTGGAACCAAGATCTGCTCACCGTCCAATAAATATAGAAATGGCCGAAGCCAAAGAAATCGTCGGCAAGCGGGGCCAAAGCAAGTATGGAACGTTACGAAAGATTGTGGAAAGTTTCTGGGTCACTCAATCGACCGGGATGGGCTTTGAGCAGAAGCAGACCAACTTGAGGCCAAAGAGCCCAAGTATCATGTACTTAAGTAGTTCCGGTGACGGAACTAAGTCTCGGAGACGTTGAAAGCTCTCTTGAACTGAGCTACGACGCTGAAGACAACGAAATCAGGGAGTAGCCGCACTCCCCCTCCCTCCTCACCTAGGTATACAATCCAAGATATGGTTTATAAGGGATATATGGCTAATGGCATACAGTTGCCACCCTCGCCTTGATTGAAAAGGCGACTGGGTAGTCTATCAAGCCGTAGGCGTGTGGAAAATCAACGTGCTGGGCTGGGACATGGTTTGCTTTTATATTTGAGATTTCGAGCTCGAGCCACAATAATAATTCAGAATGAACCCTTGACCGCAGCGTCATGAAACAGAGGCAGCCCTTCACTTTCTCCTGCACGCCATGAAAATGATGTATCTCCTCCTTGGTGAGATGGGGTTCAGAAAATGAGGGCGCAATGCTATCTTCGAACTAAACATCGCATAAACGACCCTGTGGGGCTGGTCTATTTGTTGTGTAGGGAGTTCGTCCCAACTCCCGTTTGTAGATTAGATCCGCTGCCCGCTTCTCTCTCGCCCTGTAGACTCAACACTATTAAAGGTATAGTCCGCGGTCTAAGTGATCAGCATTGCTCACTGGATAGTTACAGAGTGTGAGTAATCAGTGAGCATCCAATGAGCACATAGTATCATTTATACACGTGACTGATCTGAGCTGGTTACCTAGGTACTCTGAGCTGCTGATATCTCTACTCTGAGAGCCTGAGCCTGAGCTCATTAAAGCGGCAGCCCAGGAAATCCCCAGGGAAAATTCGGTACATATAGGCGCATATGTACACAAATATATCTGTTTATAGCTGATCTTGAATCTTGTACTGTACTGTTTGCTAGTGGAAGTAAGACATATAAACACCGAGCATCAAAGCTCAACTTTTACAATATTCAAGGCCTATTTAATACTTAAGTACCCGTAGCTTTTTATCAAAAGGCGCCAGTCCACTTATTTTGAGCCCAGTTTCTCACGACGCGCACGAACACCTTGAGCAAGGGTCTCAAGCACAGCCTCAGTATCCTCCCAATGGATACAAGCATCCGTAATACTGACACCGTACTTGAGACCAGCCTTGCCCTCCGCAGGGACCTTCTGGTTACCTAGAACAAGTTAGTCAAACAGTATAAAAAGATCTTCCAGACAGATTCACTCACCCTCGTTGATATTACTCTCAATCATAACACCCATAATGGCATCTTCACCAGCAGCAAGCTGCTCCGCAAGCACAGCAGCGACCTTAGGCTGGTTCTTGTGGTTCTTCTCGGAGTTTCCGTGGCTACAGTCAACCATAAGACGAGGACGCATGCCCTTCGCATTAAGCTTGACCTTTGCCTCTGCAATGCTGGCAGCATCGTAGTTGGGCCCCTTCTTACCACCGCGCAGAATAACGAAGCAATCGGGGTTTCCGACTGTGCCGACAATAGAGACAACACCTGGTTTCGTCACGGACAAGAAGTGATGAGGGTGCTTTACTGAACCGATAGCGTCGACAGCGACGTCGAGAGAACCGTCTGTTCCATTCTTGAAACCAACAGGGAAAGAAAGACCGGATGAAAGTTCACGGTGGACTTGGGATTCAGTTGTGCGGGCACCGACTGCACCGACGGAGAGACAATCGGCGAGGAACTGGGGGGAGATGGTGTCCAGCATTTCCGAGGCAATGGGCATACCCTTGTTAGTGAGGTCGATGAAGAGCTGGCGGGAGACGCGCAGGCCCTTGTTGATTTTGAAGGAGTTGTCGATATCAGGGTCGTTGATTAGTCCCTTCCAGCCGACTGTTGTGCGGGGCTTCTCAAGGTAGGAGCGCATCACGATAAGGAGGTCGTCTGCGTACTTCTCCTTCATCTTCATTAGGCGGTCGCAGTATTCAAGGGCCATTTCGGGGTCGTGGATTGAGCATGGTCCGATGACAACCATTAGACGCTGCTTCTTGTCTGTGCCGTGGACCACCTCGACTGATTCGGCACGCCCTTGGAGGACGGTTTGCCGGGACTTTTCGGTCAATGCGATTTCATGTTGGAGGAGGTTGGGTGGGGTGAGGGGGTTGTAGCCGAGAACTAGAGGGAATTAGAAGGTGAATTGTCATTAATTTCTGTTCCAACGACTTACTGCGAGAATCTTCCAGGTGGTTTGTGTTGCCCACATTAGGGTTGTCAATGAAGAACTGGCGACGTCAGAGGTGGGACTGGTCAAACTAGTGAGGGGCTCACTTACCGACATGGTGGGGAGCTGCAGAAGCAATTGAGCAATTAAATGTCAATTGGGAGGGAACGAAGGGGGAGAATAAGAGGAATTGAGGAACTGGAAGAGGAGAGAAGCAGAGAATCAAAGAATAAAAATGAAGACGATGACTCAATGGAAGTATATAGAGCGTGCACGTGATTCCGGTGACCGGCGAGGAAGTTCCAATCACGGCGGTGCCTTTCGTAAGTTCTGTAAGTGGATTTCATTTATAAAATAAGTTAGTACTAAGATAGTTAGTATAGTTACTGTAGTGAGTATTTTTCTAAAATAATGGCCCACTCCCTGTCAATTCCCCCGGCTTTCTCTCTCGTATGAGTCGTATCTTAAATTGGCCCCTGTTGCACCCGACGATCCAGCTCTTGCAATCCACGGACTAAATCTTGACAGATATCCGCGTGCTGTTCTTTGACCTGTTGGATCTGCTGTTTGTATAACTGCATTCGTGCCTCTTGGACTTTGAAAAGATCATCGAGGATCCGACCACACCCTTCTCGGTAAATCCCTAGGACGCGGGTGATTGTGGCTTTCTCCGCCGCTAATTGTTCGGAGAGGTTCTGCAGCCAAGTTAGAATATAAACTCACACCGTGGATGCGGGGCTTACTGAGTTAGTCTGGTGCAACAGGTGGTGCGCGTCTTTTTGGGCGGCTTGGAGGGTTGAGATCCATTCCATTGGATCCTCATCTGAGGAGCGGTGTGATTTCACATCGGGCTGGGTTGACCCCGAGATATCAGTGCGGAATGATCTATCAAATGGTCGATCTGGCGGTGCGTCCAATCCTCTTTCTTCGATGGTTCGCTGGGAGGATAGGCTCAGCCTGCCAGTCGTCGACTCTTGGTCAGAGCGGGCACCATCAGCTATGTCTTGTGAGAGTGAGGGCCGAGGCTTCACTGATGGCCAGTGAGATCGGGCCAGCTTGTCGGTCTCAACCCCGTAAGCAATGAGCATGTCTCTCTGGAACTTGGTCCAGACGACACCTCCATATGAACTCTCCGTGCAATGAGAACTGGAGCTTCGATCATACCGACTTGGGCTGGTCTCCAAGTCGGCGTTTTCTTGTCCGGCATTGTAGTCGACTTTGTAGGGAATTGTTTCCGTCGCTAGCAAGGGGAGAAGTCGGGGACTCCCGTTTCTGTCGACGATGCTAGTTTTCGGAACAGATCTTGGTTGTAGGGGAGAAGATTTTTGCATCACAGACCGTTCCCCGCGCAAAAGAGGCTTCTGTGACTCCGGCGTGTGGCTGGATTCACATGTCTCGAGAACAGTTGCTGCAGGGGGATCATTCCTTCCTAGAGACGGAGTGCCTGACGATGTAGACATCTGACTTTCACAGAGTTTAGTGAGTTGCGACGATGTGGTCCGCTCGGAGATGATAGGTCGCAGGCTTTGAAAACCAGACAGGTGTTCCATCTCCATGTGGTAGTCGAGGATGGAAGGTTCATCATCTATCAGACCCCTGCCGATTTCCACATCAGAGTCTTCAGTGCTTGACCCTTCGCTGTGCCCTAGAGAACTCAAAAAATAGCCCCAGGAGGCCATCCCGCCTGTTGCATCGACCACTTCGACCTCTTTTGTGTCATCAACAACAACTGGGGAAGATGATCTGACTTTCTCTGGCTTGATGAGATGCTGTTGATTAGCAGCACGGATAGCGCTATGCTGTATCTGCTCAGCATCCATAGGTTTGGGGGGTGAATTGGCCGTTACATCACACTGCTTCACAATTTTAGGACTTTCCGGCTGAACTGCATCCGATGAAATGATGATACAGACCTGATCCTCAAGGACTGGTCCAGGTTGAGAGTTTTCGTTCTTGTGCAGCGCGAGCATAAGCTTGCTGCCAACACTTTGTGCTCTGCCTCTTGGTTTGTGAGGCTGAAAGGAACGACTCTTGCGCACGACTTTAGGCTTGGGCTTTGCCTTGGGTAGCATCCTTGACTCCAGAATTGTGAGCTTGGAAGAATCCGCCAGAGCTGGCTTTCCGGTTACGTCTGTGGAACTGGTGCAAGTCTCAGAAACCATGCGCATGGTTCTCTCTTGGTTGCTTTGTTCTTTCATCTGTGCCCTGTGTTCCAGGATACTGATCATCTGGCCATGCGATGGCCCCTTGACATGGTAATCGAGATCAAAGGACGAAATACTTGCTACTGGCGAGCAGCTTCGGATCTCAACACTCACTCGTTGGCTGTGATTCAGATGTTTGGCTTGGTCGTCTTTCGAGGGAGATGTCTGGAGAGAGGCCTTTGGCAGATCCACATTGTCCTTTGTGGCGGTCGCATTGGTTTGAGCATTCGAGTTGTCTGGGAGTGAAGGTTTTGTTTGCTCAATTGGAGCTGCGAGCGCGCTCTTAGCGACGGTGATCAATGGAAGCTGTGGTATAGTGTTCCCTCGATTGGCAGCATTGGTCTTGGTCGAGTTGGGCTTCCTGCGCTTGGCGGAGGTCGTCTGTCGTCGGATTGGTTTTGCGCGCTTGACTGCTGCCCTGGCAATTGCCTTCGCTTTCTTGGGATCTGTCTGGGCATGAGTGACTGTATCAAGGCCTGCCTTGGCCTCGACTAGCTCGTTGGGTGTTGGGCGGAGATCCTCATCCTAGTCTACCTCTTTGGGATCCTTTCTGGGTGGTCTTGGTTTGGTCAATTTCAATCGGACCATCTTTGATTTGATCGGTGGAGAGGCATGTGGCTCTTGGTGAGCTGGGGGTATGGGATTCGTAGACTTGCTCTCTGTGCCAGTAGCTGTAGCTGAGACACGAGACTTTGTGGCTGCACTCATCATACAGCACAAGCGAGGTCACATTATCAGAGATGAGATAAGATGAACAAGAGATGTGAAAGGATGGGTGTTGCGGCACGTGTAGAGTGCCACTACTGTCAGGCCTCTTACTCCATACTCCATACTGTGGACTCTGTGTTTCTGTCTGACTTCAATATGACCGTGGTATTGCAATATACTCATTTCAATATGTTATTTTTACTTTCCGTTGGGCGACTTGAGAGTCCAATTCTCAGGTATTGACTCGCTGTCGAGTACTTCGTATCTTCCATCTTTCATCCGACCCGGACGTCGCATGTCAACTTTGTCGGGACGATCAATTGCCAACCTTATTCTTGACTTCACCACATGAGAACAGGCATGCCAGACACTTAAACTCGAACATGGCCAACGGACCAAATATAAAGATGCGGACATCATCTCGGTCCGTACAACCCCCGACCTCCGCGACAGGTTACACCGACTCCGCGATTAATAATCTCAGCTGCAAGAACGATGTCCATGAATTCGTCCGGAATCTGCGGCTGAACAAGTGGCGCTTTATAATGCATAGATACGCACTAATTCCCTGCTCCCCATACGTCCAACATCGCGTTATAGCACCTCACAATGGCTAATCCGGGGAACTCCGATCCATCTGGATGCCGCTTCAATGCAACCGCAACCCTAACCAAGCTACGAGGCTCACTACTCGCTGCAGTGGGTAGACAAAATGTCGAAATCGATCCCACACCGATCCCCGCGACGACAGCGCACCGTCGTCGGGCCTCTGTTTCCACTGCCTCCCTCGATCGAGACGAAACCCTCGCTGAGAAGATCTCCGACCAGCTGGACCATGGTGAACCGGTGAAGGAAACTGAAGAAACGATCTTGTACCTTGCGTACGGGTCGAATCTGGCTTCCAAGACATTCCGCGGTATGAGGGGGATTAAACCGATTTCGCAGATTGGGGTTTTCGTTCCTGAGCTTAGGCTCTCATTTGATCTTCCGGGGATTCCGTATCTGGAGCCTTGTTTTGCGGGGACACAGTATCGGGATGTGTCGCATGATGATGGCGATGATGGCGATGACGATGGCTATCTCGATTCAAACGAGGTGTCGGAGAAGGCCGCGCTAATGGGCCAGACACAGCGTGAATTCTATCACAAGCGGCGATGGAGTAGACCTCTAGTTGGTGTGGTTTACGAAGTCACTCTTGCAGACTATGCGAAAATCATCGCTACAGAAGGTGGTGGTCGTGGATACCGTGATGGTGTCATTGATTGCTACCCATTCCCCGAAGACTATGATTCCTCCGACCCGGTCCCTCAACATCCCTCGACGCCAGCATTCAAGGCCCGCACACTTCTCTCGCCCGCTGCGGATGATGCTCGGATTCGCTCGCAGATGCAGCGTGGCGGTGCGGTGGTTTCTAAACCGACACTGTCGTGGTGGTATACCATTGGGTTGCACTTCCGGCCTGATCCCGACTATGCACAGCCTTCTGCTCGGTATTTGAATTTGATCAAGACTGGTGCTGCAGAGCATGATCTCCCTGTGTCGTATCAGAAGTATTTGGCGCAGATTAGGACATATCATATTACGACCAGGGGGCAGAAGGCCGGGAAGGTGATCTTCATGGTTTTATGGGTGCCGTGGCTGCTTTTGGTTCTCACGTTGTCGAAAATCTTTGCTGGGGCTGATGGACGGAGTCCGCCTTGGTTGGTGGCCATGGCCAATGTTTTGTTCTCGGGGATGTGGAATAGCTATGACCTGTTCTTTGCGAGGGTCTTTGGGAACGGTGAGCGGACTCTGAGTGATATCCCCGCCTGATTCTGCATACCTGCCATATAACAAGATAATAGAGCTAGAAGTACATAATATGGAGTTATCCGACCTGGTTAGCGTGTAAATGAATATCATTTGTATATCTCTTTCTGTATCCCAGTCCAGTCTTCTTGACGCACACTCTAAATCATCCGAACAGCTGTTAGAGCTACTTCAATAGCTCCACAACTAGACGATGCTAAATCTGCAATGACCTGAGCCGTGCTATGTGGAGAATGAAGTACGCTAGCATCTCCGTCCAAGCTGCCCAGGTACTGACGAAATACAAGTACCTTCAGTTCTGGGGTTCGCAACCTAGAGCGATGCAAAGCGTCCACAATGAAAAGCAGAGACCTGAACAGTCACTACACACACCGGTCTCCGTCATAATCACAAAGGAAATTAAATTCAGATGACTCCTCGAAGCACACAGTTTTCGAAAGGAAATGAAAAAAAGAATATATCTAGGATACAGATACAGGTGTTCGGGGAGCGTTCTAACAAAAACACAGACACAGCGTAGATAGACACAGATAATGACGAAAGCGAGAGGCCTGTCCGAGGCCCATACCAAGCTGGGGGTGTGGTATGAATATTTCCCAGCGGTGCAGCCCCGTCGACCTCTCACATTTTACCACTCAGAAAGAAAAGGTCACGCTGCAGATTTAACGACGGGGACCAATGGGGGGGCTGTACACGATCTTGCGGGTCTTGAGAGGGGCCCACTTGTAGCGCTTGACCCAGACGGAGATGGCGAAGAGACCGGTCAGCAGAGCGACGGCCTTGACACCCATCTTCTTGCGGTCGTCCATCTCGGGCTCGGCGGACCAGTTGAGGAACTCGACGACGTCCTTGGCCATCTGGGAGGTGGTGGCGGGGGTACCGTCCTCGTACTCGACAACACCGTCGAACAGGACACGGCCCATAGCAATACCTGGTTACCTGGTCAGCTCAAAATACCAATGGAGAAGAAAGATCGTTGTTCACGTACCGGTACCGGGGAAGTAGGGGTTGAAGTTCATGCCCTCGGCGACGGCAGCACCGGCGGGAGGCTCATCGGGGTAACCGGTGAGGAGGGAGAAGACGTAGTTGCAGCCACCGTGACGGCCCTTGGTGATCAAGCTCAGATCGGGGGGCAGAGCACCGGCGTTGGCGGCACGGGCAGCCTCATCGTTGGGGTAGGGGGCAGGGATGTAGTCGGAGAGCTTTCCGGGGCGCTTCTCGATGTTGCCCTCGCTGTTGGGCTCGGTGTCGTACTCGTTGTCCTCGGCCATGGCCTTCATCTCATCGACGGTGTGCATGGTTCCGACCATGTTGCGCCATGGGACACGGGTAAGGGAGTGGCAGGAGGCGCAAACTTCACGGTAAACCTGGAAACCACGGCGAAGGCTTTGAATGAGGTTAGATTCGGCGGGTAGACACATTGTGGAATTTTAGGGGTCGTCACTCACGCAGCGTGGTCGAAGGTCTTGTTGAAACGCTCGTGGACCCAAGGGTACTGAGTGGCGTGGAGTCTGAAATAAATCCCATCCGTTAGCTTCCATCCTTTCTGTTGGGATCGCACAATGCCCGGCTCGGTGCGCCGGGGGTCCTTGGTTGTGACGATCTGCTGGGGCGAAGTTGACTCACCCCTCTTCAGCGGGTGTCATGGCGAAGGCCTCCTGGCCGTAGAGGTGGTAGTACCATGCGGTGGAACCGGCGGCGGCGGCGGTTGCGAGACCGGCAGTGAGTGTGAGGTAGAAGGGGGAGCTGGCGGCCTCGCCGGCGGAGGTGGAAGCGGCACGCTGATGAGGATTAGCAACAAGGTCCCTTTGGAAGCCAGGTCCATAGGATCGATTGGCCTCATCGGTCAAGTTCAATGGGTTCGTACCGTGGACTTCCCGAGGGAGCGTGCGAAGGTCCGGTTGGACGCGCGCAGAATTGAACGTCCCAGCATGGCGAAAGTTAACCCTCCAAGCAATTGAGAATGGATGGGAAGTAGTTCTGGATCGCCAAAGCGAGAGAGGGGTGGAGTGGGGAAGGGAAGGATGGAACAGGAGAGAGGTGCTCGTTGGAGGTTGGACGTCGAAGTTGCAAGTTTCTTCGTTGATGATTACCCCTTCGTTCTGATTGGCCCGTCCTCTCCCCGACCACAGCGCCGCCAAATCTGCCACTTTCACTTCTTCTTTTCTTAGGATTCTTTGCTTTACATTATACAGGATTATTGGGGGAAAGTCTGCTACTAATTTCAGCTCGTGATGTGGACTATACTACCTCCTGGATCTTCTGGTGTTGTTTTTTTCCTACTATTTTTTTTTCTCTGACCGGCTGAGCGCTTCCGAGTTTCACCGAGAAAAAGAACACGCATCACCGGAACAACAGAACCGTTTTGATAGCTTCACCATTTAGGTTTATTTACACTATGACGGAAGCTCTTTATTCTCCGGTTTTATTTGAGCTTTAGACATCTTCATGTATGCCCGGTCTATAATCCGTCCGGCCATGCTATGCGCCCCATACTTAAGTATACTTCGAACCTCCGGAGTACAAGTACATCTTCTCTTTGTACTAATGCATATTCGGCTTCAATTGATGATGAGCTGCATCCGATTTGGCTATAATGGTTTTGAATGAAGCTTGTCAGCTAGTTCATGGCCTTTATTAAGATGGCTAGGACACATACTAGGAGCTCCAGGGCTGCTTGTATATTTATCCCCGGGTCCTCCGTAACTACGGAGTAGCTGTGTATGATTTTGGACCTCACAGTTTATGGCCCAGAGTATACACATTGGAACAACCAAGGAGAATCAAACTAAAGATATCCAGCTTACCAGGCTAGTAACCTTGGAACATCCTCTAGATAAGTCGAAGGTGTACTCCGTACTCCGTACTCCATTCTCCATACTTGCGCATATGGGAGGGAGGCGGTGTGGTTCTGCCAAGAGGCGCTGGACCCTGTCCGTGCACCCAAATGCACTCGACTGTAGCTTCTGAATACTGGGAAGAACAGAGTTGAGAATAGAGCTGATAAATGCGTGAATGCAGGAAATGCATACATGAAACTCTGACGCCAGCCTGAAGCAAGACAATTCGTGGTTGTGCCCGACTAAGACAAGACGGACCCCCGCGGGGCCAGGCGTCTGAGGGTGTCTCAAATTACGGGCTACCCAGTGCTTTCTGTTCCCCGATGAAGAGGCCAAGAACACACGATGCCAGGCGCAAAGAAAGGACCCGCGGCCGTGGCCGGACCACGCAGAGATGTGCTGGCCTCGCTGCGCATGGCATCAATGGAGGATATCTCCAGAGCGGCTCTCCCAGCAGGTGCGTAAGATCAGACAATGTGGAGGACAAATCATACTGACAAGCACAGAGATCGTATCCTCGATCCTCGACCACGTCAGCCCCGTTGATCTGATCCGAGCAGCACGGTCATGCAAGCTTATGCACGAGATGGCGTACGATGACACGCGATGGGTACACCGGTTGAAAAGGATTGGATGCTGGGACGAAGCAGATGCGAGAAAGCACGCCGAAGTGCTCTTTGGAACGGTCGCCAACATGGAAGCTGTCGAACAGCAAGAGGAGGCGGAAATAGGCGATGGGTCGGTCCCAGCTGTCACTATCGGCGACGACCCTTCCAACGAACTGAACAAAATGTCCGATGGATTTGATAAGATTGAGTTGGTGAATACATCAGCGCAGTCTAATATGCTGGACGATCTCAACAGCGATCCTAGCTTGGTGGGCCTGAAACAGGTCAGATCAATCCGGGGCGAGGCTCGTCAGGAATACGGCAAGCTCCATGCGGCACTGGCACCTTTCTACGAGGACATTGCGCGGAACGGACCTTCGGCCGAGAATCTCGTGTTCACCAAATACCAGGATCCTCAGGCCCAAGCCCAGCTATTGGCTCAGTTGCTTTCGTTCGCGAAATCAGATATAGAGCAAGGATGGGAGCAGCGACTAGAACACCTACAGGGTACCGTCTCTCTGTTTGAAACTGCTGCATTGAAGGAGTTCCGCGAAGGATACGAATCCGAAGATGTTGATGGGACAATGCGAAAATATGCCCATATTCTATGGACGCTCAACGGTGGACAATCTGCCGTCGATATCTTCATCCACCACAATCACATCATGACACGGAAATCCGAACTAGGGAATGTTGCTGATTGTATCGATGGACAGGCTGGTACAGTCAAGATGGAACAGACCCAGGCATTCTTCACACGTTTCAGTGTCGCTTTCAACGATGAGATTTCCATCATGAACCGTGTGTTCCCTTCCAACCTAGATATTTCATCTGCCTTTATGGAAAAAGTCGGACAAGATGTGCTGTCTCCTTTCCTCACAGCAATATTCGACGAGCTGCATCGTTCCAGCATTGGATCATATCTCACTGCAATCTCAGCGACTTTTGTGCAATGCATGAACCTATCGGAAGCTTTGCTTCCCACAAAAACCTCCGATGCCAAATTTGACGAGTATCTTGACAACGTCGTCATCAAAATCTACGAGCCACACATTGACTTATACTTGGCAGAGGAGCTGGATCATTTCAAGAAAACATGCGAAGCCACCGTAAGGGACTGGGACCGGCAGCTTTCTGAGCAAGCAGCGTCCACCGAGTCTTTCTTGATGTCCAACGTCAACCGTCAAGCCGACAAACGGGATTTCCTGACATCATTCAAAAAGGTTATCATGATGCCTGTAAATATCCTCCCGAGCTTTTCAAGCACGAAAACAGAGGAAGCCAAGCCGGAGACGGAATTCAGCAGTGACAATCCGTTCCAAGCACCCAAGAGTCCCAATCGTTTCTCCACGATATCTTCACCTGCCCCTGTGGCCGTTGAAGAGGTTCCAACCACAGAGCTGGCAGCAAAGGCGGCCATCATGAAAGTGAAGATGGAGGGTATCCGATCATTGTTCAGCATTGAGATTGCTCTTGGATTAGTCCATGCCGCCAAGGCCAGCCTGGAAAGAGCCGCTCAGTTTGTACGATTGGGTGGCGAGCTTGCTCTCGCAGCAAAACAACAGTGTGAGGCAATCTTTGTGACCATGCTTCGCATTTTGGGACACCAGCACGTAATTGTTGGCTTCGACAAAGCCGTCAGCCACCTCTCCAACTACCGACCACGCGAACAAGGGGAACGTGACCAATCTGGCGTCGAACCACTAGTCACATTTTTGGAACTGGTCAACGTTGGCGATCTGATCCTTCAGATGATGGACGTCTTCTACGAACAGGAGTTGATCGGCACAAGATTGACCGATCGAAATGATTTCTTGGACCCAGCAAACAAGGAGAAGAAGAAATTCGAACAGATGCTCGACGAGCGCGTCGCCGCTGGCTTGAACAAGGGAATTGACGTTCTCATGGAAGAGGTGGATTACATTCTAGCAACACGCCAGCTAGCCACCGACTTCAACCCAGGCGTCTCTTCAGACCCACACCGCCAGACCATGGATGTCGGCGTCAGTGAAGTCGCCACCGCCGTGGTCGATGTAGTTTCCTCGCACACACAGATGCTAGTAGGAAGCACAGATAAGAGTACACTGGACGTCTTCAACCAGGAGGTCGGTCTTCGTCTCTTCACTGCCCTCTGCAAACACCTCAAGCGCCAGCGCGTGAGTGTAGAGGGTTCACTCAAGTTGATCAGTGACATGAACCACTACTTCAAGTACATCCAGACCCTGCGCAACACCGAGCTTCTCCTGTACTTCACGGCATTCCGTGAACTTGTGCAGATATACCTGGTTGACCCATCTGACGCCAAAGAGCTGGCGAATCTCATCGCCGATGCGGATCGGTTCCATGGGATCTGGCGTGTGGAAGAGGTGATTGAATTTGCGGAGCGCCGGGCTGACTGGTATCAGGTCAAGCGTGATGTTGAACGAGCTATGTATGGCATTGGGTGCAATGTCATGTAAATGGATATGAATGTTGGAATACCCCGGCTGCAGAGTGTATTTATGTTTCTATTGGCTGGCTCAGTGAGCACTAAGGTAGATATGAGAATATATACATACACTGGATCACGTCTGCTCTTATCTCGAGGTGTTCCTGAAGTCTTTGTGACCTAGGCCGGTCTCTGAAGCATAGGCTGTTTGTCTCAAGCCCTGAGACCAAGCAGTGGGACAAGACGAAACCTACTCCGTGTCTACAGGTCCACTACCTAGATATAAGCGCCCAGATCTCAAAAAAGGGGACTATATGCAGCCCTAGCGTATTTCATGCAGTCTGCAGACTCCCAGCCCTAAGCTCATGTGACGTCAACGTTGGCGGCTGCTGGAACACTTCAGTTGCGTCTGAAACTTTAGAACCATCCCGATCCAACTATCCGCCTGTCCCAGTTGCATTCTAAAACATGGATAGAACCATGTATTTGCTTATATTTCGACCCTTCTCGCCATTTCTGTGGCCCAACTGGGCGGGCCGCAAAGACCAGCCTCTATTGTTCAATACGCCATTGACGACACAATGAATCGCAAAAGAGCTTGATTCACGAGACTGTCATTCAAAGATATATATTTAATCGCCTTCCAAGGGACGCATTGAACCCTCCAGATCTATTGAGGATCGAATCCTTGGCTCCAAAGCTTCGAGGCCCTTTCTCACGCCTTAAAAGGGCGTCAGCGTTTACACCTCCGCCGCTTGAATAAGATCAAAGACCATTTTCTCGCCTTGAATTGGTGTCGGTCGACCGGTCCCCGCGACTTGAATAGGAATTCAAATGCTCATAAAAGAGCGGACCTTGCGCTAAAAGATTTCATCTTCTACATCTCTCATCTGCTACAAAGGACGACAAATTCATTACGTTGGCTTCTACATTGATCTACATTTACCACAAGATCAAACCAACTACAACTTCTTCTACACCACCCTTCTGGAAGACAATATCTTGCAGACAAAGAAAAATCACCCACCTCATCTTGCATACTTTCAAAACCTTAACCCAAGAACGACGCATCGATAAACCAAAAATGGGGTCCAAGGACCTCAGTCTCCAAGGATGGCTGGCCATCTACATCCTCCTCACAGCTAGCACTGCAACTGCCAAAGAGCTAAGCACCATGACAATTGGAGCCCCAGGACAGCCAACAGTCGTGATAACAGTCGAGGCACCCCCTGTACCAACAACACCGCAAGATCCATCCTATCTCGACCTGGAAATCCTCAAGAAAGACACTCTGGATGTAACAAACGAATATCGCGCACAACACAGCGCCAAACCACTAGTGTGGAATGACACATTAGCTGAAGTCTCAAAGAAATGGGCTGAACCATGTATCTGGAAACACTCAGGCAATGTAAGTCCCTCTTCCCAACTCACCAGAATACTCGTATCTAATTATAAAAACAGCCCTTGTATGGAGAGAACATAGCCTACGGCTTCAACAACGTCACTGGGGCCATCAAAGCCTTCGGCGATGAAAGAGACATGTACAACTTCACGCTCCCAACCGGTTGGAGCCACGAAACTGGCCATTTCACCCAAATGGTCTGGCAAGGCTCACAACAGATGGGATGCGCCGCTGTCGACTGCGGCTATAGGCATGAGAAGAGCAAGACTGTAGCAGGGAAGAGGAACATGGACCCTGATACCAGTCCTCAGGTATACGATGAAAGCGTTGCTGATCTGACGAAGCGCGAAAATGAGGATGGGCTAGGCGAGGACAAGCGCGCACAGGGCTGGTACCTTGTTTGCGAGTATCAGCCCCCAGGCAATGTTATCGGGAACGACAATAAGTGGTTCAAGAATGTCTTGCCACAGAAGAAACCGAAGGAATCTGCGACTTCTACGACTACTGCTGCCAAGCCCACGGCTAATGCGACGGTGACTGGTACGGCTAATGCGACGACGACGACTGGTGCGGCTGCTACGCCTACTTCTGGGGGGAACTCTGCGAAAATGGGCGGTGCTTTCAAGGCTGGATTTGGTTCGATGATGATGTTGGTTGGGATGATGTGTGTTGAGATGGGACTGTGAGAGATATTGGAGGTTGTGCACGCGCAATTTGGGTTCGAGATGATCACGTTGAAGCACTATATTGTGATTGAAGCATTGATATCCCGGGCCATTGTTTTGGTGATTTGATGATTGATGATTTGGTGATTTTTGAGCGCATGCTGTGTCGAGATATAAACCAAATTGGCTCAGGTGCTAGGGATTCTACAGGTCTTCAGATGAATAGGACAAGGTTGAACTTCACTAGGAACTGGTTTCGTAGCCATCTCTCATGCTTATCCACATTGCACATTTCGTCGGACGTGCCGATCTATTGAATTTTGGAATGTCCCGATCCTCGCAGGGCTTGCCCAGGGAACCTAAAAGAAACACAAGGGGACAGAAGGCTGGGCGCGAAACGCCAGCGTCGAAACAAGGGGGAAAAGAGGAACAAAAGGAAACACATTATTTGCGAAAATAGACACTGATTCATCCAATGACCTCCTCGGTCTCTTCGATAATCTCTTCGACAATCTCCTCGACCACGGAGTCTCCCTGGTCCTCGACGACGGGGCGGGCGTCGAGGGCGGCCTTGGGTGAATCTGCGTCCTCGGCGAATCCAAGAACCTCCTTCTCCTCGGCCAGGAGCTCCTTCTCCCGACGGAGCCATGCAAGCCACTCGCTGAGCACACGTTTGCGGGTCTCGACAACGGCAGTGTTGGCGATATCCACGGCGTACTTGTCCTCCTCGTCGAACTCCTTTGAGTACTCGCGAAGGTTCTTGCGCACTTGCTTCTGCTCCTCCTTGCTGAGGAGAGTGGCGGGGCGCGGGCGCCAAAGGAACTGCTTGAACTTTTCGGTGGGGTTTTCGGAGAGAGTGGTACCGGAGAAGGTGTGCATGTTCCAGCCGTTCTCCATCTGTTATGTAGTTAGTATCCGAGAGAAAATAAAGCATGAATCTAGATTGTCTTACCGAGTGTGTCCAGACACTGGCACTACTGACAACGTAGCGACCAGTGGAGTCCCAGTCAATATCGGTGACACCGTAGTGCTCAGAGGTCTTCATGAGCTGAAGGTTAGCGGCGAGGTTGTTCTCGCCGTCAACCTTCTCGCCCTCGAAGTCCATATCCCAGAAGTCCATGTCGAAGCTGGTCTGAGAGTGAACGGTGGCGACAACAACGAAACGTCCCTTGGGGGACCAGTAGATACCGTTGCTGTTCTTCTTGTCGACGGTGCGGACCAGCTTGAAGTTGCCGGCCTGGTGACCCTTCTTCTCGGGGGCGAAGAAAGAGACGGCAGTCTTAGGAGCAACAGCAGCACCTTGAGCTGCCTCGCCGTTTGTGATAGCAACGAATCGTGATCCATTGGGCTCCCAGGCAAAGTTAATGACGGTATCCTTAAGGCTGTCAACAACCTCGACGGGAACACCTTTCTCGCGAACGCGGAAGATCTCGAGGTTAGTAGCCATGGACTTCTTGGACTTGGAGTGACGGTCGACCTTGACACAGACGTAGGCACCCTGTGATTGCCAGTGCAGCTTGACATCGGAGACGTTGAAGAGGTTACGGGTACGAACGATCTCCTTAGTGGGAACACTCATCATACCAACACGAGCGGGGTTGCTGCCAATCTCGGGGGTCCAGAAGCAGAGGAGCTGCTCGTATTGCTTGACACCCTCACGAATGACGGTGGCAGGAGACCACTCGAAGTCCATAACACCGTCGATCTTAATGGAAGTGCGACCAAGGAGGTTCATGTTGGGGAGCTCGTAGACAGAGATAGACTGGCCCTGGAGCATACGAGCGACGTACTTCTCATCAGCGGACCACTTGAAGGCGGGCCACTGGACCTTCTTCTTGGGTGCAACATCGCCATCGATGGCGACGGGAGCAGCGAGATCGTGGGAAACGAAAGAACGGAGGGGCTTGCCGGTCTCGATGTCCCAGACAATGATGTTCTTGCCATCCTCCTCGTAGGTCAGTACGGGCTGGCCTTCCTCGACCTGGATGGGGCGGGCGGACCACGTTGTCAAGTAACCCTCAAGTGGGGAGAACTCAATCAACTGGACGAAGGGGTGGGGGAATTGCTTTTGCTTGGAGAAGGACTCGCCTCCCCAGAGTTGGACACCCTGGGGGTGGACGGAGGCGAGGAAGGTACCCTTGGGAGACCATTGGACGAAAAGTTGTGTCCAGTGAGCGCGATCCACGACGTTCTCGGGTGTGTTGGTCTTGTTGTTCCAGAAAACGCCGACCTTGTCGTTGCGGTAAAGGGCGAACTGATCACGGGCATTGGCATCTCCCATCCACGAGCGCAGGTGCTCCTTCTCCTTGAATGGCTCCAGGGTGGGGGCCTTGTATTCTTCGTCGACACGGCCTTCGCGACCATAGCGCTCGATATCCATCAACTTGTTCACGGCCAGGGTGTGCTTCTTATCGAGGGGAACGCCGTGCAGCTGCTTGACAGCGGCCACAGCCTGTTCGGGGGTTTCGTATTCCACAAAGGCGAATCTGCATATTTCCAACAAAGGTTAGAAATTGTCCACTAGATCTCCAATTTCACCCGGCATCCGATACGCACCCTTCAGTCATCTTCTTGTCGTTAACGGGCATGAACACCGCATCTTCGGAGGTGCTGCCGACGGAGTTGAGTTTTCTCAATAAGAATTTCACGAGCTTCTGTCGACTGTCTTCGGGCACAACGGGGAGGCCATCGATGACGATAAATGTGTCCAATCCTTCCTCCATCTGAACTTCATATTCGGCCTTGAGATCTGTAGAACAACCCGTTAGAGAGGGGCACACAGACGAAGAAATCTCACACTCACCAGAGAAGTCAATCTCCTCCTCCTCTTCCTCGTGGAGGTCCTGCTCGGACAGGGTATCGAAACTGGGCGCCATAATGGGTATTTGAGAATACCGAGGGCGTCTATAGGTTCCGGAGCAAAGATAGATCGGTGTAGTCCGCTGTTGGATTTTCGGGCAGAAACAAATCGCGGACGCCAAGCAATTCTTTGTGCGGACTGACATAAGCTCATACAGTGTTTTGCCTTGTTTGTGTGGTTTGCACATGTTTGTTTTACTTTGCCTGATTGGGGTTAGTGTCTTTGTCTTTTTTAGTGTGGTGCTGATCGTTGAACATCAAACTGCAGGGTTCTTGATGCCATTTTCTATACTATTTTCTATGTCATTTTCACTCTCCAACCTAGCTTGAATTATCTGATTGCACTTCTTGGAACCAATAATGCAGTCTTGAGAGGTCTAAATAACCTGATAAACCTCAGAGACAGACTCTTTGAAGCATGTTTCATTAACACTACCAGAGAAATGGACGCCTTCAACCTTATTACGCTTGTGCGACGTAGTACATGTATGAAGTTGACCTAAAGTGATACAGAATGCCCCGTACTATGTCCAAGTATCTTTTATGAACTATCTAGGGCACTGCCGGATTGGGGAGGTATACTATGATATTGAATAATATAGTCAAACTTTCTCTAATTTCTACTCAGCTTTTTGGAACTCGAAACAGAGCCCAGAGAGTATGCCTCTTTGTTAGCATCAAAATCCATCCAAACTTTAGGTCTGCACACTGCGAGAAAGTACATACATAGTGTTGTCCTCCGTGCAGTGTAAATCATAGCTGCACGTGACTGCTTACACATGATTTCCCCAGCTTGAGGCCCGTCAATCATCATAGATGTCTCCGGAGAAGCTCTCGACTGTATTCCCTTGGCATTTTACTGCATATTATATGCCCAGTCCTTAATTTCACCTGGCATTTATCTAAACTTGCCACCAAATCAGTCTACTTGCCCTAAATCCACCCCAACTCTGTCGCCAATGCCCCGCCGGTCTTAAGCGCCAGTGCGACTTGAGTATAGCCCACCTGACAACTCCGAGCTCCTCTTCAGCCAGTGTACCCCATTGCACACCCCGCAATATTCTCAATTGCACCCAGCAAACCTCAACCCAACCAACAAGCACGACCACCGGGCCCCGACCTCTGTGATCTACTTCGACCAAGATGTCATGTAAGCTACCTCGGCGCTGTCCCGATGCCAATTGCCGGCGCTTCCTCAAGCCTGCTAACCACCCTGCGATTTTGCGCATTAGTATCCTCAGAGCTCCGCGACAAATACACCACGATTATTGATGATATCTTGGCTAAAAGCGACCTTACCACCATCTCTGAGAAGCGGATTCGCAAGGGTCTCCAGGATGTCGTCGGGCATGATCTCACTCCGCAGAAGGTCAGTCCACCCTGGCGATATTTTGCGGGTCACCTCAAAAAGCCACACTGGGGTCATCAGCGACGAAATATGACTGACATACAAGAAGGCTGCCATCAAGCAGCTCATTATGGAACGCTTCGACCGGTATGCCGAGCAGGATGGCCTGGGCGGGTCACCCGAGGAAACAGCTACAAGCAATGGCCAGCGCGATTCAGCATCGGCCGCAGATCGATCCCCACCTGCTTCCTCGTCTCCCGTCAAGCGCCATGCCTCCAGTGACGGCACCTCCGAGCCCGCGAGCGCATCACCGCCGGCCAAGAAACAAAAGCCCGATGATGAGTTCGATGCCGATGCAGCGTTTGCCGCGAAGCTGCAGGCCGAGGAAAATTCGCGCGCGCGACCCACCCGAGGAGGTAACACCCGTCGTGCAGCTCCTAAAAAGAAGAGCAAGGCCAAGACCTCCAAGAGGGTGAAGGCCTCTGATGATTCCGATATCGCTTCTGGCGAAGAAACCAAGAAGGAGGTCAACAGGAATACGGGATTCCACGTATGTGAACAATTTATCCACTGGTCGTCAATCTCTCTACCTATTCTAACCGTCATACTCCGTACAGAAACCACTTAACCTGTCCGAGCCGTTGTCCGCACTCCTTGGAGAAGTGACGGTGAGCCCTTCCTTTTCTATTACGATCAGTCCTGTCGTACTAAACAGTGATATAGCTCTCACGGCCACAAACAGTGAAGAAGGTATGGCAATACATCCGCGAGAATGAGCTCCAAGATCCTAGCGACCGCCGCCAAATCCGATGCGACGACGCCATGCGCGCCGTCTTCAAGCAAGATCGCGTGCATATGTTCACCATGACGAAAATCCTGAACCAGAATTTGTACAACCCCGACGAATAGCCATGACTTGGGGCCATTGCTGTCATGCTGGATCAACAGGCTCCAGTCCAAGTCCTGTTTCCTAACGATTCTCCTTGGTCATTCTTGATAGCTCTCTATTTTTGCGATGCATGGGGACGCTGGCGCGATTTTTGAGCACTTTACATCCGCCATTTTTGATGATTTTTTCGCAGTATCGACTTTGCTTTGTTGTCGAATGTGACGTGGGCCTTCCACTGATGCCATACCCAGGTGGCTTCTAAGGTCCTCGACCCAAGTACAGGTCTTAGATAAATCTTTCTTACATAGATGTAGAAATTGACATCTTCATAAGGCTGCACACGGCTCTTGAAAGGACGACGTAAATATATGAGTTGTCGATACACATAGTAAAGGGATTCAAATGGCGATCAAGAAAAAGAGCAGACGATCATGGTCACCTCACAATATCTCGGTATTCCATTGGGGTCTTTTACGTGGGCTTGAGAAGTGATGGCTTGAAACACAGCCAACAGCGCGTAGCTCATCCAATGCGGCATGCGGGATCAGTCAGCGACATATACGCGGGCTTTTTTTTCGGTTTCTCCCCCCACCACTCCCCACACTTTCCAGAGCTCTGCAGCGTTCATAACCTGGCCACTGGTACCAGCCTTCTCCGCGACACCCGTTTCCTCCATCCGCTCGTTTCCGCAATGGCCGACAACCAGACCCCTGAAGCGCCCAGCCAACGTGGTGGACGTCGCCGTGGCCGCGGAGGGGCAGCTTCCTCCGGCCGTGAGAACACCCAGAACAACACCGATGGTGAGAAGCGTTCCAAGCCTCGTACACGAGGCAGTGGCCGGGGTGGCGGAGACAATGGCCGCCAGACCCGCAAGACCGAACAGACCAGCAATAAAGACACGCAGTCCAAACTCACGGTGACGTCGGCGACCAAGAAACCAGTGGAAGCTGCCACCGACGATGCAGACGATGGCGAGGTCTGCTTCATTTGCGCCTCTGCTGTCGAACATACCTCAGTTTCCCCTTGCAACCACCGAACATGTCATATTTGTGCGCTTCGACTGCGCGCACTATATAAGAACAAGGCTTGTGCTCATTGCCGGGTATGCTACACCCTTCAGGTCATTCTGCAACTGCCTAGAAGCTTTATGCTAATGAACAGTTAGACGGAATCAAACTTCGTTGTATTTACGGATGATCCTGCACGACGGTATGAGGATTTCCAGAAGAAGGACTTCGCTCGGACGGACGAGAACCTGGGAATCGAGTACGAGAATGATGAGATTTTTGGAGACACTGTGCTTCTGCTTCGATACAACTGCCCAGACGAGGATTGTGATGTGGCTTGTCTGGGCTGGCCAGACTTGCACCGTCATGTCAAGTCGAAGCACAACAAAATGATGTGGTATGTGTCATGTATACTGGACGGCATGGGTGCCTCTTGAGCTGTCAGCTAACCCGGTCCTCAAAGTGATCTTTGCACTCGTAACAAGAAGGTTTTCACACACGAGCATGAGCTCTTTACTGCGGCGGAGTTGCGAAAGCACGAGAAAACTGGCGACGATAAGCCTGGAGCTATTGATCAAAGTGGATTCCGGGGTCACCCCGAGTGTGGCTTCTGCCGTCAAAGATTCTATGGTGACGATGAGCTCTACGCTCACTGTCGTGACAGACATGAACGCTGCCACATTTGTGATCGCCGCTCCTCCCACCGCCAGCAGCAATACTACATTGATTACAACGCCCTTGAGAAACATTTCTCGAAGGACCATTTCGTCTGTCTTGACAAAGAATGTTTGGAGAAAAAGTTTGTCGTTTTTGAATCTCAAATGGACTTGAAAGCCCATCAGATTGAAGCCCATCCGGATGGCCTGTCGAAGGACATTCGCCGTGATGCAAGAATGGTTGACCTTGCCGAGTTTGACAACATGCGCACACCATTCCAACCGCAGCGCCAGCAGCGTCGCGGGGCTGGCCGCGGTCGTGACCCTAATGCCGAGCCACTGCCACAATCTAGTGCACAGCCATTAACTCGAGCCGAACTTGCATACCAGCGTCAAATGGCCATCCAAAGTTCACAATCTGTCTCAACACGAACCTTCGGTGGCCAGCTTACCCGAGAAGACGTCCAACCTGTGCGTGCGCCTGAACGCTCAGCCGCTGCCACCCCAGTGCAGTCTCCTCCTGTGTCACGCCAACCACTCCCTACTGCAGCATTCGAAAATCTCAACCTTGCTGCCAACTCTGGACCAGCTACACCCCAGGATCAGGCCCGCCGAATGCGCCATGAGGCTGTGGTTCAACGTGCATCCAGCCTTCTTCGCAACGATGCCACCAAGCTCAGCGAGTTCCGCAGCAGAGTATCAAGCTTCCGTACCTCCTCTATCTCAGCAACCGAGCTCATCGATGCCTTCTTCTCGTTGTTTGACACTTCCAGCACAGAGCTAGGCAAACTCGTCAAGGAGCTCGCCGATATTTACGAAGATGAATCAAAGCGCTCCGAGCTTTTACGTGCTTGGAACGATTGGCGCGCCATTAACGAAGACTATCCCGCTCTTCCAGGCCCCGGTGGTCTCCTACCAGGCATGTCCCCTGGCACCGTCAACACCGGCGGCAGTCGTGTTCTACGCCTGAAGTCATCAACGGCCCGATCTTCGCGCTCTGCTGTCGGCAAAAGCGGCTCCCTCCCAACAGCCCCCTCTAACCCCTTCCCCCCTCTCTCTGCTGCAGCTGGTCCTTCCCGACGTGGAAAGGCTGCCGCCGCAACACCCTGGGCCTCAGCACCCCCACCTCCCCCCGTGGCCCGTCCCGCAGCTCGCCCTGTACTCCCAACCCCTACCAGTTCCTACTCAGCCCCATCCTCAAGCCGTGCTCCTGCTGCCCCGGCTCCCAGAACTGCCGATGCATTCCCCTCTCTTCCAGCCGCGCCCAAGCCCAATGTACTGATGGCCGGCAAGACGCGTGGCACAGTTCGCTGGAATAATAACCTTGGCCCCGCCACGAACGCATGGGACTCGAACCCAAGTTCTGGTACTGCCTCTCCTGCTGAGCCGAACTATGACAATGAAGCTAGTTCCGGTAAGAAGGGCAAGAAGGGCAAGGGAAAGCAAACCCTGTTCCATTTTGGTTAAGGCGCTTTGATAGGGTCGTTGATATTGCATTTTAGCTAGATGTTTGTTTTGTAGGCGGCGCAGGCGAATGATCTTATGCTCCGGGCTAGGTTGATGATTCTTTTCTTGTACCTAGCGACTACAGATACAATGTATTGTATAGAGATAATTCCTACTATTCTCACTATCTATGCGTAGTATGATATACCGTCGAATTGTATAGTCAGTAGTCCCTCCGCTTCATACAAATACGTGTTTAAACCCTGCAACTCAACAAATTGAGGATCAGAGACTTACTATCCGTTCGTGTGCTCAGACCAGCTGCACATCATCGGCGCCATCCTCAGACTCAGACTGTGGAGGGGCATCGATACTGATCTCTCGAGAGGCCGCACAGTCATCATTCAAACCCGGCTGTGTAGGTTCCGGTTCAATACCCGACATCTCAGAGACAGGCCTAGCAGCACCCTCCAACCCACCATCACCTTCATCCAACTTCATATCCCGATTGATAGCATTCATACGCAACGCAAAGTCGTCCTGCAATTGAATCAACAAAGCCCGAAGAGCCGAATCATCCATCGTCTCCCGGCGAAGAAGAAGAAGCTGTTCCCGAAGTGACAAAAGCAACTTCCGCTTCTGAGCAATAGCCATGGCACGAGATGAGCTATTTCGTCGACGAGCCAGCTGGTTCATCGCTTCTGATACTTCACGTGCCTTGACCCATACAGCCGGAGGCAGATCAGCAACTTGCGCAAGGGCAATTCCGTATCGACGATGCGGAACAAGGCCCTCGGCAATGCGGTACTGCATTGTCATTTTGGATGCATCGGAGGCAATATCAGCGGCAAGATGGAGATTGATGACACCACTGCGTTGGGCGAGAATCTCTGCCAGATCGTGGAAGTGCGTCACGAACCAGACTAGGGCATTACTGGAGATGAGGGCTTCGGCTAGTGCGATGGCAATGGCGAGACCGTCTGTGGTACCTGTCCCGCGGCCTAGCTCGTCGATTATCACCATACTGCGTGGCTGGATATTGCGCAGAATGAAAGCCATTTCGCGCATTTCTGCAGCGAAAGTTGAGACGTTTGCGTCTAGATCATCTGATGTGGCGATGCGGGCGAAGAGCTGGTGAGATATTGGGAAAGAGGCATACTGGGCTGGAACGAAGCAGCCAATTTGGGCCATTACAGTTGTCAGTGCTAGAGAACGGATGTAAGTTGATTTACCACTCATGTTGCAGCCTGTTATGATCTGGAATCGGGTTTGGGGCGTTGCGTAGGCGTCGTTTGGGACGAACTTGCTGGAGTGGATCTGTTCGCGGATTGGATGGCGTCCTGCTTTTATGGCTAGGGTGTCTGTTAGCTCGGGTCGGATGTATTCGTGTTTTGTTGCTAGCTGTGCGTATGAGGCGAGCATGTCGAGCATTGCGATTGCTTCGCTGACTCGGAAGAGGCCGGAAACCTCGCTGCATACGTCGTGGATTAGGTCTTGAATAGCGCGGTTGCTCATGTTGATCACCTCGCTGTGTGAATCGGTGATTTTTTGGTTGAGTTTCACGAGATCCAATGTCTGGCATTCGATTCGGTTGCGCTTGCGATACACATTGATGAAAATGTCGGGCAGTGGGCCTGATTGTGTGGCAGGGATGCAGATGTAATAGTGCCGGGCTGTGTCGTACTTCAAATCTAAGACTATGTCGCAGCTTTCTGTGATGTGTTAGAACTATTGACACAACTTTGGCTGGGGCTTGCCTGATAGATTCTCGATCAGCTCCGTGGCATCTGTGTTGGCCTCTTTATATGTCTGACGGGCAACGTCAAGCAGACTATTGACACCGGTCTAAAACAAATTAGTACAGCCGAAAGTGACGACTGCGCATAATCTCTGACCTTCACACAGTAGATGCGCTGGTTTCTCAGGTCAAGAGGCTTTGACTGGTAGGTAACATGCTCATTCAAGGTTGCGTTGATGAGCTCCTCGATCGCTTGATGGCCTTCTGGTGCACACAGCTGAATGATGTTAGGTTGGACTAAATTTCCATTCTCGAGGAGTGCTTACTTCGCGTATAGTGCGAAGCAGGTCACTTTGGGCTGTTGAGAGGGCCTGAAAGATCGTCTTGATCGAAGAAACGTAAGTCTTGAGCATGATCACGTTGTTGACCGATTGCTCGACATATTGCACGGTTTGCTTGGTAGGCACCAGGATGATCTTGAAACTTTTTAGCACAGTTCTCCCGTAATATTGACAGATACTCTACCGCTGTCAACACTTTGTCTGCATCAATGAATCCCTTGAGTGCCTGTCTGACAGTGATGAACATATCTTCCTTGGTGGTCAGGTCTTCCACGGCGTTGTATCTCGCTGTTAGCTTCACTCGTTCTGTCGAGGGCTGAAGAATATTAGCCCGGAGTAACCTGGCTCCCATGGGCGTCAGTGTCTCGTTAAGCAGGCCAAACAAGCTCTCCTTGGACTTGGCATTTTGTAAATTTTGGATGAGCTCGAGCGATACGATGGTTGCGAGGTCAATCGTCATAGATCCCTCGGACGGTTCGAACCGAATCCGCAGCGAACGAGGGGTGAAAGATCGTTGGAGCTCGATTTCGACATATTTGAGAGCCTATTCACAATGTAAGTAGTTCTCTACATCGCGACTGGGTATTCATACTGCTGCAAAGCAACACGCTGCGAAATAGTTCCCTCCCAGAGTCACTTTTAGCGACTCAACCTCTTCCGGAAACGAGAGTCGGTCCACATACTCGTGGCCTGTTTTTTCGGACCACCATCTGCGGTCTAGGAAGGTGAAGACAGGGTCTGGTAAATTCTCTTGGATGATATAACGCAACTTCGATTCTTTGGCAGTGTTCATGAAAATAATATCGCTGGGCTCGAAGACGCCGATTTTGATGATCGTCTTGACATAAGTCTGACTATCGCATATTTGGCACAGTACTGCTTCGGCTGTTGCGAGATTGATAAAAGCTAGGCCAACAGTGGAGGAGACGCCCCGCGATTCACTGACAGCGCAGACGATGTCCTGAGATGCGACGCTGGTGGCTGTGGTTGTCGGCCTCGCTGTCGGGTGCCTACTTGCGGATCTGGAGACCAGTCGAGGAACATGATTCTGAGGATCCCATGAATTGAATGAAAATTCAGACATTCTCGAGTCCAGTTCACAGTCACAAGTGAAGGTCGAAGTGTGCCTGTGCCTGTGGAGAGACTGATAGCGATAAGAGATAAGCGTCGAGATAATTTTCCTCAAAAATTCTCTCTTCCCTCACGACGTCAAATTCCCTCATATTTCAGCCATGGCGACCCTTTATCCTCCCCCAAGTAAGCGTCAGAAGCTCGCTCAGGCCGAGAGGGCCCGCGAGCAGCAAGAACTTGACACCATTCCCTCTGATTTGGGTAGTGTCCGAGTTCAATTCTACGATCAATCAACCGGCCAGCCCACCGGGCCTGCAGTCTCAGTCCCAGTCGCGGACGCCAATGTCAAGAACCTCGAAACTTTGTTGAACACATTACAAGGAAATGTAAGAACTTCCGCTTAATATATACCATGAGTCCCTAGTCGGCATCAATGGCTGACACCGATCTACAGGAAGATGATGAGCGGGTACCATACCGCTTTGCCTACCACTCTGAAAAAGAGGGACAAACAATTGACATTCTGCGTGATGTGTACCACTCTCTCCTCGAGCCTGGAGTTAAGACCACCGAAGACACAGTATCTCTGTTCTACACACCGCAGGCGGTCTTCCGAGTGAAAGCCGTTTCACGATGCGCCGCCTCTATCGCGGGGCACGGCGAAGCGATTCTGGCAACATCATTCTCCCCCATCAACTCCTCCACCATGGTCTCTGGAAGCGGAGATAACACCGCTCGTGTATGGGACTGCGACACTGGAACCCCTCAACATACGCTCAAGGGCCACACCAGCTGGGTGCTGGCAGTAGCATATTCGCCCAACGGCGCGATGATCGCGACCGGTAGTATGGACAACACCGTGCGTTTCTGGGATGCGAAGAAAGGAACAGCCCTGGGCGGTCCGCTTAAGGGTCATTCCAAGTGGATCACGAACTTGGCTTGGGAGCCATACCATATTCAAGAGTCTGGACGCCCGCGTGTGGCCTCTGCCTCTAAAGACTCAACTGTGCGAGTCTGGGATGTCGTCTCCAGAGTAATTGACCATGTGCTCACTGGTCACAAATCCTCTGTGACTTGCGTGCGATGGGGTGGCACTGGAAAGGTCTATACTGCTTCCCACGACAAGACTATTAAGATCTGGAACCCCAAGGACGGTACCTTGCTCCAGACTCTTTCGGCTCATGCCCACCGTGTCAACCACCTTGCTCTGTCGACTGACTTTGCTCTGCGCACTTCTTACCACGACCACACCGGAAAGGTCCCCGGGACCGAGGCCGAGAAGAGGGCTGCGGCAAAGAAGAAGTTCGAGGAGGCAGCTACCGTGAACAACACCATCGTTGAGCGCTTGGTGTCTGCCAGTGACGATTTCACCATGTATCTCTGGGAGCCGTCCACTTCTAACAAGCCTGTTGCACGTATGCTGGGTCACCAGAAGGAGGTGAACCATGTCACTTTCTCGCCTGACATGGCCTACATCGCCTCTGCTGGTTTCGACAACCACGTCAAGCTTTGGAATGGTCGTGATGGAAAGTGAGTTTCTCCACCTTTTTCTTTAAAAAATTAACATGTCAACTAACTCGCCCAGATTCATCACGACTTTCCGCGGTCACGTGGGTGCCGTGTACCAGTGCTGTTTCTCCGCCGACTCACGCATGCTGGTGTCCTCATCTAAAGACACTACCCTCAAGATCTGGGACGTGCGCACCGGAAAGCTGCGCATGGATCTTCCTGGACACAAGGATGAGGTCTTCGCCGTCGACTGGAGCCCTGACGGACAGAAGATCGGCAGTGGAGGCAAAGACAAGCAGATCAAGATTTGGCGCAACTAGACATGGCCCTTTTCTTGTTAAAAAATGTTTCTCGCCTACAGCTAGTCTTCACGACTAAGCTGGTAACATTGGAACCAAGCGACTGATGAATGCTGCTTGCAAGCACTCTGACGACAACCTCAAATAGGAGGAGCCCGACCCACCCGATTGCTCGTGGGTTCGCTTCCTGCCTTGGATCACTGCTTGGGCAGATGCTTTTTGGCTTTGCAGCCAATGACTTCCCAATCGACAGGGGGCGAACCACGAGCCGGCTTCTATAAGCGCCGCATTGATCGATGGGACCTAAGCGTAAACTACTTGATGACCGTCCTACCTACTGGTTGGGACATAACTAAAGACAATTTATGTATTTAGCCGCGTCTTATGAACTGCATTTCTACACTGATCAAATTTCTGAATTTCTTGTAACAGCTGTCACTGAGCTTTCCTTTGGGGGTAGATTCCTCTTTTGAATAAGATCAAGCGGTTTTATAGTTGGACGGGTTAACCGGCCCTTACATTTTTTACCAAAACTACAGACCCTCGCTCTCACGAGGGTCCGCCACCCACATCCTATTCTTGCCCAAATCCCACATTTTCTTCATTTTTGACCATCTTCATCCATATCTCACAATGTCGAAAAAAAATAATCATGAAATCGAAACTCGCATCACAAAGGCTATGGCTTCATTATCAGAGCAATCAAAACCAAATATCTCAAAGACTGCGCGAGAATTCGCGGTTCCAATAGACCGGCTTCGACACAGATGGAAGGGTGGTAAATCCCTATTTCAACGATAACCCAATGGTCGGAAGCTCAGCGCTGCACAAGAATCTGCTTTATGTCATTTCATTGATAACTTTGACAATGCTGGCGCTTCCATAAATCCGCAGCAGATTGCAGAAGCAGCGAGTTCAATTCTCGAAGAAGCACATACCGATCCTTCGATGCCTCCCCCAAAACTTGGTGAACATTGGGGTCGTCGCTTCCTAAAACGTCATCCTCAGTATGGTCAAAGACGACGACGAGCTCTCGATATCGAACGAAGCCGCGCAAAATCGTCAAGGAACGATCCATGTACGGATTCTAGTACACCAAAAACCACCGAAAAAGTCAATGAAAATGATCAAAGACAAGGACGAGCTCTCGATATCGAACGAAGCCGCGCAACACCGTCAAGCAGCGATTCTTGTACGGATTCCAGTACACCAGAAACCACTGAAAACATAAATGAAACTATTCCGTGTCAATTTCAAATTAAATTGGAAAAATTCATCAAAAATGCTGAAACACAACTTGCTTCAGCATATGAATTGAAACGCGAATTTGATTCTTGGAAAAGCAGAATGGAAACCCGACATGCCAGATAAAATGTCTCTCAAAGGCAGGCCCCTGTTTCTGGCATCGTGAGTCTCAATCAGCTGAAGAATATGAAAAGAAAATAATATAAATTGGCTGAGAAAGATGATATTAAGAGGCAAAAGCGAAGATGACCGAAAGTTTTGATACAAATAAGGCATGGACGGCTTCAAAAGAAATCGGGGAAGAGAGTTGCTTTGGATCTCATATAATTAGTATTGAATACATTGATTTACTATCTAAAATATATTCAATTCTCTTGTATCAGTGACCAGAATTGAGGATGAAGTTGAAGTTGATAAAAATGTGCGGTTTGGGTAGGAATTCGGTTTGGGGACCCTCGTTTGGCGAGGGTCTGTAATTTTTGTAAAAATTGTAAGGGCCGGTTAAGTAGTCCGGGGTCCGTTCTGAGGTTGGAGATTCTACAACTTAGAAGTAGATCTCCGAGACAGAGCTCCAAGGCTATAGTCAATGGCTGGCAGCGAATGGGCAAAGGCTTGTTTTGTTCCCGGGGTTTGGAGGCCGAGAATCTGTCCCGGTCTCTAGATCAAGATACATGAAACACACCATTTTCAACATTGTTTTCAATCATATTAAGCTAAGCCCTCAAAGTTGCCAAGATCTTTCAGCAACGGGGACACAACGGTATCGAAGACCCGCTCCTCGAACCTTTTCTCGAGACAGAGAGAAGACCAAGACAAGCAGCTATTGACCACATCGGCATAGTTTGTTCCACTCTCATTGTACACCTTGTTGACAAGCCATGATGCAGTCTTGAATCTAGCGACCAGTGTATCCTGATCACCATCCTCCAGATTCAACAATGTTTGGAGGGGTTTTCCAAGAGACAGCTCCACCAGCGCAAGCCCCAGTGGTAATAGACTATTATCTCCGGAATGGGAATACCTACCATTGACGGGCCCGGGTACTGTGCACGTGGTGGACACCGGCCATGACAGGTACAGATTTTCCAATGATACATTGCATTCATCGTTGCTTGTGGCGGCCAGGTAGACATCGGAGATATCCCACCAGGATTTCAACCAGTTACCGCACATTTGAATCATACCACTTGCCAAAGCAGTAGCAATGTGAAGGCGGTCGCGTCGACTGATATCTGACAATACCTCGCGGAGAGGCTTTTGCGGAATGCATTTCGGAAGTTTCTTCACGGCATGCATGGTGTATCTAACAGAGGCACCAGGGTTTGAGATGCAACCTATGCTCTCGCGGCGCCCAACGTACGATTCAGCAACGCAAAGAGACGAACAGAAGTCCTCGATTGGTGGAGCCGATAGAGCCTCCTTGTGCTTTTCCAATGGCCGTACGTCTTCTGCAGGGACATGAAACTGAACGGTGGGCTTCTTCTGGCCATTGGACTTGGGATCGTCATGCCGAGAGCTTGGAACCGTGACTGTCTCTTCGACCTGCCAAGGCTCGAAGACGACCTCCGTCCAAGTCCACAGACATGCCAAATCCTCCTTTGTGTTGGCGAAGATCATTTGAAATTGGGATCTGGCGTCGGAGTCTCTATCCGGGTATTTTTCGATACTCTGTAAAGAGTTGATTTGAAGCTGCACATGGACACAATGGTGTGTCTTGCACTGGCAACGCCAGTAGTTCCCTCCGATGATTGCTTTGAACAGCCCGTCGGCATGCTTGCGGGCCTTTTGATACCGCTTCAGGAGGTGGTTCCAGCCCTTTCGCCTCTTCTTGGTATCCTCTAGATAGAATGATTGGTCGACCAGAGTCTTGAGGATCGTATTTGTTCCGTCAATTTTAACAAGCAGGTCGTCGTATACTGCCTTGCTGATGATCTTTCGGAGTTTCAAGAAATTCCTCCAGGCGTCCGTGGCGGGTGTCTGTTATCATCGGTTAGAGAGTAGCAAGACGGTTACCGGGATCGTCACTGACCTGGATATCACTTCCATTAATATCCATCTTATGGGATAGTTGTTCCAACAACTCCGAAAGACCAGCCATATTTCCCATGAACACCTCGTAATTTCGGTCCAGCCTCCGGCGCAGTCGTTTCTGAAAACCCGGGTCTCTCCAACCCTCGCCCTGTGGATTGCAGATGAGCTCAGAAACTTGATCCTCATCATCCACAACTCCCTCCAAGGCTTGTTCCAGCGTGTTCAGGAGGATCGCATGCTGGGTGCGGAGGCCTACTGAATAGGCTTGAAACTCCCGTCGATAGCGTCTCAGTCCTTTGATCTTCTCTATGCCACGGACATAGCCATCGATCTGATTCACAAAGAGCGGCAATACTGCAAGAGCGAGCCCTGCAGCCTCGATGCCAGTAACCATGACCGGCTCTGGAGTGCAAAGGAGAACTGAGGCTCCCTAGAGGTGCGCGGCGCTTACTGGGTGATTTGACCCCGCAGTAGTGCATCTGCTCGCCAACCTCCCCTCTATGCCAGTTCTGCAGCTTCACAAGCCTCATCATGGTAGCGATATCAGAGCTGCTGAAGAGCTGCCTGGTCCAGTTTGTCTCATTGGCTGACTCAGGCGAGCTCAAGGGAAATGAGGTGCCGCTGCAGAAGTGGACCGACGAACTCGGCCGACTGCGCGTGTGGGCAGCGAATATTGGTGGCCATAAAACCAGTCAATCCTCGCTAGACTACCGCTTAAGAGATGCCTCGCATATCAAGAGTCAGATAGTGAGGCTTCTGGAGCAAGTCCAGGAGCTACTCACTGATCTCAAGGATGTGATCGAAGAAAGCGACACCGAAGCCGAAGACAATGAATTTGAAAATCTGGCAGACTCAGAAGACGAGAATCTCACCGAGATTCAAGAAATTTACCAAGGCCTCGTCGATACCATCAGCCAACTCTACCAGATGTCCATCATCATCCGCAAGCCAGCCCAGCATGACCAGCTGGTTGGAACCAAGAAACTGGATTCCGAGCCCTTCCAATTCTGGGCTAAGTAACATACCTGCAATAAATACCCAGATGCAGATGCGCCTGCAATCGACCGTATCAGTGCTGCAATGGCGCGACAAAGGGCGATCTTGAAATATCGTGAACGACACCACGCGAAATTAAGCCAAGGCATCGACCCCGAGAGTGATGGTAAATCAACCATACTATCAGAAACAGTTGCAACGGAATTTGTCAAAGAGATACCCGGCCAATCAAGCGACATGGTTTCCGAAGCTGGTGCATCTGAAACTTCATACGGAGGCACCCTCCTCGAGGGCACTGGTGCAGATGCCCCCAGAATACCACCTATCCCAAAGAACGGCATGGACCAGACGCCCTTTGAATGTCCATTTTGCTTTTACATCATTACGGTTCGAGACAAGAGAGCGTGGGCGCGCCATATCTTCCGCGATCTGATGCCGTATGTCTGCATCTTCCCAGGATGCTCGACTCCCAACAAGCTTTACGGTGGCCGTCGACAATGGTACCATCATATCCATCAGACACACGCTCCAACCTCGGGCACAGATGATACATTTGACTGCTCAATTTGCAAGGAGTGCTCTCTTCCCGCTGTCACGTTTCAGCGACATGTGGGTCAACACTTGGAAGAGCTTGCGCTCTTTTTGCTGCCACGAACATACGAAGACGAGGATGAAAAAGTGGCGGATGAGAACATTTCTAACGTATCCCTGGGCAATCTTTCAATGGAACTGGGTAGTGATGACAGGATACACCGCTACTCCATTTTAGAAGAGGACGATCCCTCGAGAGAGCCACAATATAAAAGCAAGCACTATACATCCTCAGTTGGAGCAAGTTTGAGTGACGAGGAGCCCGCGAGGGATCTGGATTTCAAAGAGGGGCATGCCTCGTCGCCTCCTCACAGCGACGGCGATGATTTCGAACCCGATCGCAGCTATGCGACACTCAACCCGGATCTAGTTGATTTCTATAAAGGGCAGGGTTCTAATCGTGGCTACAGCATCGGTGAGCCTGAGAGAGTCGACACGAGCCCACAATCCGATATGCATGAGTCTCAGCTCCCGCTCAGAGAGCCAGAACATGAAAAGAGTACTCTCAATGTTGAGGAACTGACTAGAGAAAGTGTACGAGAGGCAGAGGCTGGCAACGAGAAGCGGTCAAAGGAGTTGGCCATGAAGGCTGCTGCTGTTGCTGAGTGGGAGCTGGAAAAAGAGCGCATAAATCAGGCGCAAGCTGATGCGGCCGCCGCTAAAGCTGCTGCTGAGGCTGCTGCTGCTGAGCAGTGGAAGCTGGAACTGGAACGCGCCAAGCAGCGCGAGGCCGCCGCTACTGCTGCGAAGCTCAAGGGATACCACGATTATCTGCGCGAGATCGGAGTGACCGAGGAGGACATGGCAGATGTGGAAGATGAGGCGGATGAGGAGGTTCGGGACGAGGATACACGAAAAGCCCACGAGGGCTTGGAGGACATGGAGAAGGCCTGGAAATCGACAATGCCGGAGACGCAAGTCGGACGCGGAGAAGAAGAGATGCGAGAGAAGATTATCCAGGAGATTGAGGATGAGGGAATACACGCCAACAAGACCGAGGAAAAGGGGAAAGAGTCAAAGCCTGGGATCATGAGTGATCCCATTGACCCTGAGACAAAACGCCAGCCTGGGAATCTGCCCCCTTACGTTACAGATGTCCTGCGTGCTTGGTTTCGTGAACATCTTGATCACCCTTATCCAAGTGAGGAGGACAAGCAGATGCTCATGAGGCAAACCGGGCTTTCAATTACTCAGGTATGTATCTGTCATGCTTTCCAACGATGGCAGCACTAACATCCTTGCAGACTAGCAATTGGTTTATCAATGCGCGTCGGGGACAACTGGCTGCTTTGCGTAGTCAGATGAGGAGTGGTACAGATGACGAATCTCATCAGTCTTCAAACAGTGACATGGATGCGGACTTGAGGCAGGGACAAGAACGTCCTGAGCAGGGGGAGGCTGACATGACCGCAGCCAAGACCAAGGAGTCCCAAGACGAACGAACGTACCGTGTGTGGTATTGCTGCAGCTGCAATTTCGGGCCTCACAATTCGTCATTGCATCAGACTTGCATTAATTGTGGACATCCCCGCTGCTCTCGATGTCCTCTCGATGTCACACGTGAAGCCCCACAGGCATCGGAAAACACATCCAAAAGGCGCAGATACTACCAAGATGATAATCAAGAAGGGGAGGGGGAAGGGGAAGAGGAGAAAAAAACCGTGACTTGGATCAAGGTATGTATGGACACTCTTTAGGAGAATTCACTAACATCCCGTAGACCCACCGAAAACACCTGCTGCCGGAAACCTTGTTGGCCTACCATCTTCCTTGGGATTGGGACCAGGTAGGCTGAACTCCAACTACACGATGTAACCAGTGCTAACCCTACATCTGCTAGAACGATACCGATTACATCATTATCAAGACTTGGATCAGCGAGGAGTTTCAGGAGGAGCTCTTTGCCCACACTCGTCGCATCCGCGAGGGCAAGCTCGACGACCAGCTTTCTGACCGCACGCCTGAGATCAAGGCCAGGGATTATTCGGTGCATTTTATTGGCCAACGAGGGTCTGATCGAAGTGTATGAGAACTCTGGCTTTTATCCAGAGATTGCACTTAGACCAAAGTTGGAAGGATCCTGTATCTACCATATTGCAACGGATAGTTTCCAAGGCTCCCCAGAACAAACCGGGTGATCAGTTTGAGATTGTACAAGTCTTGACTGGGTTCTCTCAATGGGTTGGAAGTGATAAGCTCCGACGAGATGTTGAATGGAAAGACCGACGCCAGTTGTTTACTGAGGGCCTAAAGGGTTATCGTGTTGTCCATGAAGCAGTCAAATCGGGACACAGCAATGTTTCTAGGGTGAAGGGTTACAAGCTTTCAGTGCCACAAAGTGAGCTTGACTCTCTCCAGGGCTGCATTCTAGTGATAGGGATGTCACGTTTAGACGTGGGCGGTAAAGATGATGTATTGAGAGGATGATATCTGGCTGCCAGCCTTGGAATGTATCTAAGAATGAAATTTCTGACCTTGGAAGGTTGTTCATCTGATCATCTGACTGCCTGGTCTTGAGATTCGCTTGGATACCCCCAGGTCCTGGGGAATCGGAAACTACTCTGTGGGTTGCTTCTCTTCAAGGTTCCAAACGAGGACCAGTATCGCGTACTTAATTTAGACAATTAGTATCCCATGGAACAAATACCCCGCGTCATTCAGAATCACGGGGTATAAGTGTTCTAAGAATAGAAACCTGCAATGACCGCATAACCGAGAATGTCTCACCAAATTCAAGCTACGAATACGAACATCCCACTATCCTATACATCATCCTCAATCAAAAATCATTCATTATTAAGAAATTGCTAAAAACTAATCACAACCATAAAATCACCAAATCAAGCCACAAACACAAAATTAAATGTACTGCCAAGCAGGAACATCCCCATCATAAGGCAGAGCCAAAGCCGAGAAACCCAGACACTCCTCAACATCCCCCTTAGGAACAGTAGCATTCTGCACAGCGGCAAAGACCTGCCAGCGGGAGTCCTCAGTAGGACAAGCCATGAAACCACTAGCACCCCAACCATTGAAAGAGTAATGAGCCCACGGCTGATCAGGAGAATAAACGAAAGGACCGATGGCGGAACCAGCGGGGATATTAGCGGAGTGGGCCTGGGTGAAGCTCAGGGCACCCTTGGGATCCACATAGACTTGTTGACCGCCGGGGACATTGACGTCCTGATTTTGATTAGTTTGGTGTTGGTTCGAAGTTCGAGGTTTGGGTGGGGTTAACGTACCAGGGAGCTACCGCCGGGGGTGAAGATGGTTTGGTTTCCTGGGGGACAGTGGGGGACTTGGTCTGGGCAGTAGGAGGCTGTTTGGCCGCCGAGGTAGAATTTCTGGCCGGCGGCGTTCAGTTGGAGGTAGTGGATTGGAGAGGCGGAGCGGACGGCCATGACGCCGAAGTTGGGGTTGGAGGTTGGCTCGCTGGCTGGGGCGGCGGCGGCCAGGAGGGGGAGGGCGAGGGCTGCTGTGAACTTCATGGTTTGGTGTTTGATGTTGGATGTTGGATATTGGATATGAGGATTTGAAGGTGATGAGAGGATGCTGGAATGGATTGAGGAAGGGTTCTCAGGGTGTTTATATAGATATTCAGGAGAAGTTCGGGGCCGAGAGTACAAACTCAGTCAAAACAACAAGCCAAAGATCAAACCACCGTTCCGTGGGTCGCGAGATTGTGGTCGGCCGTCATCGATTGACGGAGACGCCGAAGTGGCGAAGTTCATTGGATTGATTTTGAGACATTGAACGCATCGATATAATTATCTCCAAACCACACAGACTGTATGTAACGGTAGAGAGTCACGATAACCTCCGGTCACCAAAAACTTGAGCCCAAGTGAGACATGACGAAGGTCAAGGAGCTGCCAAGACGCGGAGCAAAAGCCCTATAGACCGAGTTCTCTCATTGGAAGTGAGAGTTAGAGTGGATCTCCCTGAGGAACGGTGTGGCTGTGGCTTCGGATAACTTGGGGAAGATCGACAGTGTCTCTGCTCTGCATTTCCACTTGGCTCGTTTCCTTCGGCTCAATCCGCTCGGCGAAACTCCTGGGAAATGATGCTGTGATCAGGCATTCTCCATGGATTGGAGTATTCCAATGACGCATTGCTTCCAGCACATGCAGTATCAGAAAAAAAAGGACCATTGGAAACCGAAATAACCGTTCACATGAGCCAAGTCCGAGTCTCACCATGCGCCCGACACCGGCTCCTCATCCGGCAGCACAGCCAACAAGCAACAAGCTGAAGTCTCGCAGTGAGAATAGCCCTCGCACAAGCTACATGCACATGAAGTCGGAGGCGATATATCACCTTGTTGAATGACTAGATGATCCTGATGAAGTCACCCGTTCAACGTTGTACATTGTCTGACTCGACCTGATGCGCGGACAACCGGGCCAGGGACTGTGTGACGGTGTTCAGGGCCTTGTGCATTTTGCATGAGGGCAAAAGAAAAAGAAAAAAAAAAAACGGTGCAGAACGACCTGGAGGATGGGGCTGAGACAATTAGCTAGGGGCTTGGGGATGTAGGATTTTGGAGTTGCGTTGGCTGTAGTGACAGAGTGGGGATTGCAGGAATTGTTGGCTGACTGCAGGGAGAGCGTTGGAGAGGGCTATAGAGACTGAGCTATAGACATGGGTATCGGCCCAAGGGAAATGGAGAGAATGGAGAGACTGTCGAATGTACTAGTATCAAGACCATTGATTTGAGCTTCTCGGGACTAGAAGGGTTTCTAGCCCTGTCCAATATCTACATCTACAGGCAGTTCCCAAATGTAGTATACAGACAACACAAGCCAATAGCACAGAACTCTTTAAAATTGGATATCAAACTTTTTTCTAGCCTAAGAATGACAAGACATTCGATTCGCCGAAAGTATGTACGCGCGGGTCAGCCGCGAAGGTATGGATAAACACGGCCAGAGGCCAAAAAGCCAACCCAGAGACCAGATTTCCTCCCGATAGCAAGATATAAAGCGCCAGAAACACCGTAAGCCACGCGCCATTCCCTCGCGCCATTCCTCTGTCCCCCCGTCTTGATATATTGGCCCGAAAAGAGAAGCAAAAAGGAAAGGAAAAAAGAAAGAAAAAAACAGCAAAACACGTTTAATAATCGCCTTCGTCATCGTCATCACCGTCGCCGCCTCGGCCGCGGGGCTTCATTCCATCTTTGCGGATGGGGATCTTGATGCCCTGCAACGCGAAGCATTTACTGAGCTGGGTGCTCTCAATCACACCGGGGAACTTCTTGGCAGAGAAGACTTGGAACGGTTCTGAGAAGACGGAGGCGAGAACGGGAGCGGTTCCGTGGTTGATGACAAGAGCGCCGTTGGTGGTTTCGGAGGATTGCGTACCAACATCGACAAAGCTCATTTTCAGCCTGGGGGATTGGGTTAGTGATTGCTTGGCTATGATTCGACGAGAAGACTTACCGGAAGGTGCCCTCGGTCCGAACGCTCAGATCTTGCAGAATGAACCATACGCCGATCTTGTTGTCGGGATCTGTCAGGCGGAATGCACTAGCGCTGAGGCTGCCGATCAGATTGCGAGTGAACATCCCGCCAGGTCCTCCGGTGACGGGTTGGGTAGCTGGCGGCATGGCTGCTGGGGCTTGGCCGCCGGCGTAGTATTGTGGGGGATAAGTGACGGGCTGGCCGTATTGATTCGGGTATGCCATCTGCTGACCGCCGTAGTAATTGTTCATCTGTGGGTAGCCCACAGGGTACTGGCTTTGGCCGTAGCCCCCGTAGGTGGGGGACATGCTCTGAGGTGGGGGAGGATATGATTGGGACATGGCGGTCGAGATGGAGGGAGAGGAGGCGGAGTGCTTGACGAGGTTGACTTCACTGGTGCCATCGACATTCCAAAGATCGACGGTAAGCACATAGAAAGAGGTGTCGATCTCACTGGGGGGATAATATTAGCAAGTTGTCATGTAGAAATGTCGGTTTACATACTTGATATCGATTTCTTTATTCGTGAGTTGATCGCGCACAATCAGACGAATACATGGTGGGGGCGTGATCGGTCTTCGGTCCTAAACATTGTTAGAGCTGAAAAGGCAGAGATGCGGAAAAATCACCCACCTTGTCACCGAATCCACACATGCGAGCTCGGATGGGCTGCTGCACCACCTCTAATGACCAAATACGACCCCCGTATTCATTCTGCACGGGCGAAAGGTGGTCGGCGGGCCGTAGCGTATTCGGCCCTGGCGGGTATGAAGGTGTTGGGATGCGATCCATTGAGAGTGGAGGTGGGACAGTGTATTTTCGTTCTTCGACGGAGTACATGGTGGCGGACAGCACGGGAGACGGGTAGGAAGGGACGATGGGCTTCTACAGATCCGTTGACCGATCTGGTAGCTTCTCTAGTTGTTGGAGAAGAGGGGGTAACTGCGACATGCGACCCCGCGGAGGTTCAGACGTCACAGTTTGAGCATCGACGGACTGTAAGGGGAGAAACGGTGTTCGCGTGGGCGAACCAGCTGCAGCGAGACGAGATCGACAGCTGACCAATTCGAATCTTTGATCTCCTCAAGCGCGCGGGCTCTCGCGACGATTTAATTTAGGCGGAGAGCGTTTGGGCGACGGAACCGAAGAAATGCGCTCGGGGTGGCAAAGGAGGCAGAGCTGTCACTAACTGAGAAGATTAGAATCAGATTCTGGAACCGCACGATGACGCCGTCAAATTGCGGGAGATTTGCTGGTCTCCCACGGATTCCCCCCCCCCCCAAGGCCCTGGCTCCACCGTATATGCACTTACCCGAGAGAAAACGAGAGAACGGGTCAAAGGAATTATTCGAGAGACGAGGTCAAAGAGTGACCACAAGAAGACCAGAAAAACCGAGATCCGACAGAAGAGGAGAAGAGAGAGAGAGAGAAGGCGGAGGAAAAAGTGACGTTGGCGGCAGATCGCAACTCTTCTCTGGCCGCATTCGGGAGTCCGCAAACGGCCTTGTCGTTTTTATTCGTTCATGGACTTTTTTCTGTGCCATTTGAACCGAATTTGCGCATTGTGAGCTATAGAGTCTGATCTGGAGGCTCTTTTAGGGAGTTATGGGTTCTATGGTTCAAATGGTTCCTACTCCTCTACACCCGAAGTACAGCCAGGGCGATAATGGGCCACCCATGGGCCTCTCACAAATCACCACTGCGCAACCCTGGGATGACTTCCGAAGGGTCAGGGGGACTTTTTTTTTCATCGCGTAACCCGACGAACTGGGTTCCTTGCAGCGAACCTCACAGTTGGGATTTCCGACGGAGCGGTAAGCTGTCACCCCTGCAAATAGCGCTTATGTGAGAACCTGTCTCTATCACATTGCGATATCAAGTATTGCCTGGGATGTCCGTTGAGGTTTCTTGGGTGTCTTATCGCTTTGGGATGTCATCTCCAAGTGCTCTGGGGTATGAGTACTCTATGCTTTGTACAAAGTACTCCCTACTCCTTACACAGAGTACGAGTATGCCATGGACTTCATAACGGGATCCCCGGCTCTGGGGATCTCCACTGGGCGCTCAGATCACCTTCACGGCATCAAATACTCGTAAGAGTTTGAGTCGAGTCTTTCTTGGCGACACTCGCTAAGCTTGCAGGGTGTGATTGGCGCATTGGGCTATTATACGAGGAGGTGAAGACCCAGACTCCCCACCGCGGGGTATTCTGGGTCTTCAGTTGCCCGGCTTTTCTACGAGTAAACAATCCCGTCAGGATTCTGACTTTGATCTGCAGTGTCAAAGGACAAGGGAAAAGGAATGGCCCGACCCACTGCATGTGGTGACTATCCTATCTTTGTCTCAACCCCCGTAGACTCCACAATCAAATCAACAAACCTCTCAGATTCTTGCCAATGCAAAGCCCGCACATGCAGAGACAGATCCCGAAATTCAGGGATGATCTGCGCGGATCTTCCTTGAGAGCTTACTGAGCTTTGGCATAACATAACATAATTGTGCAGTGCTCCCGTCAGCACTGGAGCAAGACAAGGATTGACTCCTTCACGGCATCACCTCCACACGGACCACTGACCGGATGTGAATTCCGCACACAAACATTGGCAAGGCCTACCCCGTACTCTTCACTCCGTCTACATCCGATGCTCACCGCGGGGAGGTCCTCGATTATCTCTTCCCGCTTCAGCCGTCGCCAATCATGCTCTGTTTTTCGTCTCACCGCTATGTTTGCTACTCGTACGGATTACTCTAGCTTCATGCAGATTGTCCCGAGAATCGATGACAGGCGGGTCAAACATAAGCTGGACCCACTCTAGTCAAACAAGGCTCTCGATACGGAGCATGAAGCCCTCGATGTGGTCATACGTGTTTGTTGACGTCTTCAGAAACCACCAGTAGCCAAGCTTCGTGGAGGAGCGCCTTCTAAGCCACATATCCCCTCTCCCCCGACCGGTGGCTCTCCAGTGCCTCCGGTCCGTGGGCGTTAGCGTCAGAACTCCATATTGAATGGACCGCGGGCACGCGTAGTCTCGACGTGGTTAGACTTCCTGTCTACGTTGAGGAATTGTGTCCGGGAGACAGCTCGAGCCCTAGAGGGACAACCTTGGAACACGATTTCAAGGTTGAGCACGGCCCTTGTCCCGAATTCTCGCTAGTTTGAACGCCATATATACATCGGCACAATTCGTCTGACATCTGGGCAATGATATCGGAATCATCCATAATCGCGACCTCGTTCATTTAGTAGGTATACAATCCAAACAGCCGGATGAAACAGCCATTCAAACTTTACTTAAGTGCCCCTCCAGTCTCCAACATTGGCCATGACATCGACAAATATGACCTATCAAACCCAACCCCAGCCAAGGAAAAGCATCAGTCCCTCAATTCAAACGCAACCACACCCAAAGCCACATAACCAAACACGCAAAACCAAGCTGATACTGTCCCTGAATAGAACTCCCCACACCAAGATGACTGTTGAAAGTGGGCAAATTACAATAATGCGCCCCAACGGTAGTCTGCTTCATCTGACAAAGTGTGAAATTCCCCTGCAACCAGCGACTGGCCTCGAGATCATCGACGCCTGGCTCAGGCAGATTTTCGAAAAACGAATTGGGGATCTCGCACCACTGTGCATTTTGAGATTCCGTATGAACGGTATTGGGCAAGCAGCATGATTTCAGGGCTTTGCTTGCGTTTTGACCGGCTTCTCCATCCTCGATGTAGTACATGCAATAGTCTTTTGAACTTTGCGTTGCACTTGAGAGGGAGGGGAGGGTTTGTGATGGCTTGGTCATTTTGATCTGGGATCGTCAGTTTGTGATGATCTTTCGGGCTCTTGTGTTTGGAATTGCAGTGGGAGATTGTCGGCTCTACGTGGACCAGGCTTACATTGATGGATTTTCCGGTCAAAATCGCTTGAACATGCGCTTCTTGAAAGATTTGCGAAGTTATCAGAATTATCGAAAATTTGGGGTCCAAATAACTGCTCGTTAGTTTCATTGCCTTGGCATTGGTGTGGACCCTGGGGGCCATTCGGCGATTTCTGGTTCATACGCTGAACATGAGTGCTATCCATCGACGACGTAAGTTAACAATTGTGTCTTGATCCAGTGCGTCACTTGAAAAAAAAAAAGGCATTGCCCCTATAACTAATCAGGTGTCTCCAGGAAGTAAGATATTGTGGCTGACCCTTAAGTGGAGAACCAATGTAGTCAAACTACCATGCCAGTGATTTCTATCTGACCCACTGGAATATCCGGGGGCCAAATTCGTAAATTAAATGGCGTGATTTCTGTCCAGTACTCATCAATTGAGTTTAACGAGATGGTTTTATCAATGAAAACCCTGAGACCTTGCTATGCTTTGAGCTTCGATGGCAGAAGCTCGCTGGGGTTGCGATGTTTTGATGGGCGCGGTGGCGGTTTGCCCCGTCCTGGCTCTGTGACACGGTGATTAGAACCTTGGAAGTGAAATGAGAATCAAAGGTGTGTTGAGTGAGGATGCATATTAGATGCAGATATACGATAGTATGCGCGTTGGGAGGCCAGAGGCTTCAAGCTCGTCGAGTTCGTCGCATCCCATATCCCATTCGTCCGTTTTTGCTACTTGGCCTCTCCAGCATACTAGACACCAAGTTTGTAGGCGTTTCAATCAGCACCCACATTTCAATTTGCACAAGCTTGAGCCATCCTATCTGGAACAATGACTCGCCCAATCACGACCATAACTCAGTTTCCATGGATGGCATTGCGAGCATACCTCTGAGCCGCGAAGAATAACAGCAGTCCACCGAATTCCAATGACAGGACCCTTCAGCACCTTTAGCGCCTTCGTGTTCAATAAATGATCTACGGGGCTAGAAAGTCCAAAAAAAAATATCTTTCTGGTCACTTTCAGCTACGGGCCACTACAACAATGGAGACCAATAAGGCAAGTCGGTCTTTTTCCAAGGCTAGTGTATTGAGTTCATGCCTACTTAGCTTGCATCTTTCATCAAATGCGTCTATCCTTTTGAGCAGCTCTTTACTCTCTGCATTTTGTTCTCACCTCCTTATCTGCCCTCTTTCTTGATTATGCTTCCTGTGAGTGTGCTCGGCTATTTCTAAGATACCTGGATAGTTCGCGGTAGATAGGATGTGCCAAGTCACCTCTGATGGTACAGTCCAGCGGATGAACAGAATATGGGGATTAGCGGCTGATATTTTACAAATACGTACTTAAGTATGCCCCCAAATACGTATGCTCCGCCTATGCCAGACTCTTCAATACTTAAGTAGTCAAGATTACTACCCTTCCGGGTAAAAATTGTGATCCCCTATATCTATCAATGGAATGGAGCGGCTGATATCTCAAATACCGAAAGGAGCGATACAAGTCAAAGTGGATTGAGAAATGGATGTGGCGGATTGTGGCTGTAGATGGGGTAAAACCTGGTCATTCAAGAAAGCCTGGCAAGTTAAGGAGCTCAACCTAACAGATGCATTACTAGCTTATGCCATTTGGAATAAAGAAGGAGATGAAAGGAAACAAAGGGAAAGGGAAAAAAAAAGATGTGGGAATGCTGGATCGAACTCCTCCCCTCTGATAAGACCTGCAGGTAATCCTCAAGACAGAGGGGAGCGTAAGAGTACGCGGTATTTAAATCCTGAGCGCCTTAACCCACTGAGTTACCGGAGTAGCTCACAGAAAGTAAGGAACTTTTGTATCTGATATAGAACTCTGTACTTCCTAATCGGGAAGGTGGATCCACAACCCTTATCACGTGATGCAGAGCCTCAAGATGCGTCGGGCAACTAATTTACACATCCTAGATTCTCAGGTTCTTACTACATGTGCACCTGAGCTCACTCTGTGATTACATGCCATTTGTGTGCCTCTCACCTGGCAATACTGGTCGTTGACCAGCTCATCAAATCGGAAGGACCACTGGAGAAAACGGGCCTACTTGAGTGACTACTTTATCCATTTGTCTCTATCTCGTGAGAGCCTCCAGTGAGTCGGCAAAAGCACTTAATGGATCCATATTCCGTGATCAGACTATTGCTATCAAGGTGACCGACGGAAGCCTTTGCGGGAATTTCTTGGAGCTGCCTCAATTTGATGTACCGACCATCTTCTGAGATCACGAAAGCGGCGAGCCTCTCTACAATGACATTGTCTGGACAGACAGATCTATGCTTCCGATGAATCGTCATGGTGTTGAGACAGAGACCTGGCGTTGCTGAGCTCGGTGAGCTGTGCGGTTCTCCCTTTTCAACGCAACCACCCGGGCACAAGTTCCACTGGATACTCCTGACCGGGCCGCATATATCCTGCAACAAGTTGTTGGGATGACCCTGGATCAGACCGGTCAAACGCTCTGCAGATAGATGATTCGAAACGCCTCTCCTTCCTCTTTTCTTCCCCCAGTCTCGTGGATAGCAATACCAGCGATTGATCTTGCTCTCTCTTCCTCTCGATACAAGTCATTCCCGACGCTATCTCCAAAGCTCGGGACAACAGTGGCAAGACCCTTTCAAGGGCCAAATGCTTCCTTTTTGATAATCCGAAGTTCAGCGACGACTTCAACAATGAGTATTCAGACAACTTCTACATTGCCTTGCTGATGAAGTCCCTCTGCCATGCTATGCTTGGCAGAGGGGGGGAAATGTCCAGAAAGTCGGGCATTCTTTGCGCCTGAGCCGGCCAATGACTGAATTGCATACTGCCTTAGCAGTATGTGCCCCAACTTTCGATCCAAAACGACTATCTTGTCTCTGGCTCTCGTCCCTGATTGAACAAGCGATCAGGGAATTCCAGCATGATGAAAGTGACCAGGGAATGCGGCTTCTTTCCTAGACCTTTGAACGTCGGAAGCCGTCGACATAGTTCCAGGATGCAAAAACTCCATTCCATGCGGGAGGAAATCCAACGTCGCCAGATTATATCAACCCAATTGGAACCTGCATCGCGCCGGCGACGATAGTTCGGTTGCATCGTCATGTCACTACGTGCCTGGGCCCGCCCGAGTAAGAAGGAGGCCACAGCGTGTACTCCCGAGACTCGTCATGCACCTCAATTGTCGCAATTGCCGCAATCCAGAACTATCAACGACATCCCATGCACCAACACCGTCCACAACACCCCCAAATAGCGGGAATAAAAACGGCATTCTGGTGGAAAGGAACCCTGCTCTAAGGGGATGAGGTGGAAACAGACCACCCAGATGAACAACCAAGGCAATCCCGGAAGATCCTGGTGATATGTCTTGTTGGAAAACGAGGGAAAGCTAGGAAAGGAAGATATCATTCTCCACAACAATGTGAAATGCCTTTCAAGAAGTAAATCTAAATCGCAAGATCAACGTTGTCATTGGAGTGCCATCAGTCCGAAGTTCTCGGTAATTGTTTCTTGTATATGCCTATGAGTAACTATACCAAACATTGTTCTTATTCGATAGGCGAGAATGACAGTATCGGAGTCTTATCCTCGCCTACAATTCGATGAAGGTACGGAGTATGTCCTATACTACAAGATTATCTTGTTGAGGAAATAAATGAGCCGTCACTTGATATAAGCGACTTCACAAAAAACACCACAGTTGATGAGGGGTCAAGTTTGATGAGTCGGCGACCAAGGGCGCCTAATGAAACCGTTATATTTGGAATTCGCCAACAGAGCCAAAACATCAGCTGTTTACAGTACGCCTACTGGCTAGTAATGTGCTGAGTTGTCTCACTGTCAAAGCTTCGCAATTAGGATCCCACTTGGAGGCCTCGAGTTTCGAGGTTGAGGAACATTTTGCCCATCTGGGCACACTGCATTTTGACCACTGAGCCTTTGCAGTCACAACGTTTCCGAATCTGCGGCTTACGAAATTCTGATCTGGCGACCAAGAACGAGATCTCCGTGCGGTCTAGGTCCGGCCCCCGCACTGACTCGGAATCCTTCTCTATGGGGACAAAAACAAAGAGCGAGATACACTTACTTCCATCAGGCCAATCCTCCTGAAGTCGATTAGCAAACAGAAACAAAAGCATTCGAACTTTGAATCCTCCAATATTTCCTGCCTTCGCTTCAGAACCCCCGACCAGCTCCAAAGACAAAGATGTCCTCCACTATCCCTTTATCAGTAGCCATCTACGACAATCCCGGCATCCTCCACTGGAGCCTCTACATCGAAGCCGACAACGACGCCGACAAAACAATCATCCAAATCCTCGGTGCGCGCCAGCGATATTTTCCTAATATAAAAACATCCGACGCCCGGGATGTGAGTGACCTAATCGAGGTTCTGCACCTTTGTCGGATTGACGCGAGCAAAATCGAGAGTGCCAAGAATATCGCATACGATACGCCTATCCGGAATGACGTGGCGGACTGGAGTTGCCAGGATTATGTCCTTGCTGTCTTGGACAGGCTTGAAGATGGGTTGGTCATCGATGGCCGGGACAGTGATTATATCAGGAATAAAGCGGTCGTTGCTGCGAAACGGGAGTCCTGGCTGTAATCTTGGATGGGTTGGTTCTAAAGTTTGGAATAATTATTCGCATTGGTAGTTGTTAGTCAGTACGGCAAGCTTGGACAATGGACGGAGTATTCCGAGCGGAATGTGGCCCTGGTGGGTGATGGGTAGCCTTATATGATGTATGGGTGGCCTATAAATCGTGAGATGGGCATGTGAGAGAGGCTATAGATGCCAAAGATACGGGTGGGATAGAGTTGCAAATTTTGGGGAGATGGACTGTCAAGCAGAGAATATGGTCTAGACTGAGATTTGCCCTAGCAGTACAGTAAACGACAGATTCGGGAATAGGTTCCGAATTGATCTTTACATCGGGACAGCTTGGTAAATAGAGTTACCGAGGCGGATATGGATATCCCGAGCTGAGGGAATCTCAGGAAATTGCCCCGACCCCTGAAAACATCAAGATTTAGGAGCACCTACCTATGTGGGTAGCTCCATAGCCGATCGACCCAAGTGGATGCGCTAGAATCAGTGAGCCGGCTATTCCACGGAATATTTAATTAATCAATCCCCTCAAAAGCAATATATGTATGTGCAATGGGCAATGTGCAAGCAATGGTGTGATGCTCAGCTGAGTATACTCGTACTCGTACTTTTTCAAGGCGTCAGCAAGATGGCAATAAGAGGCAACAGGGATGCAGTCGAGTAAATGTGGAGCGATGGTTCGTAAAAATCTCCTTGTGATGGATCCACTACATCCGACTCCGGCGCCAGGGGAGATGGCCAGAAGCTCAGGTAGCCACGTCTGCACTCGGAGTGATCTGCCAGTCAGATGCAAGGAGCAGCGGGAATGTGCAATGTATACGGTGTACGGAGTACTCCGGTACATGTTGACTCCGACCTGTGTACGAGTACGGAGTACATCGAGTACACTTGTAGAGTGAGATAGATGACTGTAGACGCCTGGAGCTGACCTTGAAACTCGGTTAAGGGGAGATAAATTAAATCGTCAGAACCTAATCTTTGTTTTGATCTCGATGGACTTCGATGGATTTCACCGATCCAAATGCAGATCTGATCGCCAGATCGCGTGGATCTATATGACACATAACCTTCCGTCAGGCGGCTCGCACTTTGGATCTCACACGGATTACAGTTATTCATGATATTCAGGGGGTGGAAATGTTGTCTGATGGCCAATCAGGTTAGAAGCTTACTCTTTACACATGAAGACGCGGTGAGAGTGCTTTTTTTTTTTTTTTATTTCTCGCGTTGTATTTGGGTTTCGCAGAATTTCACGGTCTGGAGATATTTGCCCGAGGCCGAACAATACCGAGGAGGTAGAAGATCAACAGAAGGCTCTGAAGGACCTCCACTCCACCGAGCCTTCAAATTTGCTGTACCCTGGGTTATACAGAGTACGGAGGGCATAGTATAAGGAGCATCAGAATCAACAGCATTTTGAGCTATTTGAGCTAATTGGAAGACGGATGACATCAGATGCATGTTAGCCAGGGAATAGTATAAGATAGTATACGGAGACTCCGTACGAATACTCGTACTGTCCAGCTGAACAGTAATCTGATGAATACCCTTGCACTGTGTAGACTTCGTATACGAGTAGGCCTTCATAGTGTGGTCATCCCCGGCCCGGTGATTGGCCGGGCTATTAGTGCGAGAAAAAACACACAAACCAAGAAACCAATAGTGTATCCCTGTATGTACGAGCAGAGAGTATAACAATACTATAGTTACATAGTAATCATACTGGTAAGATAAAATAGTAAATAGTAAGCTGCAGGCCAAAAGTCCAAAGTAAGACGACCTACAAATTCCTCGGCCCACTTTTGTCTCTTTATTTTTTGCTTCACCATTTTCTTCCTCCTTTTTCTTTTTGCTAATTTTGTGAGTCACTTTCTGGGATATAAATTCCTCTTCTCTTTCATTCATTCTTGTCCATAATACTTTACTTCTTAATACTAATTGGTTAGCTTTCGTCCACACAATGCCTCTCGTCAACACAACCGAAGTCAACGAGGACACTCGTGGTATGTGGCACTGAAGATTGTTACTGGACATCGTTCAATCGCTAATTGACTGCAGTCCTTGGATACGACCCTTTGTTGTCGCCCTACTTCTTGCAGAACGAGATCCCCGCGGTGAGTCACTGTCCTGTGTTGCCCAGGTGTTCTCCCACATTCTTTTCACCCCGCTATCGGCGCAGCCCACATCAAAATTGCACCCGCTGACAATATCTCCAACAGCCCGCTCGCGCCACTGAGGCCGTTCGTTCTGGCCGTAACCAGGCTGTCGAGATCATTGAGCAGCGCGATGACCGTCTCCTCGTCGTCGTGGGCCCCTGCTCCATCCACGACCCCGATACCGCCCTCGAGTACGCCCGTCGCCTCAAGGAGATCTCCGTAAAGCTCGAGAAGGATATCTGCGTGATCATGCGCGCCTACCTCGAGAAGCCCCGCACAACTGTCGGCTGGAAGGGTCTGATCAACGATCCCGATATCGACGAGACCTACAACATCAACAAGGGTCTCCGTGTCTCCCGTAAGCTGTACACCGATCTGACCAGCACTGGTCTTCCCATTGCCTCCGAGATGCTCGACACCATCTCCCCCCAGTACCTGGCCGATTTGATCTCCCTGGGTGCCATTGGCGCCCGCACCACCGAGTCCCAGCTCCACCGTGAGCTGGCCTCTGGTCTCTCCTTCCCCATCGGTTACAAGAACGGCACAGATGGTAACCTCACCGTGGCTGTGGATGCCATCGGTGCCGCTTCCCACCCCCACCGCTTCCTCGGTGTCACCAAGCAGGGTCTGGCTGCTATTACCAAGACTGCTGGTAACGAGCACGGATTCGTCATCCTCCGCGGTGGCAGCAAGGGAACCAACTATGACCGCGCTAGCATCAAGACTGCCCGCGAGGCCCTCCGCTCCAAGAAGCAGCGTGAGGTCCTCATGGTCGATTGCTCCCACGGTAACTCCAACAAGAACCACCTCAACCAGCCCCTTGTTGCCAAGGAGGTCTCCGACCAGCTGCGTGAGGGTGAGACTGGTATCATTGGTGTCATGATCGAGTCCAACATCTACGAGGGTAACCAGAAGGTTCCCCCCGAGGGAGCTGAGGCTCTTCTCCGCGGTGTCAGCATCACCGATGCCTGCATCAACTGGGAGATGACTGTTGATGTTCTCAATGATCTGGCCGAGGGTGTTCGTGCTCGTCGTGAGGTCTTGAAGTCCCAGACCAACGGTCACTAAATGGCTTCGTTCCGTGGACCTGGCATTAGTACCAGTGCTGGTTTTGTGTTTCTCTTTCAGCGGTTTCTTTTGTAACTTTTTTTCTCTTTTGTATGAGGGTGTCAAAAAATATGAGGTTCGGTTTCTAGGGAGAAATTCATTAGTAGTGGGTTTTTAACCACGGTGAAAGAAAAATGTTTTCAAGCAAGGCATCTGCCCCCTAGATATCTTTTTTCAAATTCTAAAGCGTTTTTCCAGGATCAGTCATTCTACTTATAAGTCGTAGGTTTTTTTTTCGGTCGCTCCACTAGACATCGATGGACCAGTCGTGGTGTTCTCAGTGCGGGAAAGCGCTCTGCCGGACATGAAAATGGGTCTTCTCCCTCTTTGGGACTTAGTGTCACTCCCCCTAGGGAGTTGTTTCGGCTAGAAGCGGTGCAGGTCAACAGTGTGCCGTATCGGGTATTGATTCCATAGGCCGATGCCCAGGTGGAGCTGGAGAACTACTGTGTACTGTGTATTGAAAGTGGATATACTCATAGAAGATGAATTGAGAGCAGATAGAAGATCTATGTACTGTACACAATATACATTGAGATCCACCCGATCACCGTTGGAAAGCGTCGGGACAGATCATAGAGACTAGAAACACATTCCAGAGCAGAAAATGAGGAAAAGAGAACGCCGTGAACCCCCGGGGACGATGGAAGCAGGCCACGACCATGACCACGACCGTGGCTTGCTATGCAAGTGAAAAAAAGGAATTGTGGATGTTGAGAAGTGAAGATCGGCAGAACGATAGATGGGTCCATCTGCGTGTTTGTGCCTGTCCGATGCGAGTAGACCTCGAGGTCAAATTAGCATGCCATACCCATACAAGCATGCAGACAGGCAATGTCCATCTCATCATTGTGCACCGCGATTCATATGATTGCGTTGAAGCCGGTCATTGTGTCCATCTACCGTCCAGTCAACCAGGAAGTCCAGCCCTTTGTCTTGGCCTTGGTAGCCTCCTCCACATTCTCAGCCATAACATCCAATTGACCGGGCAAAGGAGCGCCGGTCTTTGCGGAAGCAGCATCAATCGCGTGCTTGGCCTGCAGGGCCTCAGTGACACTTCCGTTCTGTCCCGCGGGTGAGGGTGCAGCACCGCTATCTTCCGTGTTGAACTTCTCGAAGAGGAATCGCTTTGCCTTGGCCCAGGGCTTCTGTGCCTTCTCTTCTTCACGTTTCTGCTTGAGAATATCCTCGATTCTCTCCTTCTTAACGAGTTCCTCCTGCTCGACGGTTGCGGTGCCGTTGGTGATAGCAAGCTCGGCCGCTCGGAGCGCGTCGAGTTCTCTTTCGATCCAAATTTCACGTTGGCGACGGTTGTACATCGTCAGGGAAACGAACGTGTAGACTGTAAGGGCAGCACTGACACCTAGAAGCCAGGGCGATTAGCGTCAGATCCAAACCACCATAAACGATTGTTGTGCCAATGCCGTCACACCGTATGATGCAACACTCGCTCAAGTCAAGACATACCAGATGCAGCAATCAAAGAGTAAACCAAGCCCTTGTGCGCTCTGTTGGCAAACTTCCTGCCAAACTCGATCCATCGATCCGCGCCGCTACCTGCCGCCTGTGCCTTTTTCGTAGCCCGAGCCTGGGCACGCAGTCGTTCCACCTTCTCCTTGGGAGTCTCGGGTTGTCCATTGGGACCAAGTTGTGGTGAAGCACTCTTAGACTTCTGTGCGGAGAAGTCGGAGGCCGAGTACGCGCCAGTTTTGGAGCTGGCGTAGGGCCCTGTGGCCGTGAACCGCGTTGCGTCGGCGGCTGATCGGGACATGGCGTGTGAATCCAAATGGAAACTGATATAGACGAAGTAATTATCTCACAAGTCGGAGGTAAGAGTCTGGACTCTGTTGTGGAGAATCAGCTGTGCGACGTTGTAAAGCCGGGGATTTGAAGTGGTAAATTTTCACGGGTTTGCGCCAAGACATTCAAACCACCTTACGATAGATGCGCATCTCGGGACTCTGTACAGGCTTTTAGACTCTTCTCTTATTTTTTATCTGCTTCTTCTAGTTCTATTTCGGTCATCGTGTTTCTTTTGCATATCTCGAATAACTGTCTGGCCATCATCACCTATATCAGTCTATCAGTCAGGTCTATCCGTTGTCCGCCATTTATCCATACATCACATCCCTGGGGTTGGCGACTCGGTATTCTTCATTATCCAAACTGATTGGCATTTGCCTATCAGGTCAAAATGGGCGAAAGCAGTTATAATGCCGCCGACCTGAATTCGGTGCTACAAACACTGTCAAGCCTAGCTCCTCAGGCCCAAGCACCAGCCCATCAGTCTACATATCCCACATCCCTTCCTACTTCGCAAAAGAGGAACTTCTCAAGTACAGAGACACCCACAGCTAAAACACAAGATCCACGCACACAGGATCCACGCCAATTACATACTAAACCACCCTCGACACGTCCACCCGCCACATCGGGTCCGGCATCATCAACTATCACCACATGGCCTACAGCGCTTCGCCATGTCATGCGCACCGTGAGCTCAAATGAGGAAACGCAATTACGGATTCGCGGAATGATCCGGAGTCAGCATCACCATGAGCAGAGCTGGTTTGATGCTCGTCGGGCACTGATCAAACAACAAGAAGGACGTCCTCAAAAGCAGCGGGAGCTAGATGCAGTACTGTGAGTCTGGATAATGTCTTTCAATCAGGTTTAAATGCTAATGCCGGGATAGCCGTTCGATAGGCGCTCCTGTCAAGGAGGATGATGGTTCGGTTCGTTTCCACCTTCAGCTTTGTGTTTATTTCATATGCTGACTTATACCACAGGCGGAGAAAGAGTTTGCTGCAGAAATTGCTAAATACGACCTCAAGGTCCATGCCGCTGCTGTGAAAATGGCCGAGGCTCTCTCTGCTGAATTACGAGCGATGGATATCCCGTTCTTCACGATACGCAAAGATCTAGTACAGGATACCCCCCAGAAAGAAGACTACGAGGACGTCGGTCTACAGCGACAGAATCAGACGAGTACGCCTGCAGGTTCATCGCCAATCACCAAGTCCGAGCTGATTGCGTTACAAAACCGCATGCTTGGGTTATTGGAAGATCTATGCAAAGAGTGAGAGGCAGTGTTCCACTGGAAATTGAGGCTCGTCATGATGAAAATGAGTTTCATATTTGCTATTCAACTCGAGTGCGATCGCATCGACCTGGATGAAAGAGATCACGGATTTTTATCAGTCACCTCCAAGTTCTTGATTTGGAAAAGCGTTGCTAAAAAGCGATTAGTATCGGTCATAATATAATAACGAAATCAAACTGCAACATTTATCGGCGTGGTCTTTGGAACACCACGCCAGAATGCACAGCGAATGGAGAACTTACTTCCTTCTGGGCCTGGGCTTCCACTACTTCCCTCCATCTGCAAATCAATAATCAAGTTCAACGGCTCGCCAACAAGACCTCCAGCGTACTGAGTAGTGACCAAAGACCCATCAAGATAGAAATTGACGCTGACATCGGCGCCATTCTCATCCCGCAATTCAGCCTTCACAGCGTGGAACTCCGTGGGAGATGGATATTCAACATCCTTGGCCTCAACTTCACTGGATGAATTAAACGTGTTGAAGCTGATGTCCCCAGAGCCTTTCCACTCCGCAATATCAATCTCGGGAGGCCATGAGTTCACCCCATTCAGCCAGAATGCCGGCCAAGTACCCTTGTCCACTGTCGCGATGAAGTCGACCGAGAAATCCAGGCCGCCCCCGGCTTCGACAGTGAACTGCTGCTTCGCGTACACAGTTCCAGAGTCCCAGGCGTAATCGGAGGCTCCGGTGTATGTCGCGTTCAAGGTCAAGGTTCCCGCCGTTGAAATGACAGCATTGCTCTCCTTCATTATGGCAGCGCCATTATGAGTGTCCCCCCATGGGTATCCATAGTTAAAGTACTCTGTCAACGACGAGGTGGAGTCGAAACACGAAGTTGGAATAAGGGTGCTGTCTCGCTTGGCGAGTTGTCGACCTGGCAATGCCAATGCCAGGCATGGAAGGGCTGCAAGGATATATGAATGCATGGATTGGCGTAGTTGCTCCAAGTAAACTATTGCTTGTCTCGTCTGGCAGAACTGCTCTATTTTATACATACTTAAGTACTCAACTGTTCGCGCCCATCTTGTAAGACACTCTATGGCGGATAGAGAAAGATCGGCAGTGGCATGATATTATCCGTAGAGCTAATGCAAGGTGCGATAATTGTCCGACGCTCTTAGCTGTGCGATCGACGACTTTCAAGGCACTCTTGTCGTAGTGCCTACACCGGAGGTGGGATGTTCATTAAGTCGACACCCCGCTCGGAGATGGATTCCTTTTAGGAGAGAGATTTGCACCCCGCCGGAGCTGGGTATGTTACATCCCTCGCCTCAAGATGGACAAGCAGGGCACAGAGTACGGAGTATATTAGGTGTTGATACTCTGCATCGGGTGAAATTCCGAGGGAAATGCAGGCTGTATATGTCGATGACTGGTACGAAGTACCTCAATGCAAATTGTCGATCTGTACTAAATGGGAACACAGATTCAGTAAAGCACCTGGACATAAATCGTTGAACATTCTCTCGTTTGAAGCGAAGAAGAACAATTATCCGTGGACGGTCGATCATGTTTCAAGTGTTTGAAACGCCCCCAAATGGCCAATTTGGAGATCTTCGAAACCCTTTAGTATCTTCTCCTAGTATCCTCTGCAGAGTACTTGAGTATTTCACCAATCTCAAACAATATAACGACACAACCTGACATCTTATAGTCTTCTATTGCTGAAGGAGATCTACTCCGTACACATTGATGTTTCTGCCATAGTAATCAGTTCGAAGCCTCAAAAAGAAGACCCCGGGCAGATTGCAAGACCTTATACTCAAGTAAATAATGAATCGCTGCTTCTCTATATATCTCCGCCGACAAATACCTTCAATATCATCCGATATCCTACGCGTAGAGGTTCGGAGTAAAAGATGACGTGAAAGGCGGGCATACCGCCTGCGTCAATCGCCGACCGAGCATTTCTTCCCTCAACATGACTCCGAGAACGAAATCAAATGGGCTCGCCTCGCTGGCGTGTACTGAATGCAGGAAGCAGCATCTGAAATGCGATGCCAGTAAACCATCATGTGCACGATGTGTTCAAAATGGGCTTCCCTGCCAATATCTACCCTCCCGGAGAGGAGGCCGGAGGAAATCGCGACAAGAGAGTCCATACTCACGCAACCCTGTGAATGCAAGTGCCCCGTTTTTTCAGTCCTTGAATTTCGAGAGAATACTAATCAGCCAACAGACTAGATATCAGCCTGTAGTACCCGGTTTGCCAGTTACTCCTGCGCAGTCCACAGGGAACCCTCCGCCAGGTGAGACGAGGCTGAGCATTCCCACAGAGCCGGGCTCTTGGCCAGTGATGCTTTCAAGGAGTTCTGCTCAGCCTATAGAATCAGTCAGCAAACACTCGCTTTTTGATGAGCGACTGCCCCGGGTCTACTATGAGAACTTTCATGTCGCCCACCCGGTCCTGGTACCAAGTGCCATGTACCATGACCGGAATTACCCTCGCTTCCTCCAGCTGGCAGTGCATTTTGTGGGCTCGCACTATATTTCCTCAGTCTCCAGTGAGCCCTACAAAGATCAGGTCATCGCCGAGCTGAAGACCAACCCGGATCGGTCGGCTTGCATGGCGCAGGCTTGGCTCATATACTCCATTGCTCTTTACGCGCGCGACGAATGGCAAGAGGCACAAGAAGCACTCTCCAACAGTATTGATATCGCTTTGGAGCTTGGCTTGAACCGCTGGTCATTTGCTTCGTCTGCAAATTCCGAAAGGTCCGTTGAGGCCGAGAGCATGAGAAGAACATGGTGGGAGCTGTATGTCACCGACATCTTCATGGTGGTCCCTCTCAAAACGACATCGTTCCGATGTAGCATGGTCTCGCCAGAGGTTGCTCTCCCATCTGAAGAGTCGGCTTACAACAGCGGAAGCGAAGTTCCGAAACCACGACTGATGATCGAATTCAAGCGGAGAATCCTTGCAGCAGAGGACACTGTTTTCTCATCTTTCAGCTACCGCATCGAGGCCACCACCATCTTATCTCGAGTTCTTGTGCTGAATCGCATGCGAGATTGCCACCGGGACCATCTCCAAGCCGTCGAGAATGCTCTAGTAAGCTGGATCAATCATCTACCTCCAAAAAAGCTCGACATTGTCGACTCGTATGGAAACGTAGATGAAATGATGTTCCAAGCACACCTGACAATAGCCTATGCCGCCATGCTCCTGCATCTCCCACGGAGTGATCTCCCCGCCGTCCTATCCCAATCCCAACCCGACGACAGATTCTGGCCCGGTCTAACAGGCCAACTATCCTCAACCTTCAGCCGTCTCGTGCACAGCATCAAAGCCACCGAGGCCTCAAGACGCATCTCCGATTCCATTTCCATCTGTCCAAATGTCTCAAAACACACCCCTTTCATCATTCCCGCCTTGGCTCTCTGCGGCCTAATCCAGCTCGCTACCTCAACCAGTCATTCGGAAGAATGCTTCGACCACCATTGTAATAGAGTCACTCTCATTCTAGGATGTCTCAAAAGCACCCAGCGAACATGGAAACTCACCGAATCCGTCTACCATGGTCTCCGATCTTCCGCCTCAGAGGTCCTATCAGAATCCATGGCAAAATGGAACGCAGAACCACTCCATCGTCTCACACCGGCAGCAACAACCCCCAGCGATGACCGCCCCATCAGCAGAAACCAAATGGCTGCAATGCCAGACGGTCACGACTTCATGCCTCCGGAGTTTACCCCTGCTTTCATCGACCCGTCTTGCTACAATGCTTCCTTCTTCAGTGCTATCCCTGACTTTGATATTAATTAGATCGGTGAAACCCGGGTTGTCCACAATCGAATCAAGTGCGGAAGTATCACTTTCCTCCAATGTTTTCTTTCTTGGCGAATACCAGCCACCTGTGCAGCTTCGTCATGCTGCATATATTGCATATCTGGCATCGTAGCATCAATTGTTATTCCCAATATACGTCAGATAGGGGTCCAAACATGATCTATCAAGAATCCTCTGTACTTTATGTCAAACGCCGATTGACGGCTCGCCGACTGCATCATTCGTTAGCTGTGATTGGTCCATGGGGATTCAAGACTCCACTCGGGCTCTCATTCAAAGCGCGTGTCCATGTCTCGTGCAACAACTGGGCGTCCAAATACCCTCATATCTCGTCAACGAGAACAGAGTAGATAACGAATCATCCAGGCCTTCCTGGTAAAGTCGATTTGGTCGTCGAATAATGCTCCAATTGGCCGAATTCGTCCCGACACGCAGATCCACGCTTCACGCTTCACGCCCGTACTGCAATAGATAGCACTTGAGCAATTCTCAGGGATATCCCTGGGTATACATAGGTTTCACCGACTATTTGTCTCCCGGGCAGCCTTTACCAATTATCCGGGGATACCCGTATATCAATACGGGGGAGAAGAGGTTGATCGCCGAAGAGCAAAACTGCATTGGCCTCGGATTGAGCTCTGGCATCTACTCTTACATCATAAATCACACGAGAGTTGAACGAGATGCATGTCTATTGCGTTTTAAGTCATTGCGATGGCGTTATGGGATGTCAAAATCATTAAAATTAGCCGGTTTGAAATTGAGAGAGCAGATTAGAAGGATTGTTCTGATTTTTGAATGGAAAATTTTCTGGCACTTTTTTTCGGCTTCCGGCCAATTATCGTTTCCAGGCACTGGATTGAAACTATATAGATTCTAACGTTAGCTAACGTTGAGATAACTTCAATGCATTTTTTCAATTATGAGTAAAAGTAGTAATGAATTAACGTCATACATGTTCAGGCCTCTGGACATAGGCGAGACTGGAATATGTCTGGGGAGCTGGAATGCAAGGCATTGGAGCAATCGGCGATTGAGTCCCATTTTTGCGATTGAGATCGCACGGATTTCAGGGGAATGAAACACATGCATGATTCTCAGGCATATTTTATCTTCGTGTCCGCCAGTTTCAATCTTCAATTCTAAACTCTTAGCTTTTCTTTTCCTTTTCACAATGCCTGCTGTCGTCCCTATACTCCCGCCTAGTGTCCTCCCGGACTACAGGCACTATACACCCGAATACAACCTTGACGACCTGGTCCGGGATATCAAAGCATACCTAGGAACCAGCGGGGGCATTTCATCTGCAGATGTGGATAACGAATACTTAATTTCGCTGGCTCAGAAATACATTTCCGACCCGAATGACTGGGCGCAGTATTTCTACAACGACACCAGCAAAAACTACACCCGCAACGCTATTGAGAATATCAACCAGAAAGCAAATATCGTACGTTTGCATTGATCTCTTCGGTTATGTATGAAACTAATTGTCATAGCTCCTCCTCGTATGGAACCCTGGGAAAGGCTCACCCGTCCACGACCACGCCAATGCCCACTGCATCATGAAGATCCTGGCTGGCACACTACAAGAAACCGTTTACCGCATTCCAGACCAAGCCTCTGAGCGGGCGCCATTGGAGATCAAGTCCGATACGAGACATACTATGAATGATGTGGCTTATATCTCCGACGACATTGGGCTACATCGTGTCTACAACCCGAGTAGTGACCAAGTGGCTGTGTCTCTGCACTGTGAGTTTATTCAAATCCTTCATTTCTGACATTGGACTTTAGAACTAACAAGATGTAGTATATACACCACCCAATGCAGCAGACTATGGATATAATGTCTACAACGAAGCCACGGGCAAGGCATGCTTTGTGCCTCAGGCTAAATCTGTTCCTCAAAAGGAGTGAAGGATATGTGTTTTTTATTTGCATGAGCCTGTGGAATAGATTAGGATTAGCGTGGCGCGGGCGTCAGTGCTGTCAAAGTTGTTATTTAATGAGATAATTGAAGCGTTCGAAGTTAAACGAAATAAGCATTACACCAGTGACCGGAGGCACGGAGTCTATAGAACGTTATTAAAGTGGATTAGAGGCTGAGAGTCGGTGGTCGGGGGGCCATTCTCCGAGTTGTTAAATAGCCTCGTCGTTAGGGTCGGCTTTTGGAAACAATCGGTGGTCGGCGGGCTTAGGCCCCGGATTCTGTAGTATACAACATTATAAGAGTCTACAAGGTCATGAGCTTTTGTGCATTAAACAATTATATTCTAACTGCTTTGATTCAAAATGTTCAGAACTGGCCTTTTGTCTCGACCCGTTAGGTCCATTGTGTCGGTGGTCGCAATAGGCTCCGGCGCATACTTCGCCCAGTCTCTTCTATCAACAGCCCACGCCGAGTCCAAAGAACCCCCCAAAGCCTTTGCAGGCTTCGGTTTCACCACTCTACGACTCCAAAGCACCAAATATGTCAACCACAACACGAAAAGACTCGTCTTTGAATTTCCCGACCCGACCGCAACAAGTGGTCTCTCTTTAACATGTATGCACTCCAACCTATAACCTACAAAGCAATTCTAACCATCCCAGCTGCCCTCCTCACAGTCACCCGTCCTGAAGGACGATGGCTTCCCGTACCAAGGCCATACACCCCCATCAGCGACCTAAGTAAGTAACCCACCACACCATCACAAACAATCTAACAACATGCAGACCAACAAGGCACCATCGAATTCATGGTCAAAAAATACCCCAACGGCAAAGCCAGCAGTCACATCCACTCCCTGGTTCCGGGTGACACACTCACATTCGCAACTGCACTGAAAGGACACGCCTGGACACCCAATCAGACCAGCCAAGTCTACCTAATTGCAGGTGGTGCAGGCATAACGCCAATCTACCAGCTTGCACAGGGAATCCTGAATAACCCCGCCGATACCACGAAGATCAATCTCATTTTCGGGGTTAATACTGAGCGCGATTTATTGCTCAGAGAGGAGTTGGAGGGTTTCAAAAGCCGGTTCCCTGATCGCTTTGATTATACTTATGTTGTTAGTCATCCTGAGGGATTGGGTGATGGGTTCCAGAAGGGATATATTACTCAGGAGTTGTTGGGGGGTGTTTTGAAGGATGGAAAGGCGAAGGTCTTTGTTTGTGGTCCCCCTGCTATGGAGACATCGTTGGTTGGTCCTTGTGGGAGGGCTGGGATTTTGGCTCGTCTTGGGTTTGAGAAGAGTCAGATCGTGAAGTTTTAGATGTTTCTTTAGATGTTTCTTTAGATGTTTCTTTAGATGTTTCTTTAGATGTTTCTTTAGATGTTTCTTTAGATCTTTCTTCAGATCTTTCTATAGCAAACTTTAGAATCAATGTACAATACTTTCGTCAACATATCTCAAGTCTAGAAGCCATCTGTCTAGTACTCGAATAGGAGCTTTACAAAAAAGGCATCGCCACATCTGATTCTTCCAAGGTTCCCAAGTGAGAATAACTTAGAAGCCCTCCAGATTGTCCTCGGCTACTTCCCACATGTCAAGTCCATTATCAGATCGGCCCTGGATAGAATCTCATTTTTCTGCTTCGAGCTTTCTCCACAGCACCTACCACGTTCTGCCCGCCTCAAATTTGCGACGATCAGATAGCGGTCTAGTCCGTACTCAAGTACGAGTACGAAGTAGTCGTATGCTTATTTACTCGGCGCCGAAACGGAGTTGACGTAGGTTTGCTTCAGAACAGAGCCAATGTGGATTGAACTAAGTATCAGGCCGGTGGTGTTTCATCAGCCCTGTAGGTAGTTTCAACCACAACTTTAGAACGTTCTAGTAAACCCTCTTGAGGTCTCAGTAAAACGATCGGAGCACGGATAAAGCGTCAAGCACTCGTATTCCTGGTGGAGCGAAGATCGATACCCAGAACGACAAGTCCCGCGGGCATATTTCTCAAACAGGCACTAATGCAAATCCGAAACATTGGACCGAGTACCGGGGTATCAGGATAATTTGAAGAAAAAAATGATGACACTATATACATTGAATGTCTGTACATGTATAGGGGGATCAGAAACTCGAAATATTACAAGAGCTCAGTTCAAGTGCCCCAAAAAGAAAACCCAACAAAAATACAAATCTTCAAGCACAGCTTGGAGATAACAGTAACAAGAAACGCCAAATGGGGGGGGTATGATATGCATGAAATGGCCGGCTTCAATCTCTCTTTTGTGTATCGACGTGTTCGGTCCTCGGGCGTGCCCGGTTCGATATGATGCAAATGCGAAACGGGATGCAATGCTAATCATGGATATTTGCAAACTACTCCCGTCCAGTGGAGGTGAGTCGGATTTCTTCCGTCGGAAGACCCTCTTCAGAGGGAACGTGTTGGTAGCTGCGCTTGCGGCGGTCACGGATGGATCGCCAGATGGCGAAACCGGCGCCGCCCAGAATTCCGACGACCAAGAGGAAAACGAGGAGGCTGCCGATGCCTTTGATGATGTCATACGCCTTGTAGACAGCCTTTGCGACCTCCTTGGCGTCGGCGTACTGGGCTGCCGAGTGGTCGCTGGAAGCGATTGAGCTGGTGGAGTTGGTGCCGATGAGCTCGGCCGCTTTGTCGCTGCTGATACCGCTGGGATTGGATGAAGACAGCTTGCTGGCATCGTTGGCAGCGACAATGATGGATGGGTCGTCAGGGCTGGGGCCGGACTTGGAGCCGCTCCAGCCGGAAGCTTTCCAGTTGCTTGGAATCTCGGTGCGCATGACCTTGGAAGTGTGCATGACATTTCCTTCGGCATCAATAGCCTGCGCAGAGACCCAATCCATATAGCCATCGGCGATGTACATGCTCTCAAAGTCTGTCTTGTTAGTGGAGCCGATGTAAACTGGGTCACCGCGATCGTAGGATTGGGCGTAGAATTTCCACTGGACTACATCGGTTGCGCCGTTCCAGCTGACGTGGATAAGTGTGGTGGTGTCCTTGTCGTCAGTGCCGTACACATTTGCGACCACGTCCGGAGGCGCGACGGGGCGACCGGTGAACTCGCCCTTGTATGAGCGGTAAGTCGAGTACCGGTCTGATGTGAAGCGGGCGGTCATGAGAAGATCGCCATTCGAAGCGTGTTCGCTAGAGTAGCCCCGCTCGCTCCATCCAACAAAGTAGTTGCCGTTGGGAAGAGGGCGGAAGCTACCACGGAGTCGAGTGAGACCACTGTCGGGGCGGTTGATCCGGTGAATCACGCGAGCTGTCATAGGGTTCACGGTGGTGTCTAACTCAACGATCAGACCGGAAGAGGTGTTCTCATCGTTACCGCGCTCGTCCGAGGCATTGTTCAGCATCGAGATAACGTGGTGAGTACCGTTAGACGAGACGAACTTGGCATCGTGCTGCTTGGAGAAAGTAAAGTCCTGATCGAAGTTGCTCTCCGTTCCACCCAGGCGCCAAATAATGCTGCCATCCTTGCCAGAGATCAAGTAGAGAGTATTAGTGAATCGCAACGAGATCAAGTAGTCACCTGCCTCGTTCTTATCGACTGCGTTGATGTGAACATAATCCCAGCCCGGCTCACCAGTAGCCGGACCGTCCCACGCATGGAACATGTTCGACTCGTGGAGAGCGATCTTGTCTAGCGAGTCCCATTGATGAAGCACCTCGCTAGTGGCGACATCCAGCTCGACGAATCCACCCACTGTGACCCAACTCTCTTCCGTAGGGCGTCCAAAATCAGCCAGGTTGACGCGCGCATTACGATACGTGCATGCCAGGGCTGTCTTTCCACCATCCAAAATGTTGAATTCGTGCATGTTGAAATCGTGCAAGTCGTTGATCACTTGGACCTCCTTCTCCACCTCATAATGCTCGCTCACCAGGGCACCGTGGCCCTTCTTGGACCCGTCCGATGCCCACCCCACAATGAATGACAGGTGTGTTTTTGAGTCGATGTTATTGACCGGCTTGAAGTCGAAGGTGTTCTCATTATCGTACATGGGCGAGCCAGCCCAGATCAACATCTATCCGGGAAGCGAGTCAGCTGGTGTTTATCCGGGTCCGGGGTTCTCCACATACACCACTATCATCGTAAATATAAGGACCGACTTGGTATTGCTGGTACTTTTGTGTGGGACGTTCCGGGGAGATCTGTCCGTATGGCGCAACGAAAATATAGCCGGGCGCCATGCGCTCGCGGTCGTAATGTTCAATCTCCCATTTCAAGGCTCGGACCTCGGGGAGCTAGGTGACGGTCAGCGGTGATATGGGACCCATGCTGGCTCGACCTACCGTCACAAAGGACATCAAATCTTCATCATGGCGTGAGGCGACAGCATTAGTTGATAAGAGGAGCAATAAAGCACCCCAGAACATATTGAAGGAATGGCTAGGAAGGTCGATCTTCCAGAGTGTCAAGAGAATGAAGGGGGTTGAGAACTAAAGAACCCAAGGTAAAGACGACATCCAAAAGGCCAAGAGGCGAACGGCCCTCGACAATTAAAATCAAACCGCAAGCCCAATCAGAAGATCAGAAACCTGAACAGAAGAAGACCAGAAGAGAGAAACGAAGCCAGCAACGTAATAACGCAGTCTTGGCATTGTTTCGGGTGGGGCACTGCACACGACGCCCTACGACTGTCCACGACTTGTCCACGACGGTCTGTACGAGGCTGATCCACAGCGGAGTTCCTCTCCTCTCGTATATTTTTCCATCTTCTCGTATAGGCTTGTCACCTCGGGGTCGGTCTTATTTTCCTTAAATACATAGAGTTCCTTGACTGCGCAATGGCCTACTACTTCTTGAAGAAAACTCCTGCTTGCATATAATTCTCCGGATGCCGTTTTGCCGGAAGTGATCGGCCAGGGGAAGTCCTTGGCACATACGGAGTAATCTGTGGAGTAGGGGATGATTCTGCTCGGGAATAACGATTGACACGGGATACTCTTACAGTCCAAGTACAAGTACATGATATGGAGAACAGATGTGGAATCCTCGCCAAACTCCTTTTGTCGGATTCTTTTCCCGCTTATTCTGTACTGTGCTGAAGGGTGACTATTCCAAAGTTCCAGAACTCACACTCGGCATTTAAGCGATATGTCAAAGATCCACCTGGCGGACGGAGCACTTGTCACTGTCGGGACACTGTGATGGATACTACTCATATGATCTGTGTGGATTCGTGGATGCTGCTAGTTAAGGCTTCGCCTGGGGTATTTTCGTATCCAATGTAGTTTAAAGAAGCAATATGGCTATGTAGTAAAGCCCAGGATTTCCGGCAAACCTTGGAAATCCCCGACTTATAGATATGTTTCAAGGGTGTAAACAAAGCAATTGTGGACTAAGTACTTTACTTTGCATCGGCAAAAAAAAAAACAAGGGAACAAAGCCAACATGGGATGTCACATACAGCCTATGAGAGGCAATGATGCTAGCATGGAAGGGGAAAAAAATAATAAGAAAATGGTATCGAGAAAAAAAAAAGAAAAAAAAACAAAGTAAGCGACACCTGTGTGATTCGAACACACGCTCCCGAGGGAATTGCCTTAGCAGGGCAACGCGTTAACCACTCCGCCAAAGTGCCCTTGTTTTATTTGAGACTCAGGGTTTGAGATACTTAATCCAGCTGGTGAGTGATGATGATCAGACCTCGGCCATTTCCTCAGACTCAATCACCATGATCTACACAGTTCACGGGCACTTCAACCTAGCTAATGTAAAAACAACCTTCAACTACAATAATTACTAAACCAACACTGCCTTGGTATATTTTGATCATTTCAACCTACCGATTTTCCAATGTTTCAATGAAACAGCCATCTGAAGGCCCTGGATCTGGCTATCCATTAACCCGGACTTATAGAGTGACACATGGCAAACTACTACAAGCTGGCTGATTTGCCAGTCTCCTAGCCACAGCATCCTTGGAAGAACCTTGGTACCTTGGCAATTCCTGTGGGATATGTAGCATGTTCCAATTCACTTCATCGCGATGGGCTTTGAATTGAGCTACATAACCCATGAGATTGCAAAAGACTTCCAAAACACCCAACTTTTAAACCTCACATACTCAAACAAAAACCTAATGAAAGAAAAGGAGAAACCCGATCTGATCTCCGATCGAAGCTACATAACTATAGGCTCTAAGACACCGATACGTACCCACAGTAAACAAGCCCCGCAGCCCCTCTACGCCCCTCAGCTCTTCCATTACATTCTTATTCTTCTCAGCTCTTAAAACACCTTTTCACATCCTCTCTTCCACTCTCTACCGATTCAACTATCAAAATGTCTTACCGCAACGAACAATACGGCTCCGGCTCCGGCGCCAGCTCCAACTACTACGACCAGAACCAGGATTTCTCCCGCAACGACTCCTACGGCAACCAGGGTGGTAACCAGAACCACGGCCGCCAGGAGAACTACGGCAACTCAGGCGACAACTACGGTAGCCACGGTGGCAACCAAGGCGGATACGGACAAGAGAGCTACGGCAACTCGAACTCCAACTACGGCCGTCAAGAATCCCACGGCAACCAAGGATACGGACAAGAGAGCTACGGCAACTCGAACTCCAACTCCAACTACGGCCAAGAGTCCCACGGCCGCCGCAACAGCAACAGCAACTACGGCGACGACGACTTCAGCAGTGCCGCATCCCACGCACAGGAGCACCACAGCAGCGAAGACAAGTCTCTTTTCAGCTCTGCGCTGAGCTTCATCCAGGAGCGCAAGGGGAAGTACTCTGGATCTGAGGGTGAGGTTGATGAGCAGCATGCAGTGAATGCTCACCAGGCCATGTATGGGTCTGGATCATCGAGCCAGAACCATGATTCCAACACTGTTGGTGCTGGTGCTGCTATGCAGGCGCTGAAGATGTTTACTGGTGGTGGATCTGGGGGTAGCTCTAGTGATGGTGGGATGGATAAGAATAAGCTTATTGGGCTTGCTATGGCTCAGGCTGGGAAGTTGTGGGATGAGAAGCAGAGCAGTGGTGGTAATGTGGTACGTATCTTTGATTCTGGATTTTAGGTGTGGTTGACTAATGATTTATTTTAGTCTGGTGACAAGCAGACTGCTGTTAACTCTGCTGCTGAGATGGCTTTGAAGATGTACATGAAGAGCCAGGGTGGCGGTATTGGTGGTACTGGTGGTGCTGGTGGTGCCAGTGGCCTCCTCAGCCTTGCTAGCAAGTTCCTGTAAATCAAGTGTAACTAGTTTGGAGATATGTGCAGAATGATATGATGACTTTCTGATTTTGTGACTCGCATGAAACGGTATATAAAAAAGAGTAGGCTCTGCTGTACCCAGGGAAAGCCTGAACTCGGAAAAATGACTCGCTGACCTGCACATGCAATGCACATGCCCTAAGTCTCGCATGAAAAAATACAACGCAAAATCAAAGGCCAACGCTAAGCGCAGAAAATGTCACCGCGACCGACCATAAACTATTCGCATCTAATCTACCACTCGTCATCGTCATCATGTTTGCCTTGCATCGCACTCTGTCGAGCACGTAGCGCTTCGGCCAAGCCGCCTGCAAGGCTGGCGTTGGATGCACTGTTGGGGGTGCCGCGACCGCTGGCACCAGATGAGTCGCCGGAGTTCATGCTGACGGCGCTGTCACGAGGAGCAGGCGGGGGTGCGGGTTTGCGACCGGCCATGTTGGGTCGCTTGGCGGGAGGAGCGGGAGGGGCAGGCTTAGTCTTTGCAGCGGCGGCAGCGCCAGCTCCGTTGGGAACAGGGCTTGGAGTTGCGCGGGGTGCTGCAGGGGGAGGGGGAGGTGCTGGCCTAGGTGTGGGAGCTGCAACAACCTCTTCAAGGTAGGCCTCGGGTGTCCATCCTTGGACCGAAGTTGCCGTGTTCATACACAACCACCATCCTAATCAAATTAGTCACCATTGAGAGTAAAGCTGAAGATTGGGATACATACCATTTCCTTCCTTGGACATAATCTGAACAACTTCACCCGTGCGGATAGAAAGCTCGTTGTCGCGATCGCTGTTGAAGTCATACTTGACCTTGGCGGTGGGCTTCTGTACCGCTGCTGGGGGTGCCGAGGGAGGTGGTGGTGGAGGAGCCCGCATAGAACCACTAGACTCCTTGCGGGAGTGGGATGTAGCAACGGCAGCAACAGGCTGAGGCACAATGCGAGGCTGTGCAGCGGGTTGCGGTGTCGGGGCAGGCTGGGGTGTTGACCGGGGAAGAGGTTGCGCAGCGGGCACAGGTCTGCGAGCTGCCTGGGAAAGCTTCGAGGGACCACCACCAGGGCCACCGGGTCTAAGAAGTTTGCCCTTGGTGACTGGTCGTGCAGCAACAGGCTTCGGCCGAGGAGTGGGCTTTGAGACAGAGCTGGGGGGCTCACCCGCACTGGTGTGGATTGTGCTACTTTTGTAGCTGTCAACGTTTCCAGCGGCTGGGTCCTTGACAGCCTTAACAGTTGCCAACTTTCCTGGCTTTTTGTTGTATTCGATAGTGTCTGCAATCTTCAGGGTGAGAGAGCCACGGAGGACGGTAGAGAGATGGGTGAAAAATTCAGTCTTGAAAACGCAGTTGACCAGGGGATCGGGCTCTTGAGCCCCAACAACAAGCGAGAACCAGTCATCCTTGAGAGTTGAGGTGTTAACAGACTTGATGGCTCCAACAGGAATGGACCGTTCTGCAGTGATTGCAAGCTGATTGTTGACAATACTCTGTGAGACGATGTAGACATGTCGGCTCGACAACACGAGAATCCGAGGCTCGGGCTTGCTGGAACGACCAAACTTGGAGACTAGTACTTCCGCACGACAAGAGAAGACAATGTCTTCTGAGCCACTGATGCCTGCACCATTGCGGATCATTTCACCAGGACCACCGGAGTTCCCAACACCAAGGTAGTCACCCAGGAAACGACGAGAACCGAGCAAACTCATTCTCCGGCGCTCCTTGCGGCCCTGGAGCAATTTGTGACCTTCATCACGAACCTTGATGAACTCGAGTCCACCGGTCATGCGGCGCCAGAAGCGCTGAATGCGGATCGCACACTCAATGCGATACCGGAGGTAGTTTCGCCAGGCACGCTGGATACGGATGGCCATGTTGTGCCAGTACTTGTCTCTCATGGCTTCCAATGCGAATAGTGTCTCGGGGGTCTTGACGAAGACCTTGGTGATACCCATCTGATATTCCTCAGCAGGAATGCGGGTATCCTTCAAGATCTGCCTGGCTCCTGATTCCACATCACCAGTCCATGTGTAGTCACCGGCATAAGAGGTCTTGGGGGAAAGGAGGTAGAATCGCTCGGTGAACTTGTCAAAGGTCTGACGATAGGCAAAGCCGGCACGTCGAATGCGGACGTTCTCCTGCAAACCAAGGTACTTGATCTGGTGCAGAACGTTGCCGTGGTTGTACTCCCTGGGTGCCTTGTTGTCGTTGGGTTTGATTGTACGGATGTAAGACGGTTGGGCTTTCATGAGTGTAGCCACCAGGTCGTTGGCAGATGCCTTGATCTTGTCACCAGCAGTAGGCGGGCGACGCTTGTCATCCTGGTTAACCTGGTTGGGGAACAGCGTATGGACGAATTGGTTGCTACTGGATTGAGCAAGGTTCAGCAAGTCCTTCAACAGCTGGTCCTTGTTCTTATCGGTCATTCCCTCAACATTGTAGCTCACATCACCAGCGTAGTGCTTGATAATGAACTGGCCCTGACGGCTCTCAAAGTTGGGGTTCTGCGACAAGAAATTGAGTCTGCCGACGAAAGTCTGATCGGCGGCACCGGGATCGGCGTGGGCAGTGGCACACGCATCATTCAGGGCAGCGAAGACACCAGGAGGACGCTTGTCTTCGATCAAAGAGCACACGACCTTGTTGTCAAAGTACTCAATTGGGGTCCACTTGATCTGTTCGCGGGCATACTCGTCCTGCTCTGCCTTGAGAGTCAGTTGAATGAAGATCTGCTGCAGCTTCTCGTTGACATAGTTGATGCAAAGTTGCTCGAATGAGTTCTTTTCAAAGATCTCGAATCCGTAAATATCCAGAATACCAATCGAGTTAGTGATAGATGCACGAGCAGTCAGCGATTGATTGACACGCTCCACAATCCAGTCGAAGAGGTTGAAGTAGATTCCCTTGGACAGCGCATCCCGAACGGCAGCAGCCTGGGCCCTGTTCAAAGGCACCTCGTAAACAGATCCTCTGCGTCCTCCACGCGCGGTCTCCATGAGACGGATTGTAAGTGCCTTGTTCACTTGGGCTGCGTCAACCTCCAAAAGGTACGCGACAAATTCAACGACAGATTGGTCGCTAATCATAGCGTTGCCCGAATCATCCTCAGTGAACTGCACATTACCGATCCACAGGATGGCGGCCAGCATGCGGAAGACATTATCCTGCTCGGCATCGCTCATTCCAATAACCCCCATCGCATTCAGTGTATCCTTGAACTCGGCAACATCGTCGATTCCCGGCACATCGAAACATTTAGAACGGCTGGTATAAAGGTAGGACTGCGGTTGCTGTAGGCCGAAGCTATCGCGGTACTTTTGTGGGGCACCTTTTGTGAGTTGGTAGAAAATGTGGAAGTTTCGCTCGTTCGCAATTTGGCCCACGACTCGTGACTTTTCCAGCAGATAATTTGTGATGTTGGCTCCCACCGGTTCGCCATTGGCGTTGAATTCCAACTCCAGATACTTTCCGAATCGCGATGAGTTGTTGTTGCGCAGTGTCTTCGCATTACCGAATGATTCCAGCAACGGATTGGTTGCCAGCACCATCTCCTTGGTCTGTTCAATGGATGAATCGGTGCCGCCGGACACACTCGCGATGTATTGCATGATCCGCTTGGCCGCCTCCGTCTTTCCGGCACCGGACTCTCCAGAAATGATTACACATTGGTTATCCTTGTAGGACTTCATATTGTAGTATGCGGATTCGGCGACTCCGAATACATGAGGGGGGACTTCGAGGCGGTTCTTGCCGCGGTAGGAGTCGAGGACACTATCGGTGTAGATGCCCACTGGAATGGATTGTTAGCCATCAGACCACCATCACCCGATCGCGGAGGTACTCACAGTCCCGGAAGGGGTTCACTGAGACCAACACATGGCCAATATAGGTCTATGATTCTCCCGTCAGCCTATCCTCGTGTTCGCGCACAACCCCGCAGTCCTCGTGGGAGAGGGATCCCTTACATAAATCTCGTCATGTTCGAACCGGAGCTTCAAGTTATCGTTGATGGCCTCGTTGGAAATCTTGCTGAGGAGTGTAAGATCTGATACACCAATCTCCTTCTTCTTGCTGCTCTCAAAGGTGGCCTTCTTGAGTTGCGGCTTGCCCCCCGCCTGTCGACCATCGCCCACATCGGCAACTGCTTTCGTGCGGCCAAATCGGCTCTTCTTCTCCCCACCAGCGGGGCGTCGTGACTGACCCTATACCAGAGCCAGGTCAGTATGGTTCCTTATCTGGGGTCGGCGCGGTAACCTTACCATGTTGTGTCAATCTCTCGGGATCTCGCGCCCGAGGGTAAATCTGACCTGTCAGCTGAATCGCGCAGTAAGCGTTCAGCAGAAAGATTCAGTTGTGAAAAGCGAATAGTCTAGAACCAATGCCCAGGTGTAGGGAGGAATGGGTGACTGGGGGAGACTTACGTACAACAAGTCAAACCGAAGCAAACAGCTGCGCCACACTTCGGCCTCAGGGGGGCAAAATTGGGCATCAAATCAACGGCGCCAGTTTCCGGCATTTTCACTTCTTAACTGACGGACTTTATTCTGATTGCTCCATTTTGCCCGTTAATTTTCTTCCTTTTCTTCTTTTTCTTCCATTGACATTCGTTCCGCCACGCGCGTCACGCCTTGTGGCTCGTGCATTCAAGAATAGAAACACCGACGTCATTCTCTACGGACAAACTGCGATCAACTGAGATTCTGCCAATACGAGTACGAGTAGACAAGTCAGGGTCCACCGACAGGCACCAATATGCCTGCTTCTATGTACTTACAGTGCTGCCTGAGCTTCTACCCAAACCTCCCTCCAAGGGAATATATATCGACGTTCTGCCCAGGTGTTACATCGATGCCTAACTTTAGATCTTTCCTTTGTACATATTCTTGGCATTACTCTATTTGATTGCCAGTCTCATCTAAAAATATAATATTACATACAAATTATAGCATCACAGCTTCTCATCATCGCCCAACATCCATTGCACATGCCGATACGACACACGGCCCTGATCCTGCGACTGCCGATGTCCAGCCTGATAAGTTTCCGCAAACATAAGACCACGCTCATAATGCTGAACACCCATCACTCCCTGCGGACCATCAAGCTCACCATAGTCGACCTGGGCATCAAAGACAGCCGCATACTGCAAGTCCGGCATCTCAATAGTAATAGGTGTATGCGGACGAGATTGGAATCCCAGCTGCCCGTTCCAGGTCATATTCTGAATCGCGACGAGTGTTCCATTCGTGATGATCAGGTAATCCCAGGCTCCGTTGGAGACCAGAACACGGTTCGTGGCTTCGATGACGCGGGGGAGAATGTGTTCTGTTGGATTTGCGGAAATGTCGAATGCTTGTTCGGGGCCTGGGTCTGGGCTGACGAAGACGCTTTCGAGACTGCAGAGTTCCCAGTTGATATCTGGTGGGATGTGGAGGGCTTTTTTGACGTCTGTGCGGTTGAAGTAGTTTGTGGGACCGGGTTGGTAGGCTAGGTCTGTGGGGAAACCCAGGACGTCCCATAGGAGTGGACATGTCTGGGCGACATTTGAAGGATTCCAGCATGGGTTTGGGTTGTAGGCTTCGTTGTAGATCATGTTGTAGATGTCGCACTCGGAGTAGTTCATGAGTTTGGGAGGTTGGATTCCAGAGGCTGGGAAGGTGAGATATTCGTCGTTATAGTCCTTGAAGCCGCATTGTTCGTAGGTGTCCTTGAGATCTGCCATGAAGGATTGGTTGAAGTTGAACAGATCGGCGTTCTTTTCAACGAAGGGATATGCGGGGAGTTCGGCCTGGATGTAATCCCACTGGCCGATGCATGGCTCGTACATCAGAGCTCCTGGTATATGTCAGAAAATGCGATCGGTTGGGTTTTTACGTGGGAGAGTCTGGCCTTACCACTGATGTTGAAGTGTTTCGTATCATTCTGGTCAAGCATGGCGGCAGACATGTAGGGCACATATCGGCCGGCATAACTTTCACCAGTTAGGAAAATCCGGAAGTTCTCAATCTCATATTCTTCTTGGAAGGCTTTCATGAATTGAATGAAATCAACAGAGATATCTTCTTCGCTGGTAGCAGTTGGTGTGCCGTTGGAGTATCCCACTCCAACTGGTTGATCAATCCTGGGTATTCGAGTCAGTATACCAAATACTACTGCATAGGTTGAAGCCTTGCCAACAATGACTTACCATAACATGTTGGTCAAGTTGACCCATGAGTACTGATTCACGACCGGTTCATAGGTGCCAGGAACCCATACGAAACGACCGTTCTCCTGGAAGAATCCCTGCATAGAACTACATCCCGGCCCACCACTAAACCACACTGTCAGGTCGTTAGTTGGCTCTCCGATCTTCGGTTGGAAGATGTAGAACAAGGACGCATTATCGCGGACCGGCATATAGCCAGAGTACATCTCTCCCAGTTCATAGTGGACATCTGGCAGGCTCTCTACCACATGAGCTGAGGGGAATCAACCTCGGTCAGTGAGGGTTTAAATAGTGGACGAATTCAACATACGTTTGGTTTTGTTGGTGAGGAAACGATAATTCGAGGTATCCAACGGCTCAGAACCATGAGCATGAAGTGTACGCTGTGGGCGAGGAGAGCCTCGAGCAGCCAACTGTCTTGCTTCTCCACCACCCAGGAACAGTGTCGCGGTCAGCAATGCCGCCGTCAAAGATCGACCGAACATTCCGACTGTATCCAGCGCTTCCGCAGCGACCGAGTATGCTCGCAATGCCAAAAGACGATTTCCAGAACAGAGCAAAGCAGAATCAACCTCACTCTGGTGAGATTGGTAAGCCTGGATAATTTTGAATAAGCATGGCGATCAAGACCCTTCTGATCTTCCGTGTCTTGCACCCTGAGTCCACTTGGACGATCTTCCTTGCCAATGGATGGCCGCCAAGTCCATCTGAACGGGGAATGCTCGGCAGTTTTCCCAACTCAATTGAAGTGTTTTATCCGTTGGGATAAACTAGCAGGGGCTGAGCATACTATGCATGCACTAGTTACACGGCCGAATCACGGAACGAATGGAAGTAAGCGAAGTTGGGGTTAGCTGGAGTCATGGAGTAGAACCGACAAGCTCGGATCTACTGTGCGCAAGTTGCATTCAATTGGTGCCCCTTGCATCGCCCCACCAGTCTAACAGAAAAAAAGGCAATCCACGGACACGATGTCGGCTGCAGCCGCGCCACGGTCAATATGGTCTAATCAATCTAATAAATCCACGCAGTGTGGTTCTGGAAATCGGAAATGTGTGGAATTATTGTTCAGCTGAGGCTGAAGCCCACACGAACCATCTACAAGTATTGAGTTCGAAAGGAGTATGGAACAGAGGATTCATGTGCGAACTGCCGGGGTGCTCGAGCTGAATGTAGACGGGATGCCAACGCGGCATTTAGTGAGCTCTTACCATGACTCTACAAGCTCGTGTTTCATGATTATTGTCGACATTCTATCCATACTCGTAGGTAGTTGAAATCCCTGTTGCCGCTTTCGAATTAATGCCCCCCATATGGAGTATACGAGTACGAGTAGGAACAGCTGAAACAACCATCGGTCTCGGCAAGAGCCGTAAAAAGCTAAGCGGCCACTAAGAGCTGCATAATGAACGCCTCTTCTTGGCGAAAAAGGTGTGCTTCTTTCCGGGAGTGCCGGTGATGCTGAGCACCAAAGATGCCAAGGATGCCAAGGATACTGTTCCCAACGCTGAAAGTGGCCTGGATGTTGCTGGGAGGTGGGAGGTGGTTTTGAGAGACGCCTAGAGATATGATCTTAGATATCAGACAACAAGATCAATTGATGCCGCCTAAGCCGATCAAGCGCAGTTGGCTGCCCATGTTCGTTGGCTGCCCATGTGGAGAATGAAGCCACAAGTAACCCTAGCAGATCAAAATTTACCATAGTGTTCATAGCAAAAAAAGGAACATACTCAAGAGCCTTGAAGGAAAGAAACACAGAGCCCATGCACAGCTGAGATTGTGTAAAGAGAAGCTTTTATTACATAGAGATGTCCTGATGGCCCACCGAGAGACCAATTCCAATCAACTGTCTTGACTCTCGTCCCATAATCCACTTTGACAAAGTTGTTCCCCACTGCTAGTATCTTTCTCACTTGTGAGGCTGCCCAAATGGATTTTCTTTGGGGTCCGCATTGGGCTGTACACGACGTATTAGCGAAGAACGACAAATCAGGAGCTTGTATACATGGATAACACCTACTGGAGGTCCGAACAGAGAATGGGACTTGGCAACATCAGTACTCTTTAGAAGGAGATGTCAGTCAATTTCATCAGAATCGTCTGGAAATCAACTGGTTGTCGCTCACCTGGGGGGCTACACTGGAGCTGCGGCCAAAAAGAGAGCTAGAACTATCGGTCGTACCGGTGCCAGGGCCAGGGCCAAACAGTGATGGTTTGTTCCCTTCGGGGGCGGGGGAGGTCCCGGTGCCAAACAGTGACTTGGGTGCTCCGGGGGTCTCAGTAACCTTGATGATCACATGTCAGTTGGGGAAGGTCCATATGGAAATAAGCTGCGTCTAGCGTACCGGAGCCGTAAGACCAGAGCTAGGGCTGATGCCGGCACCGGGGCCAAACAGTGACTTGGGTGCTCCGAGGGTCTCAGCAACCTTGAAGCCGGCACCGGGGCCAAACAGAGAAGAATGCGTTCCGAAACTCCCAGGAACCTGGATGATAATGTGTGAGTGGTTGGGGAGGTACATCCGACGGTTTGGGTCTTGCTCACAGTAAGCTCTGTAGTAGAACTGGCGATGGAGCCGAACGAGGGCTGTCTGTTGGCTAAGTCAAAAGGCTGTATAGTGATGTCAGTTGTAAATCATCAGCATGGGGATGACATGGGCGTGGCTCACCGACGGCGGCAGGCTGGGCTTGCCAAACAGAGACTGTTTTTGACTAGCAGCAATAGTCCACAGAGCGACATGTTAATAAGATCTCCTGATCACAGAATAGCATGGGCGTGACTCACTTGGGCGAAGGGACTGACTTTCATTGAAGGCGGCAGGTTAGGGTTTCCGAACGGGGTCTCTCGCTTTACTGGAGTGTCAAGCTTCTATGTAGCGACATATTAGTTAGTTGTCCTCATCCCAGAATGATATGGCTCCAACTCACCTGACCGAAGGCACTGGCTTTGCTGTCAAGGTGAATTACCCGAGACAGGCTCCTCATGAACCCTTCAACGCAATCTAGAAGGTATGATGCATCTGAAATCACTAGGACGGGAGGTGGATCGGCAATCCCTAGCGACAGGCAGTGGTGCAGTGCGCCAAGTGCTTGAGTGGCCTCGATTTGCTGTGCACCGGACGAGCTTGAATCCATCAAGTACAGAATCACGCTCGCAGATCTCTTGTTAGATTCAGCAAACTGTTGAATGGTGGTGCCCGTATCGCGTCGGTGTTTGACTTGGAAATGAGCAGGCGACAGGAGTAGGGCATTGACATTGACAGTCCTCACTAAGCGAGAGGCATCAAACGTCTGGACTGGAGGGAAGTGACAAGTGAGTTCAAAGCTGAAGTCCCGTCCCGAGGTCCGAGGGAAGGTCTCAGTCATCGTTCCCAAGGCCGTAATCATAGGACCGATCCTCCCCCATTCATCCCGGCTGCGAAGGTTCGTATTGTAGGTACCGCGCAATCCAGAGACGGGTGGAGCCATGATGGGTGAGGGTGGGAGAGGGGGCAATGAAGAAGGTGATGGGAAGCTAGACGTGAGAGTTGAGGTTTGAAGTGAATGTCTGAAGGGAGGCGAATGAAGTAGAACAGGCAAAAGAGGTAAAGAAGGTGAAGGTGGTAGAGGTAAAGAAGCAGGCTCCACCGAGGAAGGAACGACCGACAAAAGGTTCCAGCGAGCCAATGCGTTGGAAGCCAAGGTCGATAACACTAAAGACATGCCTGTACGAGAGAAGAAAGGAATCAAGTGAAAGATAAGAGAGAAGAGTTGAAATTATGTAGGAAGAGTATGTAATGGGACTGTCAAGAGCGGAGAGGAATATAAACAGACTCCGCCTATTGAGAGATCCCTCCAATGTGTAAGGGTATCTAGACTGAAGCAAACAAAAAGCATATGCACGCCAACCTTCTATGACCGGATATCGCTAAGATGAAGATGAAGCAGACCGTGACTACTGACTCTTAGATGCAGACATTCTGTTTGGCGCAATTGGCGTAGTCAGCGCCTGGATCTCAGATGCAGAGGGTCTGTTTGGCGCAGTTGGCGTAGGAAACGCTGGACTCATAGATGCAGACTTTCTGTTCGGCGCAACCGGCGTAGGAAGCGCCTCTGGAGCTGGGGCTGGAGTCTCGGCACTTTGCTCAGAAGTGAGATCGGAGGAGCTCGACAGTGAACTTTGTGCAACTTCCGGTTCGTCTACTTCAGGAGCCTGCTCATGGATTTCCGGGGCCAGGGTTCTTATCTCGGGCAAGTCAACAGGCTTCTCTTTGAGTTGGAGCAGCTCTTTCTCCAGTGCCATCAGAGCCCCCCGCGCAGCCTGCTCAGACTTTTCTAGCTCGGCTAGTCGACCTTCCACACCCTCTCTTCGGGTACTCTCCTTGTTACGAGACCGCCAGGACTCGAACAGGATCAGGCCTCCAGCGACCATGAAGAGGAAGGATTCGGAGATAAAGTTGGCACCGGACTCGATGGCCTTGGACTCGGACAAAGGTCGGATACGGTAATGATGGGGTTTAGACGCTTCTTCTGCGGCCGCCTTGACCTTTGCTTCGGCATCCTCCGCGGCTCTTGTTTCGGAGGCATTCTTGACGGTGGGCATTGAGGGTCTGTGCTTTCGGGCTTCTGCTTCGGCGGCCGCTCTTTTTTGGGAGGCCGCGTTATCGCGGATAGAGCCTAACCGAAGACGCATATCGAATCGATGGAGAGCTTGCGCCATCGAGACGCAGATTTTGCGAAACCGTTCATGTTCGCGTGCTTGGGCCTTGATTTGTGACTGTGGGGGTCAGCGCAAAGCTCGGCGAGTGCGACTTCAAGGTCATGGAGAGTGTGCTTACTGCAATAGGTTTGGACAAGGTCCGAATGGCCAAGGAGGAGAGCTTCAATGTTAACGACATGGCAAATTGAAGATGAAGCTCAAGATGCTCCGGAAGCTCTGAGTCGATCCAGGCACCACTTGATAAGTCCCTGATGACTCAGGCTGAATCTGACGGGCCAATCACATGATTTGGAATTCTGCACGTATGGCCCACAGCTATGTTGTACGACTATTCTCTTCCTGCACACTACTCGTCACCTTGCGGTGTGCAGGGAGTGTGATGAGTACTTTGTTTTACAAAAAACAGAACACAAGCTCATACTGCCATGGCAAATCTCAAAATTGACTTTACGCCGACTCCACAAGACTTGACGGTTTCACGGTCGTTTAGCGATCTACACTTTACCTGGGCCCAGCTTCCCGAGCCCACAACTCGGAGCCCTCCGAGTGCGTGCACGAGACACCCGTACTCCGTGTCTGTACGAATAACTAGTGCTTGGGATCATGCATTTGACCTGTTATGGCACAATCTGTGACCAATGACCACTTGCATGAACTCCAAGCAATCTCTCCCCCCAACCTCGGGAATTCCTAGCAACGCAGCGGAGTCGAAGGATTGCGTTGCAATGTGAATCAGCGCCTTACCCAGATAAGCTAAATTAGCCTTCCTCATCCACCACTCCGATGGTGTGATTGGCTATCATATCCACGGTTCTGATTAACTCCGAAATCTTTTTCTGCTTTCTTGTTTCCTGCAACATGGCAGGGGAATTCGAGAGGACCAAGACAGGGCAATACGTCCAAGATGTCGAGCAACCAGAGCAACCAGAGCGATCAGCAGCGTCGTCATCGGACGTTCCTGATCTGCGAGGTATCGTCACCCAGCATGAACATCGGAGCTTGATTCGGGGTCTGGGACAGCGCCATATTCAAATGATCGCCATCGCGGGCGCAGTGGTACGTGACGCCGAGCTGCAGGGGGGTGTCTCCAACTAATCGCCTCACAGGGAACAGGTCTCTTCCTCGGTTTGGGTGGCTCAATCGCTACTGGTGGTCCACTCGGCGCTTTACTCGGGTATGCGTTCGTCGGTCTGATCGTGTGCAGCATTCAATTTGCGCTGGGTGAGGTTGCGGCTTTGTTGCCCGTGACGGGTTCCTTTGTGCGACATGCGGAGATTTTGGTTGACCCGGCGCTGTCGTTTGCGATTGGGTGGAATGTCGTCTATGGGTGTTTCCTGAGCGTGCCCAGTGAGATCTCCGCCAGCGTGGTCTTGATTCAATACTGGACGGATATCAATGCGGCGGCGTGGGTGACCATCCTCATCGTGGTGTCTGCGGTGGTGGCATTCTCGTTTATTCGCGTCTACGGCGAGATCGAATTCGTCTTCGCCATCCTCAAGATCCTACTGGTTGTTTTCGTGGTTATTCTGGGTCTCGTCATCGACCTGGGCGGTGTCCCAGGGGTGCCCCGAAGAGGATTCCACTACTGGAAAGACCCCGGTCCATTTGTCGAGTACATCTCCACCGGATCCTGGGGTCGCTTCCTGGGATTCTGGGCAGTCATGACCAATGCAGTCTACTCTTTCGCTGGAGTCGAATCTCTCGCTATGGCAGCCGCCGAAACCCAGAACCCGCGCCACAACATTCCCAAGGCTTGCAAGCGAGTGTTTGCGCGTGTATCCATATTCTACCTGGCCGCAGTGCTGGTTGTGGGTATGGTGGTTTCCAGCGCCGACGAGCGCCTCGGCTCTGATTCCGGAACAGCAGCTACAAGCCCGTTTGTTATTGCTGCCGGTGATGCTGGCATCAAGGCAATTCCATCGGTCGTGAATGCAGTCTGCTTGACATCGGCATGGTCGGCATCGAATCAGAGTATGTTGGCAGGAACCAGAACTCTGTACGGTCTTGCGATCAAGGGCCATGCCCCCAAGATTTTCCTCCGCACAACTGCATGGGGTATTCCTTACTTCTGTGTATTGGCGCAAGTGCTGTTCTCTTTGCTAGCATACATGTGCGTCTCCAACGATGCCATGAATGTTTTCTGGTGGTTTGTCGATCTGACTGCTGCTGGAACTTTGGTCTCGTGGATTGCTATTGCATTGAACCACCTTCGTTTGTTGAAGGCCTTGGATAAACAAGGCATTCCAGCCTCTGAACTGCCATGGCATAATAGAATTACAAGTATGTCGATATTTCACCGGGTGGGAAATGCCAACGCTAACGATCATTAGGATTCACATCATGGTTTGCGTTGATCTCTTGCATTATCATTCTCTTGACTGGAGGATTTGCAGTATTCACAACCGGAAACTGGGACCCTGCCTCATTCGTGTCCTCATATCTGTGAGTCAAATTTTGCATCGAAAATGAGTTCAACCGACTAATGAAATAACAGGGACATCCCACTTGTGCTTGCCGCTTACGGAGGATACAAGTTGATCCGTCGAACCAAGATCATTCCTCTCGAATCTATCCCCATTCAAGAGGCACTTGACGAAGCTAACAACGACCCCGATAACGTGCCAATCAAGAAGGATAGCATCTGGGCAAAGATGAATATCTTTTGGGGTTAATACTGCTCCTGCGAAGAACTTGGATCATATTAATCTATTCAATATCTGCATTGTGATACCAATTCTAATATTTTTACCGCAAGAATCATTAGGTCCTCTTTAATCCACGGATAATAACCAACTACGGTGTTCCCCTGGGATGATACTCGATTTCCAAGGTGACAGCTATCAAATCCATGACAACAACATTGATTTTTCCATAGGGGCGCTGGCTCACGTCCAATATTTTCAACGATTAGGTGGCATCCTGGAATACCGTCCATCAAATTGGGTATTGTCAGCTAGCTCTATACGAGCCTCCTCCACACCACCTTTAGACATGCCAAACAAAACAACACCTGCATACAAGAACAGTGTTGTGACTCTAAACTCCATCAGATACTGAAGGAATGCACTGGCAAGGACTTTGATCGCCCCTGTCATGAACATGCTATCGCTAGACAAGAACATGGTTGCAAGGCTGTAAGCAACACGGACGGCCAGGAATGGGATTGACAGAGTCGCAAGACTCATCAGACGTCCTCGACGTTCCGATTGAGAAACCCGGCCAAAAATGATCACCACTATCATACCGAACTTCGGGGGTCCACACGCACTGAGATATTGAGACATGGAGGAACTTCAGCAACTCATATTGTGTTGTGTAGGAAGTTCGACCAACCCCAAATAGTAGATAGCTCTCTCTCTTCCTCTCTCTCTTCCCCTAGTTCGGTATGCTCGAATAATGCAGGATCGTCCCCTGCAGGTGAGTTTGCGGGGTCCAGATGTTCAACAGCGGTTGAAGAACGATGTCCTGAACTCTGAATATTTCTGTCCCCAAAATCTTCAAAATTTTGTCGCGCAATGCGTGCAAAGTGAGACAGATAGTTTCCCGGCATTGTGCCGTCGGACACACGCTCAAGCAGACTGAAATGACCAGACAAAATGTCCAGCAAAGTTAAATTCTCCCGCGTGCTAGGGTGGCCGGGGCTTTGAATACACTTACCAAAGGGTTTTCTGCTTCACTGAGCATTTGTACAGCGGTTGTTTTGGTTGAAATTGCTGTTCTCAATCTCGAGTTCGACCTCGTTGTGGCTCTCATCTTCAGTGGCCCCACCCGCTAGTTCCGCTAGCTCATACAAGTCAATCATGTCCTCAGCTTTATCGGCATCTTGGCGTTTGTATTGTTCGCGCGCTAGCTCATGAATTGATTCCACGGCTTTATCGGCATTTTGGCGTTCGTGTTGTTTGCGTAGTTGGTCTATTCGCTTTTTTCCTCGTTTGCAGCCTCTGTAGTAGGCGATCGCAACAGTCGTAACAACACCGAAGACGCTAACGCCCCCAAAGAAGATCTGAACCCAAAGCGGAGGCGTGGCCATACTTGTGGAATTTCAAGTGGGGCAGCCTCTGTAGTAGGCGATAGTGAGAGTCGTTATAACGCCGAAGCATCCGACGCAGCCAAAGAAGATCTGAAGCCAAAGAGGAAGTGAAGTAGGAAAAGCCATACTTGTGAAATATAAAGTGTAAAAGATGAGGAGGGAAGAGGGGGAAGGGCTACGGGAGAAGGTAATAGGCAAAATATTACTTCATTGGGTAAGAACTATCTGAGAAGAAATAGATAACAAGGTAGGAAGGTGCAATTGGCAACAGAAAAACTTCTCTTCACTAACTCTGACTTAAAGGTACAATCATGTTTCACCGAGATTGCTGATGGCCTGACAAGTACTTAAAGTTCCAACTTCGAATTACTCGAGAATACCTCGTCGGATCCAGCCAATGGAGAAAGAAGTAGATGGTGATCAATTTGGATAGCTATTCATCTCTTGCAAAGAGTCTCAATATCTCATATTGCTCATGGGTAGATGCAATGTCCAGCGGTGTTTGACCCATATTGTTCTCTTTCCACGGGTCCAAACCCATATCCACCAGCATGGAAAACAACTTCGAGCCATGATCTTCACTTTCGCATTCACCTTCCTCTCGTCGGGCGAGAGCATGGAGAAGACTCTCCCCATCATAATCAATTTTGTGGACATCATGCTTAGCAAGCATCTCCCGACAGTCATCGACGTTGACAGGAGAGATTTCTGGATTAATATGGTCCCCAGAATAAGACTTATCCGCGGCGATGAAATCAAAGATCGGGGTTCTCCCCTTCGTATCTCGAAGCTCAGGGTCACATCCGGCCTCAATAAAGTGGCGGTAGAGCCCAGATGCTAAACCGAAATGGTCTTCGTCTCGATTTTGCTCGATTTGCTGCTTCCGATCTTCGTTGCTGGAGTTCATGATGGGCCCAACTACACAGTGAAGTGCGCCTCGACCATCTGGTAGAATGTCGTGGGGATCTGCACCAGCATCTAGGAGGGCTTCAATCGTTGCATGAAGCTCAAGCACGTCCCAATACCTCGAAAAGCTGTGTAGTGCACTGCACAGGGGCGTGAAGTCTGCAGAGTTCCGCAATGATATATCCACAGAGCGTCCAAGAAGCTCTTCTACGGCTTTCACATTCCCACATCGGGCGGCGTGATGTAAAGCCGTTGATCCTGCATCATCAACGGAGTCCACCAAAGCGTTTGCCTGGATCAACTCCGCGGCGTTAGGCAATCGATTGCGTACGTTCGCACAAGCCCTCATGAGAGGTGTTCTTTGCTGAGCGTCAAGCGGATTGAGATCGATTCCTGCTGCCAATATGGGCTTTAATATGCCACCCGAAGCACAAATCTCATGAAGAACAGTAGATGTGCCATCTTTCATAGGTGCGTATAGATCAGCACCGTATTTGATGAGCAATGCAACTGCTTTCTCGGATTTATACTGAGATGCAGAGCATTGAAGAGGGCGCGTCGAATCTGTTCCATTTGGGTCAGCACCGGAGTCTAAGAGGAACTCGACAGCCGCAAAATCAATATCTTTGTGACGGAGTGCCTGTATGAGAGGCCGAATTGAACCGGAAATACGAGCGCCATGATCAACAAGCAATTTCAGGATCTTCACATCTCGTTTGCAGTCCAGAGCAGCTCCCAATTCATTGGGATCCGCACCATTTTCCAGAAGAATCCGAAGTGACTGATCGCGCCAAAGAATGAAGTTCTCGGATTCTCCATTTACCCCCACCCACAAGCAATCGCGCAAAGGGGTATAGTGACCATCGGAATTGGGAGATCCACCTGCATCCATAAGAATGGAAAGCGCTCTAGGATACCACCAGCTCTCGGACTTGACTGAATGTTCGACAGATTTGGCAAAAATCCGTCGATCTTCACGGTCGGTAATATTCTCGACAATGACTCTCAACATCTGGAGATTGCATGATCTCTGGCGAATTGCAGTTTCCAGAAGCTCGGAGATCATGAAAGCAAAGTCCTCCACATATGGAATTAGGCGCTTCATCATAGATGCCAGACCCCAGTGGGAGATATAAGTCATAATCGACTTTCCGTCGGGCCCTGAAAGTCGCAGATGATTCATGCATAATATTTCTTCGAATAGGCGTCCATTTCCCGTTGACACGACTTTCTTGAAGAACGCGGTTCGATCCTCTGATGCTTTAATTGCATCAAATTTGTTACATGCGGAGCTCAATTGGTGCTTCAACAAGTCTGTTTGGAGGGTTGAACCCCCACTGGCAATATTCATCAGTTCGTCTGAAACAGCAGTGCAGCCCAAGCTTGCAGCCACCTCAGATGCCGTCTGGTCCTTCTTATCCGTTGAATGTGGCTCTGCTCCAGCAGCGATCAGTAACGCGATAACTTGTCGGATGTCCCTGAACAGCTGCCCAGGAATTTCCTTTTGACATTCGGCATCCCAATCATCAAGCTCGAGCGTGGATGTCGTTTCCGCAGAGACAGAAACCACGTTATCGGATTTCGGTTGCTTCATCTCACCACTGGAAACAAATTTGAACTCTGCAGCCGCATGCAAGGGTGTCTTTCCCTCTTTGTCTCGGGTTCGGGGATTGGCACCAGCATCAAGCAACATCTGAACGGATTCTTGACACCCAGCTCGACAAGCAATGTGCAATGCCGATCGATTAATGTCACAAAGTCCATCCACTGATTTTTCTTCATTGGAATAGCTCTCAAGAAGCAAGCCCACGACATTGCTCTGGCCCGCCTCGGCAGCAAAATGCAGAGGAGTTCGGTTCTGGTGATCTTCAGCCCAGACATCAGCACCATGCTGAATCAAGATAGAAGTGAGAATATCTGATGTTGCTGATGCAAAATGTAACGCTGTGCGTCCATTGATATCGCGAGCATCGACTTCAAGGCTCGCAGGCGGTCCTAGGAGGAATCTGAGGGCATTGCCTGAACAATTCTCATTCCGTTGGGCTGTCTTTGTGTCTCTGGCGGCAAGGTGTAATACAGTCTGACCTTGGTGATTTACTGCGTGAAGTGGTACGCCGATTTCAATCATGAGTTTGACGCTAGGTTCCACCTCTTTCCAGGTTTTATAGCAACTGTCCACACCAAGAAGCTCGTGAAGGATGGTGTTTCCTTGGTGATCCTTCGCATCAACCTTTGCCCCTAATTCAATCATCTTTGAGATGGATCTCCGACCGGATTTGCGATCAAACGAAAAGAATCTCTTGTAAACCCTGAAAGCATAATGCAGCGCTACAGCGTGTCAGTGAAAGCATCAAACATGGTTATATGAATATGTGGTTCTCTTACCTGATCTGCCCTCATTGTCTACCGCCTTGACATCGCCTCCTAGGGTCAATATCTCGTCAACTAGTTGGAATGTCTCCAATTTCGGGTGATTCAATGCGACGAGAAGTGCCGTTCGTCCAAAAGTGTCCCGGGCTTCCATCGACGCTCCGTTCTTGACAAACTCTCGGACAACTTCAGTGTTGTGCGACATTCCTACACTCCACTCATGTTTTCTGAACAGGATTTCAAGAAGAGGTGTTCGACCAGTATGATTCCGCGCATTTATGTCTGCCACATCAAACCAAGTTTTTATCCATGGCACTGTGTCATTTTTATTGACGGGAGGGACCCGTGGACGAAAACAGTGATGGAAAGCTGTGTTCCCGGCGCAATCTTTTTGGGAGAACTTTCCATTCTTATCTCGCCATAGAACCAACTCCTCGCGAGTTAACTGCGGTGACATGGCCATCAGAGGTGTCAGGCCATCGGAGGTTCTCGAGGTGTTAATATCAGCACCACCACTCACAAGAAGCTCGGCAATTTTCGAGGTCAGTTGTTGGAGGCCCACGTGGAGTGGTGACAGGCCCTTGAAGTCGAGCAACGAAGCATCGGCACCACGGTCGATAAGAGCGGAGACAAAATCCATGGATTCTGTGCTTTGGGAGAAAGCGGGAAACTCAGACCACCAGAAAAGAGGCGTGCGCCCCAGATAATCTCTGGTATCGATATCACAGCCTGCACGGAGGAGCAATTCCAATGACTCTACCCAGTTCGATCGCTCGGATGGTGACCACCAATGAGACGCAAAACCAAGAGCTAGCCCATGCAGAGGGGAGTAACTTGGCTGTGGTCCAGAGGGATATTTTGCCTGGTCGTGCGGTGGTTCAGGGGGATAACTCGAATTCATTGACATGGCGTTGATATCAGCCCCGTGGTCTAACAAGACTTTGATCGTTGCAAAATCACGTTGCTTAGCAGCCAGGTATAGAGGTGTGTTTCCTTCCGAATCATGGTCGTTGATTGCGAGTCGAACTTTTTCATTTTCCAAAAGAGCAGTCACTGTTTTCGACTTTCCTCGTTTTGAAGCAATGTGAAGGAAGCCATTGCATAGGTAAGATGGATCAAGGTGTTTCATTAGTTCCTGAACACATTCAGTGTTCCCCTCGTAACATGCTCGTTCAAGAGGATTGATCATTTTAGGCAAAGTCCGGTATTTGGCTACCTCATTCAGAGTGTCACACCAGAAGCTTTCCTTCTGTTCAAAGACATCACTTAGTGTTGTCTTGAGCTCTGCCCCTCCTAGTATCAATGCACGCAAAGACTCGGCATGATTCAAATCTGCAGCATACAGCACTAGGTCTTTCTCGCAACTTTTGCTGGGGTTAGCTCCATGATGTAGAAGCAGAGTTATGATAGCATGACGATTCTTGCTAACGGCAAACATCAATGGTGTTTCATCCTTAGCATCTCTGGTGTCCAAGTCAACTCCGTTGCCAATGAGGTAACTCGCAAAAGCAGGAATTCCACAATACGCAGCAACATGGAGGGATGAGCCTTCGCCGGGTGCATCGCGGTCAGCTGCGGACCATAGTGATTTCCAAGCCATGTAGCTTTGGTTAGAATCCTGGCAGAAATTGTCGAGAAGGTGCATCAGCTCATCAGATTCAGCTGCTTTAGATGCGTGGAATGGCCACTCCGAGATCGCATACCGAAGGAAGTAGAATCGTAGCATCAGTTCCTTTTTGTCTCCATGCCACTGGTCGTAGTCTCTTGTATTGGAGCAAATTGGACGATGTTGGTCTAGACACCCATTGGAAAGATAGTTGATGCATGTGCGGGTGATCATTGCATGGACGGTGGGTGAGTGAAATCCCGAAAAGTCGCGTGCGTGGTTGGAAATTTGAGTATGGGCAACATCTCGGTTAAGTGCGAATTCAGTTAGGGAATGGTGAATTATTTGAAGCACCCCATCTTCACAAAGCTCCAAGAGGGGGCCACATGTCGTTCGGATAGCAAGCTTTGTATCTTGGTCTTGGCTCAGTCCACCACGATCGGGAAGAGAATCTACCATTACAGCCAGCTCAAGGAGGCGTAGTGGTCGTGCAGAGTGGGTGATCCACTGGAGAATGAGCAGTTGAAAAGATGTAGGGGTACCCGAACGAGTGGCATGGTCGCGGAGAATTTCCGTATACACATCTCCAAGACCATTGGGGAGATTTTCAATGTTGGAGACTATTGACTCCGGGTCCAACAACAGCTGGTCCAACATGAGTCTGGAGTAAAGGAAAAGACCTTGTCCTCTTTCGCAGATTGCCTTCTTCGCGAAATCGATCTTGTCCTGAGAGATGTTGAGATTGGCCTCTTCCAATCGTTGCGCGATATAGAGGGTAATATCTCGATCGACGTTCCGGCGATCAAGGCGTAGATCGACCACAGATGTCCCATTCAGATGTTTTTCAACATGTAGAACCTGGCGACTAGTCATGATCAACTTGATTGAACCGCCGGATTGCCGACCGAGATCAAGAAGATCTTTGAAGAACTGATCATTCCCTTGTTCCATTTCATCCAATGCATCGACCACACAGTGGACCTTTCCGACAGCACTCATAGCGCTTGACATGCATTTCCAAAGTTTCTCGTATGGAACAGATTCAACCGACGAGTGTTGCTCTTTCAGCTGATTCAGCTGGGATTGGAGCGAAGGAGAATACTCAAGCATCTCATGACAAAAATCCTGGACGAGCGACCGTGGTGTTCGATTTGTCTGGATGATTTCGCGGAAAAAGAAGAACAGAACAGGTCCGTCTTTCGCTCGTCGAAACCGACGGATAAGGTTCGCTGCGACAACCGACTTTCCACAGCCAGGAATCCCCCGAATCCAGAGGTTTCCGACGCTGGACTGACTCCATTGTCGATACTGCTCTGTTTCAAAAATCCACTCCCCAGTACCTTCAGCATGGGAGTTGAGATGCTTCCGGTATTCGCTGGCAGGAGAGTCTGACTCGGTGGGGCTCAGCCAGTCTTTAATTCGCTGAGTAGACTCTGGCGGCATAGCGACGATGTGGTGTTTGTCTTTCGATGTCGTTTCAGAGGCCTAAGTATTCTCTTTGAGTCTGACTTTTCTCGCTCATGCTTCTTGCCTGTAGTTTTTGCTATCGTAAGTAGACGAAAAATTCGCGAAAACGGAGATGGGAAATTCTTGGACGCTAGTTATATGTCTCGAGAGGGGTCCACAGGGGGCCACACCGATTCTAGCATAGCTCAAGGGTGCAGTCTCAGATGCTGTGTTCGGTGGCAGTGGATCCTCGGGTAGATTACCCGTATCTATAGATGGTGGTGGGGAGAGCATTAACTGCCCAAGTGTCTGATATATATTCTGGCGGTCGACCGTCTAGAAGGTTGGGTAGGCAGGTGAGAATGGCGATGATTTCGCCAGAGGGAAAATTGGAAAACCTGTAGGCATTGATGGCTACTCGGTTTGACAAACAACCCTATCTGTTGGCACCTGCGATCTGCACAAGTTTGGTTTCTGAGTTTTGCATGACGAGACGCTGGTTGGTTGATGTCGGGGATGCTTCGGCACCCCGAGATCGTGAAAACATCTATCACCAGTAGGTATGCCGTAGGTTGTCGGAGGAAATATGCTCAGAGTGAAGACTTTCTAAAGTTATTTCAAGAGCATCATTTAAGAGGAACTCGCGACTCCAAGATATCATTGAGAGAGAGAGAGAATAGAGAATGGTCTTTACGAGGTCGCAGACAGAGCACTGATAGTTTGAATTGTATTAGGACATTAAGCACTTTAAGGCGGTCAGTTTCAACAAATTGGCAAGATGGCCGAGTTGGTCTAAGGCGTCAGGTTAAGGTCCACCTTAACTTAATAACTGTTCTCAGTTTCCTGATCTACGTTTGTAGGCGTGGGTTCAAATCCCACTCTTGTCATTTCTTTTTTTCTTTTTTTCTTTTTTGTTTTCACTCTTTTGCTCTCAAATGCACTTGTCATTCCACTGTTCACATCCCTTTAACCAGCGTTGTTGGTCCAACTTCTTCAAGTGACATCAACATGAGCCGCTCTCACATAAACAATATTTAACCCACATCTCCCCCCAATTGACTCCGATATTCCCTTCCCCTCCCCCCCACTTTGAGCTAATGCAATATGTCCTGGTGTTTTCTTTTAGTATTCATTTTTCTTTTGTTTATCTACAACTCGTTCCGGCCGCGTGACGCTTGGTCTCCGTTTCCCAAAACAACACCCAGAATCCATAATTTTGAGAAACGCCCCCGCGAGATAAAATTGGAACAAAGTGGAGACATCAACACCCTCCAGAGATATCGATATAAGACGCACCGGGATAAACCCATGGACGACCAGGATTACTATTCATCCCAAATCATAGCGCTTTTATCCACTGAACAAGACCTTCGACATTTTGCCCAAGAGGAGGTGTTTGTGCGCGATTTACCGGGTGAACCCGAAGAATCAAAGACCAGACTTCGAAAGATTAACAGGACACTTTGGGGCCTCAAGCGCAAATGGTGGAAACACCGGACTGAGTTCGGACAAGGGGTTTTGTCAAGAGCGTTCGACCTATGGCGATCAAATCCCCTGTGGTATATGCATGAAGTTTTAGTCGAGGATTGCGCCCAGAAGCAAGGCTGCTGCGCGCGGGGATGTGGATGTTGCGAAAAGCGCCAGAAGACCTCAACTCGCCATGCCGCCGGTCATTGTGCTCTTACATGTGGATGTTGCAGAAAACATCGAGGCTTTGAGCTCACCCCAGAAGAAGAGGAGGATATCCACAACGAATTTGACCTTGATGACGACGGTGATTTCTACGAACGGATCGAGTTGGCTTCTATCTGGGGATTGCGTTTGAACTTCAACAACGCTCCTAATGATCTGATCAAATTACAGTGTGGGCTAGATTATGCTGGGAATTCAGATGATGATTTGCTTGGTTTTGAACGTTCTGACGACGAGGATGACTTTTCTTTAACAACGGTGTCATCCTGAACCTTTCGCACGAGTGAGTGGGTTGCTTACGGAGAAGAAATTCTTGGATGAGGCCTCAAAAACAACACCGGAGCTTAGAAGGTGTTGAGTGGGAAGTTCGTCCCAACCCTCGTTTGCTGTTTGTGTAGATAGACCCTAGCTCCCGAGGCTTCTTCTTCTTCCCTTCTCTCTCTCCTGCAGTCAATCGATCAGTTCCAGTCCGCTTCTTCTCTCTCGCCCTGTAGGCACAACAGAAGGAAAAACCTTAAAAGAGAGCCTAGGATACACTAGTATCTGTGAAGAGATGAAGAGAAGTAGAAAGTCTGAAGAATACGTATTCTAAGGCCATTAGGATAGGCTTTTGCCTGGCTGGATAGTAATTTCCTCTGCGTAGACTGGTCGTGTAGCTTGTCGGTCTGGCTTTGCCCGTATCGCGATGGGGAACGTTCTGCCCTGGCAGGCTGCGATTCGTCCCAGTTGAGGCTGAAAGTCAGGAGAAAAACCGTGGTGTGCCAGTACGTCGATTCCGGTGAGTAACTTTGCACTCAGATCGGAGACCAGGTGCGCAATGAGTTTTATTTTGGCTTTGCCTTGGTCGCCGGCGAAGATAAAGTCCAAGGTCACATATCCTCTGGTTATGTGGTTTGATCCAATCCCTCGCACGGCGATTGGTTTGTTAGGTGTGACGATCGGTTGTAGTTTGATGCCCAGCTGCTCATCAATCAATGTCATTACACGGCTGTCTGTAGCATGTAGTACCACTCAAATCTTCTCCAGAGCTGCCCCGAGTTCAAGAACGCTGCCAGTCCTAACGGCAGAACTTCATATTGATCAACTTTGGTAAATGAGCTATGTCTGCATGGATTTGATTGAAAGCCAGACGTATCTTGGTGCATCAAGTATCCGAGCTGATCTCGAGAAAACTACTAATAGTCACCAGTTGGCATTCCCCCAGCGGCTGGGACATGCTGGCCGTGGAAACCCAGCGCAGCAGCGCTGTCAATGTTGCCCCGACCAAGCTCTGACAAGTTCCGAGCGTCAAGACAGAGCAAATAGCTTTTACCACACATTCCATCAAGCACGACACACAACGCTGAGCAGTACACATCCTGAGTCCAAGCAGACCGATATAAGTCGATCCGACAGGCCAAGTGCGACCAGAGAACAAGTCTCCGTGGCGCAATTGGTTAGCGCGTCTGACTGTTAATCAGGAGGTTGGAAGTTCGAGCCTTCCCGGGGACGTTTCTTTTTTGGTGGTGATGGCGCAGGGTAGACTGCGCCATAGGTGATTACTGAAGTAGTTCATGTGGGCCCATGTCTCACTTTCAGTTAATCGTAGGTGAATCCTACTACCATCGACCTTTCTACCCGGACAACCACTGGACTTAGCCCCTCCCCGACTTCCCGTTTCATTACGGGCGCGTGTGAACCCCATCACGCAACTACAGCCTGGCCGACGACTACCCGGACCCATAGGTCCCGACCAACTAGCATAACCACCTCACATGTCGGAGGAAGGTGCTGACAGGCTTTCCCGCCTTTTCTTCTTGGCCTTCTGGGCAATCCCTGTATATAATACATCTACCCTAGCTCCGCCCGTCTATATACCCTTCGGGAGGTCCGGGAGTAAGTTTCTAGCCTGGAAATTGGTCACAAGCTCCCACCGGACGTTGATAAATATAACAACAACAACAAGCGCGACCAGGGCCGTTGCGTAGCGCCAACCTCGGAAGGCGTACTGTGCTTGTGTTGTAGTGCGCGAGAGGATTCAATTACGTCGTCCTCAACCGTGCTCACTAGGTTCGCAACAGTCTCCGTGAGTTTTGCTGAATCGATCGTATTTCACTGACAGGCAAGAGATACATGCCCCCACCCCCCTCCCTTGCTCCTTAGTCTGTCTCTTTCTTTCTCGCCGTATTTTGATCAAATCGTCCATCGATTGTACATAAGTGGTGCCGGGGATATGTTAGAACTAGAATGCATAACAAAGGTCGCAAAAGGACATAGAGTCCGAGCCGTGGGGATAAAAGGAAATACCCGTGACAGTTCCAATGGCAGTCAAAAGAGGCTTCGAAAAGGGCGTTGGAAGAGGGAAGAAAAGGCTTGGAAACTGTATGTGGTTAGTACATGTACTAATACTGTGTGACCTAGATCTCATCATTTATTTGTTTTAAAACGGGCGTTGATCACTTACCAGGACAAATACACTTGAGTTAATTGCGATAATACACAGGCCATATGGCTGTAATCCCTGGACTTGACCGATGAAGGAACTGTAATGATCGAGTCTTCACATTTTGTAATATTACTTGGCAAGGGAAAGCACCAGCGTGGCCTTTGGCATGAACCTCTGATTCCTGAAGGACATGGGAAGTCATATTGATAGTATTGTCATCCAGCTCCATGGGTGTGATATCGCCATCTTGTTGCTGTCTGGGCGGCGGCGGAGCCAGCCAGCCCCAAATTCGGGCCCAATTGATCATGCTAGACTCATCTTAGCACAAATGATATTGCCACGAACGCAACCAGCAACATGGTCACTGTTTGAGTCGATCGAAGAAACTTACGCATCAATAATGCCCCGGAATATCGCGACTGTGAGCTCATCGGTTCTTGAGATCGATCGGCCGATGATGTTGTGTAGCGCTAAAAATCTGATGACCTCCCACCCAATTTGTCTCATGATTGAGACGCCGTGGGTTTCGCCAAGTTTGATCAACTCGACGACAAAGTCGCCTTCGCCCTCCGCTTCCCTACGGGCTACTTTGATGCCCTCACTTAGGGCTTGAAATGTGCGGTTCCAAGTTAGTACATGCTCAAAATAGTCAAAGGGACGGAGGTTAATTACGGAGGCGCCCAAATCTCACCGGTCGGTCGGTCACCAGAGAGTGGCACATGCAATGGTTAGAGCCAGGGTGGCGGAGATTGACGCTTTCATCGTGTTAGGCATTTCGATTTCGATTTTGATTTCGATGTCAGATGTGATTTTGATTTTGATTGTGATAAACTGAGTTTCTACTGAGAAGGAGATCTTGTTGACTCTACGACGTTCTGGGCAGGTACGTTCCACCCAGTTTTCTACCCAAAAAAGAACGAGTGAAAAAATAGTGAAGAAAGAGCGAAGAAAAGATAGAAAGAGAGAAAGATGATCTGGCCACCTAGTATCTACACTAGAGCTGGGCCGAGCCCTCACACTCGACAGTTAACTCACGATCAGAGAGCGAAGAAGACCAACAAGAGAAAAAGAGCAATATCCACAAGGCTGGATGAGTCCCATCTACCTGTATACGGCGAAGTCTGATCCTCGAGGCCAATAATTTCGAGATAAGTTGACTGGTACTTAGGTCTACAAAATCTCAATCGGCCCCAGAGCCTTGAGAAATTTTCCCGCGGCGTTCAGCCTCCCCCTTCTCCCATTCCTTCAGACATGGTGCAACAAATATCTTGCGTCTCCAGGTTTGGGTGAGTGTGCCGATGCTAACAACAATCCAGAGCAGTACGACGACCACAGAGAAGATCTAGATATGTCAGCCTCGTTGAAGAAAATGGATTACCAGAGATATACCCGGGTGGGCAACTCACCGTTCCTAACACCTTGAAAAACAACGAAGGGAGCTCCTTGGCAATGGTGGTGGTTGCAACCGTGAAAACACCGAGTGGGAAAGTGAAGCCCCACCATCCCATGTTGAAGGGGAATTTTGAGCGAGTGATAGAAGCCAGTGCGAAGAAAAGCCACACAAGCCCGAATCCCCACATGATAAGTCCAATCACAAAGCCAAAAACATAAAGTATTGGACCTGCTGAAACCTCTCCAGGTAAACTGTTGGTGTTTGGAAAGACCCTCATTGCTTCCTTTCCGAGTTGCATGATACCGAATGAGCCTTGTCCCAGTGGGCCCAGTGGAAGAAAAACAGAGACGATAACTTCCTTGGGTGGGATCTTGTGGATCGTCAAGCGATGGAAGTACATCACCAGGACCATCATTGCCAAAGGTACTCCAGTTCCCCAGAGGATGTAGCTTATGATGATGGTCCAGAGCGCATGTTGCTGATTTTCCAATACCGATGCCACGATGCTACCGGAAGCGGCGGCAACAATAGTCGAAACGATGGGGAGTAGCCAGGCGGCGGTCATGCCGGAGAGTTGATTTGAATGTCGAGACATTCTGCAATTCAAAGTTAGTACGGTTTTCACTCGGACGAGACCAACAGTTCATACATGACAAACGGCAAATACATGTTGTTTGCGAGGGAAATGACGGCGTCAATCCACCAGAGTGCCCATGCCAAAGTGGCAGCCCACGGGCCCCACGCGGGTACGCACACGAAACAAATCATGTTGATGATTGTTGCAAGTCCCATGGGAAATGTGCCTGTTGATATTTTGTCAGCAATTCAGGCCTCCGAATTTTCAAAGATTAGATGCCACAGACCAAGGAACAGCGATTGAGTAGGATGATTCAGCATTGTTGTCCAAATACCCCGAAATAGGGTATACCGGGCCAGCGATATGACGCTGAACAAGATAAAGAGGAAGACATTGAAAGCAAAGACAACCACCGAGATCCAGTACAACCAGGAGCCGTTGTAAGGAAGGTTTTGAAGAAGAATTGAAACGATTCCCGTTCCCATAGTTGCGCTGAACTAAACACGAAGTAAGAAAACGAGCTTATGTCGCGCTGTTGCGGACTTACCCATCTGCCCAAGTAAAGTTAGCGCTGCGGGTTCATGAAAGGGGGTAGGTACTGTACATACGAAGGAGTGAAGTTGATGATGATTCGTCTCAATCCTTTCTCATTTTCCGCGTGAATCATGACCTCGAGGTCACGATTAGCCTCTTCTCTGCCAGCATGATCAGAATATTGGTGGGGCATTTTCTGGGTGTTGGCGCAACCCGCAGATTGCGACGTGGCGATAGATTTGGGGAAACATGTATGAATTGAGTGTTCGACGAGCTTTTATGTGAGGCTTCTCGGCCGTAAAAAATGTCAGTTGCAGTGGCCACCGGGCACCCCAGCGGAATGATGAGTCAAGCCTCGGGCTCCAGTCGCCGAATAGAATTCCAGAGTCACGGATGACGGCAACTTTAGAAGGTGCAATGAAGTGCAAGCTTGATTTTTTTGCCTCTGACTTTGCAATATTTCATTTTAATAACAAATTCAGGAGATGCAAAATATATTCTGAAATTGGCATGCTTACTTCCCCCAACTAGATCCACGGGAAGTACGCCCGGGCGCTCATGGTTCTTAGTCAACATTCTTTCAGAGGCTGCAGGGTCCGCAATCAATCGCCGGGGAAGATCCCCGGGCCCAGAACAACCCGCAAGTCCTTATGAGATTCTCTACTTCATGACTTCGAAATTTGAAGCGCAAAATGGCAAGAATCAATGACAGAGAAAATCAAGAGAGAAATCAACATTTGCCCATCATTCTAAAGTTTTCAGAAACTTCATCTGGTAGGTGCTACAAGAATTAACGCCATATTAGCGTGCAAAATCCTCCCTCGGCGACAATTCTCGGCGACCGATGTGCGCTGCTTATCCCCACATCAGCTAACATGCATATCGACGAGAATTGTCACCTGAGGGAAAACTCCTTACTGGCCCCGGAGCCACGTCATAGGGTCATAGAAACGAACTGATTTTGTGTTATAGTCTTCTCGACCGGTACAGCTGCTTCTGCATCACCCTGATAACCCGGATAAGGTTGAGACTTCAGTCCTGGGGCTCTATGCACGTGGTGCATCAGCATCCTTGAAGACCATCGGTCTTTAATGTTGGCATATTTCCCAATGCTCAATATCTTGGTGGTGTTTCCCTCAAACGATCTCTGAACTGTCTCTCCTCTCAGCTGGCCAGAGCTAAAGTCGCAGGTGAAGACAATCATAAGGCAAAATTTCAATTGTATGAGTTGATGACTGAAGTTTCATCGAAAATGGGCCCGGAACCTGGGGAAGTTTGCATTGGGTGCAAACGGCGCTTAATTCTTTCCCCTTAATGCCTCAAGGCTCAGGCATCACAACCACCTCTGTAGTTCCGGATCTCAGGAATGTATGTGTTATTTAAGAAACGCTATGCTGGTATTTTGTCGATGAAGAAATGGTATAATTTGACAGCATTTAACCCATCCAATTGACAGTGACACTTGATGGGCGAGATTGACCCTGATACACTGTGACGAGAAAAGAAGGATGTTTGATTATAAGGCTTTCCCCCGTCTGCTAAGGCCCAGACTGATCATATTTGATGCTTCGCAAAGAAAGTCCCATTTCAATTCAATACTTTTCAATTCGTCCATTTTCAATGGCTCCGACTTTAGAACATTCGTGCGGAGCTGTAACCAGTGAACATGCAGAATGGACTCTGGTTGGCTTGGCGATCAGTCCAACCCCTCTTTTCCCCAATCTCAAGAAGCTTCTCTATCTCCGGTATGTGACCTCGGGACCGGAATAAAATTGCCTATCTGGGTCATAGTCAAAGTACGCCACCCCCAAACCCCAGCTCAAATTCTTCATTGAGATCGAGCGCTGGGGAAATCCAGAAATGATAGGGATGGACCCATCAATTAAATCCAACACATAGAGCTGGATATATGTGCGCTTGCCTCTCTCTATGTGATTGTATACACCTGTAGCCGATGCAGATGAAACAACCGCAAACGTGGGCCACCAAGGAAAGGTTGGATCCATTGTCCTAGGCTTCGGGTGGTAAACAAGCCTTGGAAGTAATACTGATAAGACGAGTGTATCAAGACAAAAAGCACTATCTTTGACTGACGTGGATTGACTTGGTAGACGACCCGTCATCGAGGTTGACGACTTGGCGCGGACTGGAAACCATCCTGGTATAAAGACGACTCGTGACCATTCCATCCCCTCAGTTGTACAGACATAATATTTTGGTTTCATTTGACTTCCATTTTTTCAATTCATACATATCGCTCTAAGTCAACTTTCGTCGATCCTGATCATGGCCACCGCAGTGGCCAATGAGGACAGCAAAACCCCTTCATCCCCCGAACTCGCCATCACCGACAGCTATACAGATGATAGAGGCCACACCGATGGACTTGACGATGCCTATCTACAAGCCTCGACCTTTTCGAGATTTTACAGGGGGGTCCTGTTTCAAATGATCCTCTTCGGAGCGTAAGTCCAGATCATTTTATCTACGGATTCACATCGCTGACTGACCTCCAACATAGTCTCTCCTTCGTTGGCCCAGCGATCTCTGACGCAATATCAAACCTCGGAGGTGGTGGCCTCTCAACCCCGTATTTGGGAAACCTGGCGAACTCGCTCGACTATGCAGCTTCGTGTTTGGTAGCTTTCATGGGAGGCCCCTTGGTAAACAAGTTTGGTATCAAGTGGTCTTGCATGATTGCGGCGGTTTCGATGCCTCTTGCAGGGTCTTCGTACTACGTCAGCGCAAAGTACGGCATAGATTGGTACTTGCTTTTCTCAAAGGTGAGAATAACACAGCTTGCTTTTTGGAAATCTTGCAGACCTAACAAATTCATAGCTGGTCTCGGGGTTTGCTTTGGCCTTTCTTTACGTCGCGGAGACGACGGCGATGCTATCATACCCCAAACAAGACGATAGGGGCTTCTATTTGGGTAAGGAAACCACTTAATATATCATTCGGATGAACCATCGATACTGATGATCTTGGCGTAGGTATTTGGTCTGCCATGCGAAGCTCAGGTAGCGTCATGGGTGGTGCAATCAACTTTTCTACGAATTACTCCAAGTCATCCGTCGGAGGCATTGCGTGGTATACCTATCTTATCTTCGTGGGCTTCGGTGAGTTTTTATTTTCTCAAAAGACGTCAATCATCACGATGTAATTGCTAAACAAGGGAATATGCAGAATGTACTGGAGTGATCTGGGCTTTCTTACTATCACCAACCCAGCGTGTTCGACGTCGCGATGGTTCCAAAATCATCATGCCCAGTAGAATCAGCTGGAAACAGGAATTCGCTGCCCTGCTTAAGCATCTTCAGCGCAAGAAGGTTCGAATATTTGAATGGCCGATCCCCGCATCAAATGACTGACATGAATTCTTAGACATGGCTTCTCTTCTTGCCGGCATTCTACTCATTCTTCTACGGCGGCACAATGGGAACATATCTCTCGCTACACTTCTCAGTGCGAGCCCGCGCGTTGTCATCCTTGATTATCCGTGAGTAGCTTCCCCCCCAGGATCCGGAAAAACTTCTGACTCTCATGGTAGCATCGGTCACCATCCCAATCGTCATCGCATATGGAAGGTTGTTGGACTTGACGCGCTGGTCTCAACCCAAACGCGCATGGATTGCTTTCGCCTTGTGGGTCATCCCTCAAACAGCCTGCTTTATTTGGATCGGCATACAATACAGCAAATTCGGATCTGCGACACTGGGACTGGACTATGAACAGTAAGTTCTAATTAGTATGCTTACTACTGTTCAAAAACTCACATACTTGGTTTCACAGGGATGGCAGAAGATGGGCTGTGGCCTACGTCCCGTATCTCATCATCTTCACAACTGGCTATTGGACTCAACTTTCCCTGTACTGGATTCTCGGTACCTTCTCCACCGACATTGGATCATCTTCTCGAACGGGTGGTCTGTTTCGGGCATTCGAAACTGCCGGTCAGGCAGTTTCCTACGCCATCAACTCGACCTCTGGAGCAAGTCCGATCGTTCCCTTCTATGTCAACTTCGCCATCTTGATAATTACAGTACCATGCATGATGTCGCTTATTAGAATGGTACCGGAAGCCCCTTGTGATACAGATATCGACGCGGGAAATGCTGTGGTCATCGAGGGGATACCAGCGAAGGACCAGGCAATGGCCACTTGACGAGTTATAGTGTCCGGCTAATCTTGCTCAAATGGGCACGTTGGTAGCAAATATATCTTTTAAATTTAGTTAATTTATTCAACTTGCTCAAGGTAATCCATGAATGTCTGTAAGGGTCAAAAGCCGGCGAGTTAAATTCCGCTAGGTCATGCCAATACAAACAGATAGTAATTGCTGAGACCATTCAGTTTCCGTGAGTTGCCATTCAGCTTGCCAAGCCATCGTTTCTTTGGACTTATCAAAATGCGTGTACCAATCGCACGGGACGCAAAGTTGTAGCTTGGTCCAAGATCGGCTTTTCGATAGTTGATCCATTGGGTCAAGAATGGCCTTCGTCCGCTCCTCATTGAAGAACTCGACAAATTGATCAAATGGCGGCATGCGGAGCTCCAATCGCAAGAAATGTACACCGCGAAATGCGTCAAGAAGTAAATCGAAAAGGGCACAGTATGTCGTCATATAATTATCTTCGGTGCTTTGCGGACACGGGAAGGAGGTCGGAATAGAGATATCCATCGAGGTCATCTGCGTTGTACATCGAGGTGAGATTTTTTTCGAAATAAGAAAAGGAGCATTCAGTGCTTTCTTCATTGCAAAGACGTTTGTCCCGTAAAGAACCTGCAATGCTTCCTCATAGCTAGATGGTGATGATGTTAGATAATTTTTTGATCACAACAAGGCCACTCACCCAATTTGACAACTCCTCAACCATTCCACGCCCTTGATCTTCAGCTCTTTCGTCTCCTCGGCCGCCTCATCTCTCCAGTCTCCACAAGAATCGAAATTGAGGTCCTTTGGAAACCTATTGGATTTACCACAAACGCAATGCCACCAGTCCCATCGAGGCCCCTTGCGTTTTGGCTTCGGCACGAACGACGAAGGTTCCTTCCAGACATGTCGAATATGTACTCGTCGGTCGCCCATGAGCTCGAGGTATATCATCCTTCTTATCTCATTCGGTAGCCGAAAGAAACCACTCTGGTTTTGCGGACTGCGTCGCCGAGCGCCAATCTTGCCTATATGGTATTGGGGTAGAGGTACAGGGAGTTTCCACGGATTGAATATATCGCCGTTGATCTCGCAAGTGGAATCAGAGATTCCTATTGCATTTGGTGACCATTCCTTCGGTGGATTACCCGGGGGCTTCTCTTTCTTGCGTTTGAACATCTTCGAAAGGATATTTGGGGCCATGACGATGGTTTTTTTGGGAGGGAAATGACCGAGGACTTTATATGGAGTCGGGTGTGGACAAAAATCAACAGTGCGTGGCAAGTATACTGCGAGTGGGTAGACATCTGTATAGAGTAGAAGTGTTAGAGTGCGGGTCACGTGACCTGTCTGCCTCTATATCTCCCCACCTCTCTTCCCCCCCCCTCTCTCTCTCTCTTCCCTCCTCTCCACGCATCAAGAGATCTCTGTGCTGCTCCATCTCTTCTCTCAGTAGCATACGTCTATCACAGATACCTTCTCTGGTGTGCTTTCCGTCGGCTTCAATACATTGAATTTCCATAAACCGCTTCCTTGTCCATTCTTCGTAACTTTTCCGTCTGATGTCTTCTTGCAATTATATGTCGAGGTGGATGCACAACGTTGAAATATTATGAACCATGCCCTCCCCATCAACCCTCCACAATATCCACTGTCGGTGACTGCGAGTAGTAGCAAAGACCGCACTCTGGTGCTTACGAGCCAATCAAGCTTGCTGTCCCGCTTTGGCCCGCCTCGATCGGCGATCTGTACCCACGTGCAATTCATTGGTTCGAAAAAAACATCCTGGCCCCAGATCGGCATCGAGATGGATACTCTTGTCCCATCTGCGGACTAGTGCGGAGCGTGTACTAGGAAGCAAGTCCTTGGATTGGTTGGTTCCTAATTGCTAATTTTGAAATTAAGCGAGCCGGACTCTCCTAATAGAGATAAGAGGAGAACTGCATGGACCGATCTCATACTAAAATTATAGCCTTGGTCAAGACGCACTAGCCCCCGGGGCCAGCAGTGCTATATACACCCTTCACACCCCCCATTTTGCCATTCAATCCACACCTACTGACTGAATGACGAAACCTTAAGAACATAGCATACACCATGCGGCCTCAATACCCTCATTTTGAGCCCTACAACCTCTCGCCCCTGGATCATCACCTTCCGCCTATGCACCTGACTTTCTTTTTGACATTCAAGCCAGAACACCCTGCCCAGGCACTGTCGACTCTTGAATCGGGACTTAACAAATTGCTATTGTCTCTGCCGTTCTTGACAGGCAATGTGGCCCGTGTATCCCAACCCCGTGGTGTACGACAGCTGCATCCTGCAATCCCAGCCTTGCTAGACGAATATCCTATGCTCAAGGTCAAACATCACGATCAGACCTATATCCCTAGCAATCGGTCTTCAGATCGCGAGACGACAAAAATATCATATGATGAAGCTTTCATTGCTATCCCGCTTTATCATGCGTGCAACGAGCTTAGCCCTGCCTTCCGACTTCAAGCCAATGTTCTGGAAGACGGGATCATTCTCTGTGCCACTATGCATCATACGGTCATGGACGGCAAAGGCTTAACGAATGTGCTGCAAGCCCTGTCGTTGTGCTGTCAGAATGCATATATCGAAGGACCGCTCGTGCCTCTGACTACTTCAGCCGAGCAACAATTTGGTCGAAAGCAGATTCTTGAAGCTGGATTGGCCGCCAATCCGTCGCCCTCCATCCAAACAGAAGATTCCTCAACATCCGACAAGACTTCAGTTCCGTCCATTCCCGAGGTCCCAATAACTCGAAGACTTGTCATCTGCGATGATAAGCTCGCACAGCTGCGGGATATGTGTGCTTCTTTGGGGGATGAGTCCACCAAGTTGTCTCGCAATGACATCTGCGCGGCCCTGATGTGGCTTTGTGTTATCCGAGCCCGGGAAATTGCGTCGCCTGGCTCTGCCGATGCAAACCGGAAGTCTACCATGATGACTGTTTCTGATACTCGCGGGGTCATGCGACCGACTCTTCCGGAAACTTATATGGGCAATGCCTACACTGCACTGTGTACCGACAGTCCTCTGCACCAAGAAGCCTATTTCAATGCGTCTTCCAATTCCCTCGCTAATCAGACACGGGGGCTGGTAAATGGACTCACGCATACAGACATTGCATCCGTCGCTCAATTGGCCACTGCTATTCGACAGGATCGAATCGCCCTCAACGACGAGTATATTCGAAAAGATCTCGCCAACGTCCTCAATAAACCGGACTGGCAGCCAACTTTTCTCGAACAGTGTGACTACGGACAAAGTAGCCTGCGGAAGTTTGGACTCTATGATATGGACTTCGGTTCTGCGCTGGGTAAGATTTCGGACTTTGATATCCCCGACGGGAGGCTCAGCCGCATTGCCTGGGACTTGCCGGCGCGGTATGCGAACGCGCCGTGGGAGCTACGTATTGGACTTGAGCCGAAGGTGATGGAAGGTCTGAGAATGGATCCCTTGTTCCAATGGGTTGAGGTGAAATGATTACTATGAAAAGCCAATTATCCCATCATTTGTATACACTTTGAGGAACTATACACGAAGATTTAAGAGATCAGGATTGTCGCCAATGAAAACAGGACTTCTAACGGCCATTTTCCTCTCACACAAATTCACCAGACGGTCGTCATCGAGGATAGGCGTTGAAGTCTACAGGTATCAGCAAAAGTAAACAGAAAAGATTGACTAGCTTAGGAGAGAACTAGCTTAGGAGAGAACTAGCTTAGGAGAGAGAAAGAAGAAGGAGAGCTATATAGAGCTTGAAAATTTCCTGATAACCAGTCGAAATGCCAAGGCGATTCCTTTAAAATGGAGAATATTAAGGAAGCACCGTTATCTCCTCTGCCAAAGGGGAGTATTTTGCATGGACCGGGCTTGGCAAATGACCGGCTTCAACAGCCCCTTTTGGCAGCCGGTTGAGATAACAAAGAGGGGTAGATAACCCGGGGAACAAGCTAACTTGGCCCTAAGTAGCCGCACAACCTTTAATAGAGGCACTAACGCCATTTGAACCCGATCGTCAGTCTAGTCATAAAGCCAGTGTAGTAAAGTTCTACCTTTCTCCCACCTATCGCCACAATGGTCCTCCCAGTCAGTAACCCAACGAAGTCATTTTGGATCGAGGAAGCCAGCTCTGAGCTTCGCAACTTTCGGTCAACTGAGGAATTGCCAAATGAGACAGATGTGATAATTGTTGGAAGTGGATATTCAGGTGCGACAACCGCATACTGGCTTAACAAGGTGAAAATGCCTATTGGATTGGTGAAGTATATTCTAAACGAATATTCTAGTATACGGAAAATGATGCCCAAAAACCCCAAATGCTCATGCTAGAGGCTCGGGATATTTGTGGATCTGCGACAGGTCGCAATGGTAATGTTTCCAGGCAGCCTTTGATTGCAGCTTAAATGTTGTATTGGCTAACGAAAGATTAACTCAGGCGGGCAATTAAGACCGCATGCCTATTCGCGCTATCCGGCGTGGTCAACGAGATTCGGGTCCGATGGAGCAATGAAACTCATTAAGCATGAAATGGCACACTTGTCAGCTTTTCAGAATTTGTTAGCGGAGGAGGGCATAGCCGAGGAGGTATGCTTTCGGCTTGGCGAGACATTTGATGCGGCCATGTCAGATGAAGCCTGGGAGCGACTCCAGGGCGCGTACCAAGCAATGCGGAAGGACCACGGGGACGACGACCAGGTGGTCAGGGCCTGCAGGCTAATCGAGGATCCAAAGGCTGCCGAGGAGTTTACCCAAATGAAGGGATGTTTGGGAGCAGTAGTGCATCCCGCTGGTCAAGTGTGAGGTCCTTTCCTACATTCTTTGCTTTCTCACTTTCCTCTCACTTCTCGAAAAGAGATTGACTTTTCGCAGATGGCCGTACAAGTTTGTTCATGCACTGCTCCGCATAGTCTTAAAGACTGGTAATTTGAACCTTCAAGCCCACACACCAGCCGAGAGTGTCTCTGAGCGAGATGAATCCGGCTGGATCACAGTCAAGACCGCGAGGGGAGAAGTACGGACGAAGACAGTGGTACACGCGACGAATCGATGGGCTTCTCATCTCTTACCGGAATTCGGCAATCTCATATTCGGAAACAGATCGACTCTGGCATCTATCAAAGCACCAGAGGGTTTCATCAAACACACAGGTGCCCAGCATTGGGACAGTATGGTGAATGTGCGTTGGCCCCCAAAGTCGCAAAAAGGAGTGGTTTCAGTAGCTGACGGCTCCAGAATTATCATCTTCAACTTCCCCCACCTTACAACAGCATCATTATTGGCGGGGCAAGATCTCTTCTTGTGCACTCTCCCCAGGAGTGCTATCCTAACGACGAAGAAGATAAACAATTCGACGGCGCCCCTAAGTTCTTCAAATCATGGCCCGAGTCGGACGTGGCAGGATGGTCTGGTAAGCCTCAAGCGGAGCTGGCAAGGAACGCCGACGATGGTGGCTGTTGGTCGGGCAGTAGGTTTTCTCGCGATTTCCCAAAAGGTGAGACACACTGACGAAACAACAGTTGAATCGACCAGTATCGACTCATTCCCTTTTGTCGGTGATATTCCGAACCGGAGTGGACACTTTGTGACAGCTGGCTTCTCAGGTCATGGTACGTGAGTCCTTTCTCAAGATCCACTGTGCCAAACTCACTGTATTCAGGCATGCCCCGTATTCTACTATCCACTGCTCACATCGCACCACTGGTTTTGAACGACTTGAGCTTCACACACAGTCCTCCTGCTCTCGTTGCACCATATCCACCTATTCCGAAGCCATTTCAGGTAACAGCCGAACGAATCAGTTCTCTCCAAACAGTGGATTCTGTCGCATTTTTCGAAAGAATCTCCAAAGACTGTCTTGAAAGTGCGAAAAAGCCCTTTTGCAACAAGGCCAAGAGCTGAAGAAGATCTCAGATGCCTTAGTAACAGGCAATGGCCAGCCCGGTCCAGATAAGATGGTGAAGGTGGCACGGTTTGCCCTGTTTGTGTGCAAATAGTACAAACATCCCGATTTGGATTGACCGAATAGCCTCAAAATGGTCAACAACAGCGGCAATTGACAATGCATGTCAACAGGTGATATCAAATATCACCTGAACTAAGCCTTACTCAGACAGAATCAAGCCTCAATTTTTGAAATGGCCCCATGGCACTATAAATCCGAGTAATATATTGAATTGTTAGAAGACGAAGCAGTATTTCAGACATCTACAGAATCCGATATAGGCTCGGTCGTTGCTTTCTTGAAGTGTCGCGTCGCAACTTTTTGCGCAAATATATCATCGAGCTCACTAAAAGTGCGACCCCTGAGCTCTGGCACCTCAAGCCAAGCCCATACAAAGCTCACAAACGACAGGGCCATCCATACAAACGCAGCCTTCCCTCCCAGATTGGCTGATATGAATTGCATTAGCTTCCAGAACAGAGGAGAGATCCTGTTGTTAAAACATACCTTGATCTGTATTGATGAGATACGGAGCGACAAAATTCATCGCCCAGCTGACCAACGCATTCGTCACGATTGCCAGACTTTGCGTTTTGGCTCGGGCTTTGACGGAGCTAACCTCAGCACTGATAGTCCAACTGACGGCTCCAACTGTAGGAGAGTAGAATAATTGGGCAAAGTTCATCACGTAGCCGATGTAGTACATGGCAGCAGTGGTAGTGAAACAGCCAGCAACGCCGACAGACATTAGACAGAGAGCGTTCAAAATGATACCGGTAAGAAGAAGTGGCCGACGACCTATTTAAATAGTTGTTGATGTTAGATCAAACACCGGACCCAGCGGAATCTGAAGAATGATCGAGACTCACCAATATAGTTCATTATAAACCACGAGACAATGTTTCCAAGCATAGCTACGCCAAAACCACCGAGAGCCAGTTGGAAAGTGAGAGCAGTGGGCAGGCCTATGATCCCGAGAAAATACAAAGCCTGGGAATAAAATGCGATGCCTGTAAACTGCTGCACGGCAAACATTCCACATGAAATGCGAGTCCTGCGCCAGTTTGTACCTCGGAAGCAATCCCGGTACGAGGTATCTTTTTGAATGTTTGCAAGAGAGTTTTCGGCGTCAATGGAAGTTTGAATATCTCCCAAGATCAAATCAGTGTTTGCTGATTTGAGGAGATGAAGTCTCTGCAGACTCTTCTTGGCTTGCTCAATCTGGCCTTTGCGACAGAGATACCAAGGGCTTTCTGGCATAAAGAATGAGAACAGCCCAATGAAGCAGGGGAATGCCCACTGCGCCGCAAAAATCACTTTGTATGATGCTGGTGTCATAATGGAAAAGCGGGTATTTCCAATGCCAATGGCTGTGAGTTGACCAGCGTTGACGAACAGGTTAACAGCGGCGGTCAGGGAGGGACGTAAGGCAGTTGGTGCGATCTCAGAAGCATATATGGCCCCTAGACTGAGGAAAAACCCAAGAGATATGCCGTTGATCTGGATACAAATTCTCAGCACTGGGGTAATGGATGGCATAATGGAAATAACTTACGATCTTGCCAGCCAGGAGCAAACCGGGCTCGTTGGCAGCGTATTCAAGGCCAACCCCAAGTAAGGATATAGCAGAACCTATTCCAAACCCCAATCTCCGACCGCCTCGATCTGAAATCCAGCCAGATGCAATACTTCCTGTTCCAAGCGAGATTAGGAAACCGAGAAGTATCTGAAGATGTTGGCTACTCACCAATCAGCATTCCAAGCGATGTCATGGCCGTCCAGAGAGCATTCCAAGTCGCTGAGATCAAAAGTTGGTCACCATATTTGTAGCCAAAGACCATTTTGAATCCCGGCAACGCGACGGTGATTGAATTCACTCCTAGATTGGCCACCGGTTAGATCGAGCCTACTTTCAATGCGCAAACAGAGATGTGAAAGCAAATACCAATATCAAATCCCCAAAGCATAGAGCTCACACAAGCAGTCACGCTGTACATGATAACTTTGGGGTGCTTCTTCGCCGAAGCCCAAGCGCCCTCCTTGACCTCAGCACTCTCTGTAGAGTGTGGAACCGTCTCGAGCATCTCTGAAAATGCTTCCTTCTTGCCGTCTCCGAGTTGATTTGAGTCAACAGACATACTGCGATTTGAAGAAACCATTGCGAGTAATCGCAGAGATATCAAGGTGACCAGAGAAAGTAACGTGTTTCTGTTTGACAAAGCAAGTTGAATCCGAACTATATAGAGTAGGTCCAAGAAGAGATAATCGCCAAGTCAAGGCTCACATATATGTGAACCCCGGAACCTTGAGCATTGCCACGAGAAGGATGTGGAGAAACTGGGGAATTCGGAAGAGCCGAATTACGGGGTATTGGGAGAATTCTGGCGAAGCCCTGGGTGGAGTTAGGTGGAGGTGGAGGTCCTTAGGCCCGGGTCCTGGCGGTGGAGCGTCCAGCTGATCCCCCGTAAGCGACCCTCTCGTTGCCTTTCTGTCGTTAGTGAATATTTTTGAGTCCCCACCCGACTCCTTGAATTGCAAGAAATTTTTGGGAAACTCATTGGTAGGGAACAATGAGAGAGATACTTGAAGTTTTCATATGATTCATGGGGCTAAAGGAAAACTTCGAAGGCGGACGATAGCTGTATCAACAACTTTGTTTCATTCGAGCATAAACACCAATATCTAGCAAAGAGAGGAAAATAGGCGCATGGTATGAGCCATCTAAATAGCGTAATCACAACCCATTCCACGTCCCCATGTCATTAATGCGCAGAGAAGTTGCACATGTCCCAATAGTAAACTTGTAAGTGCCATTGAGGGATCGCCAGCATCCATCCAAGCTATCCCAATAGCCGCTGACGTCTCGCTGGGAGACTGAAAGACCAATCCTTCTCTTTTCTTTTGGCTCAAGCCAGACCTTGGTAAACGAAATCAGCTCAGAATGGGGTCTCCAGATCACGCAGTCCGCTGGAGGGTTACTGTAGACTTGAATAACCTCATAACCTGCAACATCACTGATGTTCTTGACATCAACAGCAATCGTGACGGTTGTTAGAGGGGAGTGATCCGACATGCTAGTCTTGATGCTTTCGTGGGAAATCACTTCCAGGTTATCATACTCAAAGGAAGAGTAAGACAAACCATGTCCGAAAGGCCAACGAGCAGAAGATTTGGTCTTGGGAGATCTATAGCCCATCTGTAGACCCTCACGGTAGCGAATCGTAGGGCCATTACCAACATCCTTTGCGGGGAAATTTCCAAATGATGGAACGGAAGCCTCATCCAGACGCAAGGGCCAAGTGGTGGCGAGTCTTCCACTTGGGTTTGTCTTCCCAGTGACTATGTCGCAAATAGCCTGCGCCCCTTCCTGCCCAGGGAAGTGAGCTGCGACGACTGCATCGACATCCTCAACAAATTCTGAGACATCGATCGGATTGCCACAGTGCAAAACAAGGATTGTCTTCTCGGAAACGCTGGTGACAGCTTTGATCATTCGCACTTGACTTTCCGGGAGTTTCAAGGTTTGCAGATCGAATCCTTCGGATTCATGCTCATATGTTCGACCAGCGACTATCACGCTTACATCTGAGCGAGCTGCAATTGTGACCGCCTCGGCGATGGCGAGACGGTCGTTCCGCTCTTCCTCAAAGCACAACTTTGCTGAATGAGGCGAAATCTCACCGTGCGCCGGTTCAATATCGCGTGAATGTGTCCGAAGCGTAACTCTATACGACCTTTGTGCCTCCATTTCAAATTCGACCACGCTTTCCAGTTTCTTAGGTTCAAACAGGAAATCCTCGACTGTCATAACTGGGGCAGGCTTTGAGAGTATCTGTAGAGATCTGTTAGTATCTTGAGGTAATCAGATTGCGAAGGCAATAGTAACACTTACTTCAACACCATCCACAGATAATGTGAATTCTCCTGTGGCTTGTACAGCCAGTTTGTGAAGTCCGCTTGCCTTTACTGTGACATTTGTTTCAATGACATAGTAAAATCCTTTTTGGGTAAGGTTAGGCTTCAGCCGACCAAGCATCACCACAATCGGCTGTTCAGATTGCTCAGAATGAACAGGCGTATCGCTTGCGTCTAGATAATAGTCAACGTTGACACCAGGGAGGCCATTTCTTGCTTGCATCATCTCAATCGGCATGAGAGGAATGACATGGTGAGGGTTGACTCCGTATGCGAAAGAGACCTGCTCGGGTGTTTCACACGCATCGCGGAAGTGCTGCAAAGGCGTGTGTACATATTGAGGTTTGGCACATGCACTGCCTCCACCGGTGGTTGAGGGCTTGATGGCGGCTGACCCAATGAGCGCTATCTTCGGTTTGTTCGCCATTTTCAGAGGAAGGGTATTTTGGTCGTTTTTCAAAAGAACAATGCCTTCAGATGCAGTTCGCAATGCCATCGCACTAGTTCGATCACAGATAACCGATTCTTCCTCCTTATCACTATGGCTGTCACGGGTCCGATCAATCATTGTCAAAACGTTCCGCACGGCCACATCAACCGTTTCCTCGGATATCTCGTTCCTATTGATCGCATCCAACAGCTTAGCGCCCCGAAAGACCGACGGTCCCGGCATCTCCAAGTCAAGACCCGCATTTAGTGCTTCCGTTGTGCTCTTGGTACCATACCAATCAGACATGATGCACCCATCATACTTCCAGTCTTTCCGGAGCAAATTGTTGACCAGTGGAGTCTGGCTGCAAAAATGGCCATCGAGAGCGTTATACCTGGGAGAAACATTGTCAGGTATCTTCATTGAATTAACTCAAGTGAAGCGTACTTACGCTGTCATGATCGCAACTGGGTTGGCTTGACGGAGCAAGTACTGAAATGCTCGCAAATATACTTCGCGCATCGTTCTGTTGTTGCCCGACTCGTCGACATTGTAGCGCCTGCGTACTGTCTCACTCTCATTCGCGACGAAATGCTTCACACAGGCACCCACTCCCTGTGACTGAATTCCGTTGATGATAGCTGCAGCCAGGTGACCGGTGAGTAGAGGGTCCTCACTGAAAGCTTCAAAGTTGCGACCGGCTCGCGGATCTCGGTGAAGGTTGATGTTAGGGCCCAGAACGACTTGTACGGATTTTGCTTTGGCTTGGAAGGCAACTTCCTCGCCAAACTCCCGCATCAAACTCGTGTTCCATGTTGACGCGAGGCAGGTGGAGCTTGGAAAACATGCAGTTCCGGTATCATCGAGATGCGACTGTGAGCCGCGAACACCATTGATTGAATCGCTGACCTATTGAAGCTCACTGTGTTAGAGAAACAGATTCCGGGCTGCGCAAATGAAAGGGGCATCTCCAAAGCTCTTACTTTCAATGATGGGATGCCGAGTCGTTTCACGCCTGCAGTACTGGTAAAGCTGATACCCGAAAGAAGCGATATTTTCTCTTCTAGAGACAAAAGATGCAATTGATCCCTATGGACCATCTCCGATCCCAACCCGTTGGTCGACATGAGGCCTTGATATCAGTTATTCAAAAACTCGAAAACAAATCACGCGACAAATGTCGGAATGTTCCAAGATATATCACCGCGGAAATTCTTCGGAGATCCCAAAACGGATGAGCCATTGTGGGTGTCAAATCAAAATGATAGCAAATTGATCCAAGTGGAGGAATCTCGTTCGACCGAGGCGTGAGTGGAAGGTGCCAATTTGCGTGGAGTTCCAGTTGTCCCAAAGTGCTCTAGGGCCACTTCGAACCTCGGCCATGGTCACGTGCCTTTCACTCCACACATTCCCTCCACTTCCACCAACCTCCACTTCTCCATCACCTTGTATCCAAGCGAAACAGTACGTGATCCACTTTTTTTTTTGTCTGGCATGGAGGCACAAGCAGTTAGCCCTGCACACACATGCACTCGGTGCGCCAAGTCATATTCGCGCCGGGAGAATCTGGTCAGACACATTCGATCAGCACGTAAGAACCTCTTCCGAGCAACATCAGGGGCCCAGACCATCCGCTCCCTGAAGCATCGCTAACCTGACACGCAAGATGAGAAAAACAACACACCTTACGCTTGCTCATTGTGCCCTAGTCGATTCACAAGAAGGTGAGGCTCATGAAAACTGCTACTCAGGTCCAGGCCTTAACACTTGACCTGCCAGCGACCTATTGTCTAGACATCAAAAAATCCATCAAAGTGCCCATGATATTTCTGAAGAAGACCCCAGGGGTGGATCTCATGATGCCAACATAAGGCAGTATGTTTCGGAACCACGATCAAACAAAAAACGACCACGAACAAGTGCGAACGAGGATGTTGTGCCGGTGGACATGACACCAAGAGCCTCTACCACCACAGATCATCCCTCGCTAGGCATACAACATCCCGAAGATTACCCTGACACCAACACAGAGCCTCCGTCCCCAACAGTGGATGAAGACCGACTTGCCCCAACTGGTCGGGTTGCTGAGACAGATTGGGATTTCCAGTGGCCTTTCTACGGGGAAGGTCTACAAGACACCAACCTTGACTGGACTTTGGACTTTTTGTCAAGCGGAATATCCACACACAGTCCTTTGGACAACATACACGATGGTAGAGGAATCATGCAGCCAATAGAGATGGGAAATCTGGGTCTCACGCAGGTACCCGACACTGGTCCAAATCACCCTGTGGACAACAACACCCAAGAAAATTTTCAATCATGGCCAGACGAAGGGAGTGGAGCCAGAAGCCCCAGGAATCAATGGCGGACGTGCAAAACACCTGACCGGGATATCTGCATTGATGTTCATCGACGAGACTCCTTTGTTGAGAATGCCGAGATTCTACACTCGAAGAGCCAAATATCGGAGGAAGTACATCAAGCCATGATGGAGACAGTCACAGAACCGCTCCTAGAAAGCTTCTGCGGCGAAAAGGGGAATTCTTATCATTGTTTCCCACCAATATCGACAATCATCCACTTCGTCAACCTCTTTTTTATCCATGTTCAACCTCGGTTTCCAGTACTGCACATACCCACCTTCCGTTCCAGTGAATGCTCGTCGCATCTTTTATTGGCCATGGCAATAATAGGATCCAGTTACTCCGACCCAAGTCAAAATAAGTTCGCCTTGATATATCTCGAAAGAACAAGAATGTCCATGAAACTGATGCAGGAAAAGGATCAGAAATTTGTAAGACAGAGTTGGTTTTTGGATCAGCGATCGAAACTAACTGCATTGTTCTGCTTAGTTACGATCATCTGAAAACCTTTTTGCTTTGTTTCTTGTTTCAGTATCTGCGATGTGGGTGGGTCAAAAGGCAGCGTATGAGCGGCTTGAAAGTGACCGCGGTGATCTCGCTGTTCACTGCCGACGTGGTCAGCTATTAGACTGTCGGGGAAAAACCACCATGGCCTCTCAGCATCCCCCTAGCCGCAATCGAATCCGGATGGAAGATGCTTGGATGGAGTGGGTTCACGAAGAACAGAAGAAACGCTTAGGCCTCTGCATATACGTAAGTCTCCTCTTTTGCTCAAGAATCGAAGGAAGGGTTGTGACATATTGATTTATATTTAGCTCCTTGACTGTCAGATGGCGGCTTTTTTCCAGCGCCAACCCTATATCAGCAAAGCTGAAACCGTGAACACGGCATTACCATGCTCCGAAACATTCTGGAAAGCGCCAACTGCCTGGGCATGGAAGTCTTTGTTGGGACCTGCCGATATCCCACCAAGCACGTACTTCCTCACTACGCTCACCACCATCCTTCTACACAAGAACATCCCTGATGTCCTGCCATTTCCACCACTAGACGACTTCTGTAAGACTCTTTATGTTTACGTTTTGCATTCTCATGTCTTCGAGTGGCGGCAGACCATTTGCATGCTCAATCCCACCGGACTCCTTAGTTCTCCCGTGTCACTTGCACCCCAGAATATTGGAGACTCGCTACAAGAGCGCCGGGAATGGCTATTGGCCTCTCTGAAGAACTGGAATGATTTTTATGGAAATGGAAATCTCGCTGACCCCACCAATCGAAGCCCCAAGAACTCCTCGGGAATTCTTCTCTACCACCTCGCGATAATGGCCCTCCATCTAAACTTTTCGGATCTGCATATCGTTGCTGGAAGATCTGGCTCTGACGCAGATATTGAGTTGGCCAAACAATCTCTACGAAATTGGTTGCAGGGGGACAGAGCTCAGAAGATATTCGACTGTAATTCTCAGATGTTGAGTGCGGCTCTTGACACGATTGCTGGTGGAGATGCGCAACAGTGTGGCTTCGAATTGGCTATCTGTCTATTCATGGGAGGCCTCACTAGCTGGGCGATGTCACGTTTTGGAGGTCTGGTTCGAATCTCCAGATCGAGAGATCCAGGAGAGCCTGGGAGTGGGGGTGACCAGCAGTATCAGAGCCATCCTCATATTTTCGGTGAAAACTTACCGGAAGTCGGAAATGTGTTCAATGATCAGGTTTCAGGGGCTCGCGATGCTCTGCGCACCTTGAAGTGGCTTCGGCTCGCAGTGGCGTTCGGAGATATTCTTGATCGCCTCCATAGTACTACTTGACCTCCACCTCCACATGAGATTCCACTCCACCTCCCTCGGCTCGCCCCACTTCAGAATGGCCACAATTTCAGTGTCAGGAACGAGGACGCCACTCTTCACAATATCGCATATATTGCAGACCGTCCCAATCGCCGAACAACTGTCCATTCTTAAAATACTTTCTGAGATGGCAACCACCCTGTCTTCTGGCGGGATGTTCAACAACCCCATCATCCCGGGCTTCAACCCAGATCCCTCGATCTGTCGAGTAAATGATGACTATTATCTGGTTACTTCGACATTCGAATACTACCCGGGAATTCCTGTATATCACAGCAAAGATCTCTTACAATGGAAGCTCATCGGCCATGTCATTACAAGACATTCGCAAATAAACATGCGAACTACCGAGCCCTCCGGGGGACTATGGGCGCCAACCATTCGGCATAACAAAGGACGCTTCTATGTATCCCTTGGCTGCACTCATCGATTCCGACCGAAAGAATGGGTAAGTTCTTCACTTCAAGATCAATTTTATCGGACGAAACTAATGTATTTACAGGATATTGTCATTCCTCGTGGGCTCTATGTCTCCACAACTAACATCTGGGACTCATCTTCATGGTCGGATCCCACCTTTTTCGATGTTCCGGGAATTGACCAAGATGTAAGCGACCAGGCTGGATCAAATTAGCTCTGAGAGAAAACTGACCTTATTTATAAAGCTCTTTTTTGACGATGATGACAAAGTCTATTTCTCTGCGGTAAACATGATCATCGATCCCAAGGTCAAGAAGCATGGCCTTGGGCTGGCAACCTTCACTGCAGAGATAGACATTAACTCTGGCAGATGTCTTGGGCCTATCAAGTGGAACAGATTGTCAGACTTCGGTATCGGAATTGCAGAAGGCCCACACATCTTCAAAAAAGACGGCTACTACTATTTGAGCACTGCCGAAGGCGGTACCGATGAAGGTCACCAGCAGTGGATCAGCCGCAGCACAGTCGGACCATTTGGGCCATGGGAGTTAGGCCCTAAAGGAAGTGTCAACCCAGTGATTTTCAACGGTGACGATCCTTCAATCCGCAACACCGGTCACTTGGACTTCATTGAGACACCGAGTGGGAAATGGTTCGCAGTGTTTTTGGGAGTCCGGCCTCAGGGCAAAGACTCCGAATTAATCTCCCAGCTTGGCCGTGAAACATTCATGAGCCCTGTGGAATGGATCGATGGATGGCCAATTGTCAACAACCGACAACCTATCAGCCTTCAAATGCAGGCAGAAGGTATGCAACTTCTCACCCAGGCGCAGTCTTGGAGAGATGATTTCAACGAGTCGACGCTCCAGCTCGGCTGGTATCATTTGCGAACGCCATTGAAGAAAGATTACTCTCTATCCGAGTCCCCAGGCTGCTTGACCATTTACGGAAATGCGTACCGCATCGATGGCTCCGAATGTCCATCCATGCTTCTCCAGAAGCAGACCGGCTTCTCGGGCGAGTGGAAAACCAGGTTGAGTTTCTTGCCGACAGAAGCTGGTCACGAAGCAGGAACAGCGATCTGGTGGTCGCAGTTTGCTCATGCTTCAATTGGACTAAGGAAACCATTTGAGGAAGAGAAGGATGGGCTCGAGATTGTAGCACGTTGCTATGACGAGAAAGACGATGAGTTCAAGGTGCGAAACATCCGCATCGGCGATACACGACGCATACTGATCGCTTCAGGAATTCATTCATCAACTCCCGCTCAAGGATCAAGCCATTGAACTCATCATCCGCGCACACCCCACAGAATACGAACTCTGCTTTTCGGTGGTGGAAGAAAATCAATCCATCTCCAGCCCCGTCAAGCTGGGTCAAATATCCAGCACAGCATTGACCCATCGCCGATCTGGAAAGGAATCCCCAAACACCGGCGCTCATTTTGCTATCTACGGACAGGGCGCGTATGATAAGCCATGCTTTGACCCCGCGCGTTTCGAATTTGTAGAGTGGAATGTGAAGTCCACTCGAGTTTGAATATTCCGATCGGAGCGGCTGTTTGTGTTTGTATCAATTAAATAAAATCCAGCGGAGTAATCACACCAAATTCAGGTACTTCAGGTACCAGCCTCCTGCACCGTTACGAAAAAACCTAGCCATTGCTGTAGGGTCCATGTTACCTGTGGATGCAGACGATCATTGGCCAGAAGTCTGGTCGATGCCGGCCCCGTTTTGGAGATCCCGGCTGCCAAGAATTAACCCGGGTGTAAGTATGTAGTGCCTTACAGCGGCTGTTTGCCTTTTCTTGCTTCGCCCATGACCTTGGGTATCTCTTGATGGTGACTGCTGCCTTTGTGGAATTCAAAGCTGGGCTAGATCATGAGCTAAGGCGCAGTTTTCTTCCAATGCAGGCCCAGCAAAACACTTTGAGTGGAAAGCAAAGTATCAGGCGCTCCTAATCCCTGCATATGTTAGCGTCTGCTCGAACATATTTAGGGCCGAGATCTGTGCGAGTCGCCATTCCTGCGGCTGAATGTCGGACAGGGGGCTCTGTCCGATCGCACTCCACCGGGTAAATGAATGTCAAAATTCAAACCACCTTCCAGGGTACGGAGGACTCCGGATACTCATCATTCTCCCATAACAAAATACCATGAATTTGACTCAATTGAGTGGTTTTATTTTATCTTTCGTTCTACTCCAAGCGGCAATACACTCTAAAGCGCTCGCAGCGACATGTTACTACCGAAAAAATAACGAAGTGAAAGATCCATCTATTCAGCCATGCGACCCATCTAAGGAGGTGAGCCAATGCTGTGCGCTGGAAAAGAAGAACCAAGGTTACAATGACACATGTCTGAGCAACGGGCTCTGCTATGCCGAGGATGGTTACTACAGTGGGATATTTTTTGAGTCTGGGTGCACAGATAAGACTTGGGGGAGCCCTCTATGCTCCTCTGTGTGCCAAAAGGTTCCTGGTAAGTAGCTCCTTGCTCTAAACAGAGGTGCAGTTGAGAAATCTCAATGAAGAGCAAGGGCTGAAGCTAATGTATGATCACCACGCGCAGCCGCCTCTGCTGGGTACTTCGTTCTTCCCTGTCCCAGTGTCGGGATAGGGTACTGGTGTTGTAGCGCAAATGGCAGCGACTGTTGCGATAACTCTTTCCGAATGAGCATGCCGGCACTTCCGATATCGAGTTCAACCCGGACCTCGACCTCTTCCCCGACTGCGACCTCTACATCAACCAATACTTGCGACTCAAGCGACAATCCCCAGAGCCACGACTCTAATGTGATTGCGGTGGGCGCGGGTGTGGGTGTCTCCCTCGGCGTATGCCTGATAGCAGCAGTGGCGGGACTGTTTGCGCAGCGGCGTATGTATCGGCGGAGGCTTGTGGAACACGAACATCGGCTCGGAGCTCAAGCGGCATTCATCGCAGCGCGACTTAGTCCGGAACCGGGCAGCCAGGAAGCAGCAAAGTTGCTGCCGCAAGAGTTGGATAGCGCCAAGCCAGCTCATACATATGAGCTGGAAGACTATCAAGAGGGATCGGGATCACGTAGGTGATCCAGATTGTGTCCGGGATCTCTGGCTCGTTCTCACACCGAGATTTGCATTAATATCAACAGTCACCGGCGCAAGGCCAGTTGAAAATCTTCAATAGAAGGCTTTGACAACTCAAATCCCGTAGAAGCAACGATACATGTATTGGTTGGGGAGAGAAAGTCTAGATCTATAGGACCGACTACTAAAACTGAGAGCATATACAATCATTGAAAACAAAAAACCTAGCTGTTACAGCGGTGTAAATGCTTCATGCTTCCCAAACATAAAAACCTATATTAAAATGATATTACAATTACCAAGATATGGATTCGTTTATAGCTTTTCTGCCGTTCCCATAGTATTCATGCAGTTTACGCCATGATGTATTTAGAGCCAACGAGAGATCTTGATATCTCGATCATGCGCCTCTCATTACTCGTTTAGGATCATATTCCAGACCGGGCAGAATCTCGTCAATAGTATGAGACAATCAATGCCCTGAAGATTTATCTCAAAGCATTCTTGCAAGTCAAATAGCGGTCACAAAGACAAGGCTGTCCTCGGGATTGCTTTTCTGCTTTTTTGTACATAGAAAGACGGTACTGTACGAGGATCAGAGCGTTGGTGGGGGAAAGACGGATGGGAAGCCAGCGAATGTGAAGAAAACGCATTTTATTTGCTTACATTGTTCACCCTTCTTCTAGTTAGGGAGCAGGTGAAGACATTTTGGCCGAAGAGGGGGCAAATAACCCCACTCAGGCATCCGGCGCTAAAAAGATTTGTTTTTTTCTCAAAGCACTCATGAGCGGCCTGCCACTTCAATATCTTGAATTGACTTAAAAACACTAACGGGTGCTCCGGCGCACTAGTTCTTCTGATCGTTTGAAAGGGCAGTGAGGCCCTGTCAAATGCCGTAGTCTGTGCGTTCTAAGCAGCCTCGTACTCAGCCCCCGGGCTACTTCAAAAAGCAAACAGAAAAAGGACAGCCCCCACTAATCTTCCCCAGCTCCTCCTCTCATGCGCCCTCCTGGAGCAAACCTTGGAACTCACTCATCAAGAAGCTCGCGCAGAACAGCGAAACCTCCCCATTCCACCGACTCCCAAGGGTGACTATGGATATCACCACCACGATGACCCTGCCGTCGGATTCCTTGGGTCGGATGTCCAATTACACCCTCGGCGTCACAGAGGAACAAACACCCGTCCGAAAAGAAGCTATAGACAATAGTTCACCCAAGGTGAATCACTTTTCAAGCTACTCTGATGTAGTACTTGACCATTTATTGGAACTATTGAACGAACGTCCGATCCGCCAAAGGTGGAAGCTCAACACATTTCTAAGGGGGGATCGAATCCGACCAGGGGAATCTTTCAACTATGAACCGCTGCCGCCCGGAGGAAGTGCAACTTTTCGTCTCTTGACTCTTCTTCCTGGAAAAAATTTCGAACAGATACGCTGCGAGCTTACGGTTGCCACTATCCATGATACCGAATACGAGGCTCTCTCATATTTTTGGGGGACAGACGCAGCTCTACCTACAATCATGTGCAATGGTGCGAGAATGAACGTCAGCCGGAACTTGAAGCGAGCTTTGAAAGACCTTCGTTATGCAGATCGTACGAGGGTTTTGTGGGCAGATGCTATCTGTATCAACCAAAGAGATCTGCTAGAGAAGGAAAAACAAGTCAACCAGATGGGGAACATTTATCGACATGCAAAACGTACCGTCATACATATGCACATGGGGTTTCAAACTTTAGGCATTGAACGGCCTTTCCCCGTGTTACAGCAACTGCAACGTCTGTACCATTACCTTTGTGCTGGGCAGATAGACCTCACCACAATTCTTGAAGCTGCTACAATGAAGCTCAAGGTGTACAAAGGAACAATACCTACTTTTTTAATGTTGGAGCGAATGGACTCACTTACATGGCATTCATACTTCAAACGTATGTGGATTGTTCAAGTGAGTCTACAAGTCCGCCCGCAATTTCCAAGCTCGGCATTCACTAGAGAAGCTGCTCAGGTGTTCTGACGATCATGCAGGAAGTCGCACTGGCCAAACATGTTTCAGTATCATACCATGGATACGAATTCGAATGGAACTTCTTCAAGGAAGCCATGTTGATGAGAGCAATCATATTACTGGGAGCCAAAGGAGTGGCAATCCCTGCCACCTTGTTCGACGTTTTTGTCCTTCAGTTGATTGCAATGCGAGAGAACTTTCAAAGAAATTTTACTTCCCGACAATTCAACCTGCTGAACCTTCTGAACTTTACCCGAGTCTTCAGCGCTTCGAATCCGTTAGACAAGGTCTATGGGGTTTTTGGGTTGACTAATTCAAACCTAGAGGAAATGGACTTGCGGGCCGATTACACTCGGAGCGCTGAAGACCTTTATATTGATGTCGCTGCGAGGGTACTGAAAGAATCCCCCAATCTTGATATCATGTCAATCGCAGGTCACCCTCAAGCCAAAACCAGTATCAACAGCTGCCCACTCCCATCGTGGGTTCCCGATTGGCGCAACTCCCGGTATTACCCACGTCCGCTAGTTTTTCGCAAGCCTAGAGGCGTGTATGAACACTGGCCGTACAATGCCTCCAAGCATTCTGTGTACAACTTCAAAATTTTGCCCAGCAATCCCCGTAAAGAGTTACTGGTCCGTGGCTGTTTCCATGATCGGATTTCAGATTTGACTATGATAATGCATCCGGCATACAATAACAGGGATTGTATGGGCGTTGCAATGATGCGAATGAGATCTTCTCCCCAAAAGGCTTTACTCGAGGTGCTGCCGTTGTGGTCAACACTAGTTGCTCATGGAGTGAGACATCTGCTGGAGAAGAACAATATGCGAGCCTTTTTGAGAAGGGTTTCCAGCGAACGGAGTAATTACAGCCCTACAAACGAGCCAATCCAACTTGCTCAGATGCGGACTTTATGCTCTGGTTATGTGCCCTTCAATGAGGAAGTTTCTATGCGAACCTTCAAATACTGGCTGGAAACAAGTTGGGGGATAGAGCATGACATTCGATACGAATTGGAAGAGCTTGGTGTCGAGAGGGTTTATTCAGGCCCATGTGCGAGGCCTTGGTTTGGAAAAATGTGTTCCATGGTGCTTGGTCGAAGGTTGCTATGGACTGAACGGGAGTATCTCGGTCTTGCACCACCAGGCGCTAAAAAGGGTGACCATGTGGTAGTCCTTGAGGGCAGCCGTGTACCTTTCATTTTAAGAAACGTCGATGGGGGCTTTTGGAAGGTAATTGGTGAATGCTACGTTCACGGGATCATGTACGGCGAGGCATTTGATGCTCAAAAGTGCGAAGATATCATTCTTGTATAATGACGATGATGCAGTGAAAGTGCTTAAGGGTTCAAGAGAAAGTGAGTCAAAAGTCGAACCGTGTCAAATTTCTCATCTGGAACAAGTTAAATGCATAGGACATGCAAATTTGGAGACTTCTTCGTCAGGAATCCTGAAAAAATCTTCAAACGATCAAAAATACTTCATAAGTGCTCATTCCCATGAATGCTCTTATAATCGATGCGATTTTTACTATGGGATTATGACTGACAACTTCTTAAAAAGGCCCCTGCCATTATCAGCACTATGGCAGACAACACTCCTGAACCATCAGCAATGCCCATGGGGTAAGACAGCTAGTTTGCCTGGGCATGTAGCTAGTCAAGCCACTCACATCGACCTCACTCGCGGATTCGTTGATTTACCAGCGGGGACCTCGGGATTCACCACCAAACTGCACGCCCCCCTTTTCGCAGCTCTGTGGAAGGCTTTGCCCCCCCTCAGCCGTACCGACTCGGTATTTTTAGTCTGCAGATCGTGTCCGTTTTTCCGCTCTGCCTTGCAGAGCAAACATGCCCGGACAAACATGTGGAAGGATTCCAAAACATCATCTGGTCCACTGAAGAAAAACTGATATAAACATATTTTCTGACAGAATCAGATCTCATATCACAACAATCCAAGAGATCTCGAAATACTCCGCATCATGGCGCGCCCAAGGGATATAGCCGCGGTCGCATACACCCCTCTGACAGAGCCTGAGAACGCCCACGGCCCAACCGCAGAGGAACCCGCAGCCGTCAGACAGAAACGATCTGTATGGGCTCGTCTGGGAATATCCCGCATCTTGATTTTGAGTGTCGGCTCTATCATTCTCGCATTATTCATCCTACCTTTGGCCTGGCTTTGGGCCGAGTCCATGGCAGCGATGGCAGGCCAGCGACCAAGCAGCGCTTGGATTTCTGTCATCGAAGAAAATTGGATCACCCGAGTTGTCACTATATCTACTGCCATCCTAAGAGCGGTTGTTACAGCCCAAGCAAGTGTTGCGACCGTGATGTTTGCCGCCATCATTCTCGAGCGCATCGGAACGCCCCTGATAGACGTGCCCTTCTATTCCACTGCGCGGGCTCTCAACGGGAGCCCAACGAATTTGTTATGGAGTAAGAGTATGCCTCTTCACAAGAATGGCCTCTCAATTCTGGTTGTCTCCCTCATTCTCGTGGAAGTCGCCGTGACCTTGGCTGCTCAGTTTCTTTCCACCCTTCTCGTGTCGGACTTTGGGAATGGCACCTACAGCAAAGCGAGCAACACGACAAATGTCCGAATCCTGAGCCCTAAATCTAAGACTATGGCTCAATCGTGGTGGTCCATGCCCCCGCCAATGAGTTGGACATTTGTCGAGGAATCGGAGCCCTATTCAACGGGAATTAACTACGACGACACAAGCCACACATACCGCGCCTTCTTGCCGTTTTTAGAAAAGGACCAACGAACATCCTTGCGCAGTTTCCGAGGCCCAGTCCCAATTATGGATCAACGAGTTGTTTGTGTCCAACCTGCACTGCGTGACCTTCGTCTTGACGTGCTTAATGGAGGCTCACCGCGTCTCTCTGGACAGATTGCTATCGCCAATGACACATATCCGATGCTACAGCAGACGGAAACTCAGTCTTACATCCCGTTCATGTGCGCACTGCCCACTGTCTTCACTCTTGAGCCGCAAGGAGCGACGAGCCTATGTTGGGTTAACTCCGGTTATGACTGGGATGTTTTGGTGCAAGATGCCCTGGTGCGAGTCGGACCCATCACATCAAATGGCTCCCTGATTGTCGGGTATCCGCAGGCATCCACGATGTTCATGCTTCTGGATGTTGTTTCTCGAGCGGCTCTATGGACAGGCATGGTGCAAAACGTAAGCGTTGCCGGTGGAAACGAAACCGAGAGCAGTCCCTGGGTAATTGTCGGGGACGGTAGCAACAACCCTGCAGTCCGGGTGACTTCCTGCATGGCAAATCTTGGAATAGACACGTTTACCGCGGATATACACAGTGAGTGGGAAACATCAGAGCCGGAGATGTCCTGGAATCAACCCAAGAATAGCTACAACACATCAGCTACGCGATCTCAGCTGGGGGCAGTTCGCCCTCAACAATCGTTACATGATCGAGGTGTACTTGGTCTGTCCCCTCGTTCAAAATGGCGACCGATCTTTCCCGATGTCAAGATCGCTCATTTCGATGGGGAAAATGCGTCTGATGCAGAGGCATCCAACGCCTTGGATCGTGCCATAACCATCTGGACTTTCCCAATGGCTTTCGCCAACAGTTTGTCGGCCCCGCAAAGCAGGATCGTAATGCCCGTGCATCGTAATCAAACTCTTGACCCGGGCCTCATACTCTCTCGGTACACATCTATCGATCCATCCAACGCACACGAGATGTACAGGAATTTGTTTCAGGACACGCTTAACCAGACAAACAGCCCTGCCTTGGCCCTGCAGGCCGTTTTGATGCGTGTATGTCAGATGATATACTACGAGGATCTCCTGCGACTGAATGAGACCCAAGCTGCCGAAACAGCTTTCTCACATGCAGCAGTGATTCCAACCCGGTGGATGGGCTTTGGGGTGGGAATGGGACTTTTGGGCACCCACTTGGTTGTGATGGGTATTGTTTTAGGACTCTTTTTGCGATACACGCGTCATTCCCTGCTAGGGAACTACTGGCAGGCAGTTTCACAGATATACTCAGAAGAGACGAGTGCGGTCCTGGAGCAAGCAGATCAGATGGATGATGATGAGGTGGAATGTTGGATCAAACGCAAGATACCCGCAGCAGGGCTATTTGGTGTGGCGCTTGATAGTGATGGACGGGTGGCTCTGAGGGTTAAGCAACTGGATGGGCACACTGATTGACTGGTAACTAGAATCGGAATTCGAAGCTTATGGATTAAATTCCATGGATATCACCTCAAGGGCTTAGAGGGAACTCGATTTTCGAAATGTGTATTGACATATACCCGCGACCTCTTGGGACTTAACGGTGACCATGGCGATCAAAGTTTTGATCTAAAGAAGATGGGCCTCGTCCATGGATTCAACCGGCTGGGAGGGTCCTGGCAGAACTGATATTTTGCACCTGGGCGGCAGTACCCTGTGCATATATTAATCCCGGTATTCATGTCTGATTCCTAACTACAGACCCCGGATTTTCGGCCTTCGATTTCGGGCTGCGTTTCGAGGCCTAATGGATCTGAAGCATCTTGTTTGAACTCTCGATCTCGTTGTAAGAGAAGCATGTACCCATGAATTTCACCATCTCCGTGGCTAGATTGTTCAGTAACCATAGGGCTGTGCGAAAGTGTAAGAGGAACCTACGTGTTATCCGAGCGCTAGTGCGATCATTGTCATCTTCTCCATTGCGCCGCGTATATTCAAGGACAAGGTCGACTCGAGGCCGACGCAAGGACTGATACATGTCCAAGCGGGTTGGGATTTTGTCGCAGGAAGTCCCAAGAGGAAGTAAAGTCGCAATACTCACGGCATCCTCAATGGCCATTGCACCTCCCTGACCCATGTCTAAGATGAAATCAATACGCAAGTCAACGGTCCAACGGTGAATATATTCGGTACTCACATGGCTGGAATGGGTGAGCAGCATCTCCCACCAGGGCGGCATGCTGGTGAGTCCAGGTTGGAAGTCCTTCCATATCGTACAGGTCCCACACTTTAAGCTTGTCACCCGCGCTGTCGATGATTTTTCTTACGCCGGGTGAGAACTTTGAAAAGGCATGGGCGATACTGGCCTTGTCGCCAGTGACCTGCCGGTCTGGCTGACCTTCTGCTCGACTTTAGTTACACCCAGCAAAAAGCTTCATCGATATGACCTACCTTCACTCTGGGAAGAAGTGGTTGCCTCTGCCGATGGCATGAAAGCACAAAGATTGAATACCTTGTTATCAGAGCAAGGATACGCAACAACGCGTCTATCTTCTGCCGCCCATTCCACGAACACACCTGGATCGCGCACAATGTCTGCGGTGCTCTCATGCTGCTTCAGGTCTTCCGTTGGGATAAGCCACCGGAAGCATGACTTGCCGACTGGGTATGGTGCGGGGGCACCAGGGGCTATAGTCGACCGTATTTGAGACTGCCAGGGGTCAGCACGAGCGCAGCTGGCATGATATTCACTTCGACATGAGTTGAAAAACCTACATGCAGCCCATCCGCGCCGAGTAAAAGATCGGCTTCGAAGGTGCGACCGTCGGCTAAAGTGACAGAAGGGCGAGCTGTCTCAATGTCAACCTCAGCGATCCTGCAGCGGAGGTGTAGCGTCGCCGTCTCCAGTGCGCGTTGCTTGAGATGATTATGCAAGTCAACCCGGTGGACAAGGTACCACTCCTGTACTTCGATTAGATGTTTGCTGCAATCTCGCAGATCAGTCACCTCACTCACTGCCTGCCAATGATGCCGAATCTCGTCAAAGTTCTTGGTATACTCCAAACCCCCATCATATCCATAACGATTGAGCTTCCGATTTGTCAATCTCTCTTCTCATGCCGTTTCACTTTGATCACCGACCTGTCTCAACAAAGTACCTCCGAAATCGGTAGGGTCAATATCCATCCAACGAAGCAGTGCAGTGCAATTTGGGGGCAGGTGAATTGCCGCACCAGCTTCTTTCAAAAAGCCGGACTTCTCCAAAATCTACCGCGATCAATAAGTTGCTCATTGAAGCAGGAATATGACTCATACCACCACTCGGTGACCTTGCTTTCCAAGGGCAATCGCAGCGGAAAGACCGGCAATGCCGGCTCCGATGATGAGCACGTCGAGAGCTCCTGTTGCGGCAGTCATGGCGCAATATAATGTTTCTGTTCCAGAAGATGAAACCACGCTCAGAATGAGTCTTATATATCGCTTGGTTTCCGCGGTATGCTCGAATAGGTATCTCCGAATATTGGTCTCCGAGCCGCTGAGTAAGTGTATGTGGATGCCGATTGATGCGTTTCAAGGCTGTGAAGCTCTGATCTTTTCGATTTGCAGTTAAAGCGAACTGCCATTGGTGTTTCATACCTGAAACGGTTTAGAGTGGAGAGTGCAGCCGCTGTGAGTGAAGGCCGAAGGGCCGCGATTTTGGCCGACATGCCGATTGACACCTGGGTGCCTTGGTAATCAGGCTAACAAGGCCAACATTTTTACTTTCGGATTCTCCCGACGCGTTCTGTCAACAACATTTAAGCACCATTGTCGCCGAGGCGGATCTGGATTAGCGAATTTACACAAGGTCACTTCTCTCTAACCGGACGCAGAGCAATGATATTTATTAAACCGACTTCGTCGTTCGCGCGAATTTCAATAGTCGCCAGCGACCAACCACTCATATCGCGATAGATCTCTTGAGGAGGTCTGGGCGACCTCAAAATTGCGACCAAGTGCCTCCCTTTTCCTTTGCCAAGCCTAGCGATGCTACCGGAATAAACAACACTAGCCACTTTCGCCCTAGATCGGGGCCGGATGCTGAATCGGTGCCTGCCAAGCCCGTAGCGAGAGCAGTGGAAATTGCTCGCCTGGAAGCGAATGTCTTTAAGCCTCATTGCTTTGGACCTTATTGGGTTCATTCGGATTAGCGCTTCTCAGGTGGGTCGAAGCCTCTGGTAGGACATGTCCACCCAGAAGCCACCGACTGCGTTCAAAAGGGTCTCTGGACCCTTGCTCCAAATGTAGTCACAAACAAAAGCTCAATTCTCCTGCCTGTGGCTCTCGAGGCTTGCCAGAAAAATTGGAGAACTTCCATCTCGCGCCAATATCGACATCTCAGATATTAGCCATGACGACCGACTTAGATTTCGTTTCAGGTTTCACCTTTCAGAATTACGGCCCCCTGACGACGACATTCACCGCACCGTGGAGCTGCGACACTACTGATCGGGTCATATATGGCTGGGTCGATGATAATGGTCTGGATCTATATCACGGGGGCAGATCTCAGTGCACCAAATCCGAATTTGCCGAATGTTATCCGAGCGCGACAGCTGATGTGACAGCAACGACAAGTTATGATCGCACATGGTATAGATGGTCAGGTACTCAGGCTTATTATTCTCCGGGCCTATATTGCCCATCTGGGTGGGCGACTGTCGGAATCGCGGCGGTTAATGACAAAAAGGACATCTCGACGTCTGGAGTGTTGAGTTACTCAACCAGCACTCCGTACGAGACATTTGTCTACCCGCCAACTCTTTTGGCCAGTCTTCTAGAGCCAAGTCAGACCCTCGCGATATGCTGTCCAAGGTAAGCTTGCAGAATGCGTTTCTGGGGGTTTCTAACAGATTTCAGTTCCATGACCGCCGACATTTCAGGTGGGTGTTATAGCACAATCCCAGACCCCCAGCCTACCAGAGGCTGTAACGTCTGGGTAAGCTCACACGGAGAGTATGGGTCAACAGTTATGCCATACACCCAATACAATGGTGAAGTGACAGTCGGAGAAGTCGAGTTCCTCACAGGCACAAAGACTATAACGACAACCGACTTGTTGACCTACGATGGTGATTTCCAAGACTTCGTGACAGCCATATCCTATGTGTCCCAGGTGACACTCATTCACCACGAGTCCGATTTCCATCCCACTGCCACCACTGCTACTGGCACTCAAGGGACTGGAAGTGTGAGCGAAAGTCAACTCGGAGCATCTCATGCCGCACAGACCATCACTGCGGCCTCAACAGCTAATTCAGCGCGACGACTAGCTCGCACTTCATCCAAATGGGATGGGATCATTGCTGCATTCAGCGCCTGTGCTATTGGAATGACGCTCGGGGGTGTGATGATATTTTCTTCCTAATTTATAAGAAAACATAATTACTTCTTCCAAGGTTCCAGCTTGAGGAATGCAAGTCCCGTGGGTATTATCACTGTCATCCCGGTTTCATGCTCGGGACAACCACGCGAGACAAGATCTCAATTCTCAACGTTGTATTGCGTAAACTGTTATTTTGAGCCGAGCACCTTCCCAGGGCTTTAAGGAATGCATATTGCTGGCCAGGGTTTACTTTTTTTTGTCTACATAGGTCCTTTCCATATTTTAGCTGGTACATACGACCACAGGGTGTGGAGAACAGGGCTTCCCGTCCGCTCAGCCGTACTTAAGCCACACGCCGGTGAGTTAGTAGTTGGGTGGGTGACCACCAGCGAATCCTCACTGTTGTATGTTTTTGTTTTTTGTCCCTCACACATATTCACAATATAGTAGGATAGACATTAGAGTCTACAGGTATAATCAAATGTGGACAGAAAAGATTGACTAGCTCAGGAGAGAGAAAGAAGAACGGGAGCTATGTACACACAAACGGGGGTTGGGACAAACCACACCCCACAACAATAGGTAGTATGCAGTATATCTCTGGTACATGGACCAAAGGGATGGGATTTCCTTAACTAATCATCTCCTACGAGGTTGTCTGGAGCATGGTGCCACTATATTTTCTAAAGTTGAGAACCGGCCGATGACCTGCCGCCCACGGGTACTCCTGGATGATTCTTCCTCAAATTAAAGTTGATACATTATAGGATTTTGAGTGTTTACTGTCCACTATACGTCGGAATTCGAGCCAACTATGTGTGTCGGTAGCAATCCAAGATCAAATGTTGACTGTTGACTGGCTTAATCCATGAATGTGCCCTTGTGTCGAAGCTATTCCCATCCAAGATCTATAGATCAATGCAAAAGTCGACTTTTCTGTCCACAAATGGCTTTCCGCTCCTAATTCCAGAAGCATCGAGCTTGCAGAGCAAGTGTGGTAGCCAGTCGGCAGAAACTGCCGACAGTGGAATACTAGTTATGGTCAAATCCCTCCGGATAATGTGGAGATTTGAATCGGCGATGCCGGAGAATGTCTAAGAAAATCTCGATCGCGCGGGAGAGTGCTAAGCATTATGCGCGATGGTCGAATTTGCTTATCTTTTTTGCCGAAATAACTCCGACTGCGCCACACGAACTATCCATCGGGACTGTCCTTTTCAGGATCAATCTTCCGGATATTTCAGCTCTGTTTTCGTAGCATACGGATGGATCCAAATCTCAGTCAAATTTATCCGGAATAAAAGAAACAACGGATCCATGGCACCCTAAGGTCGCAGCTTGCGGTGCTCAGTGCATCATTAGTGACCAGGGCGTTTTCGATCGATTAAAAATGAGCGTATCACCTAGCATCCACTTTAGTTATTCAATGTGATCTTAAGGTTTTTTAGGCGTGCATTGACAGGCTCTTGTCACATCTCCACATACAACCACGTGTGCAAGATAACTCTGTGGCGTTCGTCTGAATCAATTGTTCCGTGCCGGCCCCGGTGGGTTCTATTCTGTCTTAACATCCGGCCAACTCATGCGGAAATACTCCGGAAAAAGATGTTCATTAGCAGGAACCGAGGTAGATCGATCAGAGGGTTAAATTTTATTTCCCCAAACTCCGGTACCGTGGGCCTGGAACATCCGGGATGTGATACTCCTCCAGTCACCGTATAGACTATATTGATTAATATCTCAGTGTCGCTTATTTATACCCCAGTGCTAGCAAAGAGACTTTGCCACAGTACACAATCACGGGATAGGGTACTGCGGCTTTTCAGGCCCTTCAGGGCTGCCGTGAACAGCGCTCCAGCGCCGGCCGAAGACTATATGAACTTCACGATTACCGATTTCTGACCTTTCTCTTTTTCTTCTTGATTTCTACCCCCCAACAAGGCATTTTGGGCATCCTATTCTATAGGATCTGTTCTATAGGATCCGTTCTATAGGATCGGTCTATCTTCTTTGAAAGCACGGTAGACGTCGCTCACTGCCTTGAAGGCTTTGAAGATGCGCGTGTGGTCTATCCTATCGCTCGCGGGCCTTTCCGCGGCTTCTGTGATCTCGAGCGTTGCAGTGCCGACGATCAAAGCTACCATCCCTACGACTACTGTGACAAGCTCTGTCACAACCACTGATAAGACATCGACTTCTTCAAGTGAGGACACCAAAGCGTTAGAAAATTCATTGTACTGACCTTTCTCCAGCCTCCAGCACCATCGTCACAGTAGCCACGGATAGCAGTGGCCAATTCACTGCTATAGGCGATGCAATTACCTATGCCCAAAGCCATGGAATTCCAACTGTGACTGTTCTTGCGGGTACATACACCCAGGCTGTCACTGTCTCCGCAACACCCACCGTCACCGTCATTGGACAAAGTGATGCATCGAACGACTACAGCCAGAACAAAGTCACTATCACCAATGCCGGTACAGTTCTCACTGTCAACAACAATGTGAAGCAAGTCAGCTTCAAAAATGTGAACTTTTTGAACACAGACTCGAACTCTGGTGCCATGGTGCTGAAGGGAAACAAATATGCCTTTTATGATTGCCAGATTGTGTCAACTGGAAGCTTGGGAGTAACCGCCAGTGTTGGCCTTGGGGTCATTGCAAACTCCTACATCGAAGCGCTTGACAAAATTATATATGGCGGCGCCAACATATATGTCTACAACACTGAGATTGTACCCGTTCACAGCTCTGCACTGCTTGCCTACATGAAGGGTACCACTCAAACCACCACTTCAACATTATACAACTCGACCATGGTATTTGACCACGTCACAGTGGCCGCGAAGTCTGGGTCATCAATAAGCAATGTGGCATTGGGTTCCGCCAACGGGCCTGGAATGGTTGTGGTCTGGCGCAACTCAGTTCTTGGCAGTTTGATCGCAGCCTCCGGTGCTCACATTGACTCCACCACCCAGGATGGATACAATTTAGTTACTGAGTACTCTAATACGGGCTCAGGCTCATATGCAAACAACGCCGGAACCCGAGCCACCTATGTGTCAAAACTTGACGCGTCGGATTTGTCTGGGTACAGCCTCAGTGCAGTCTTCGCCGCTGCTTACCCGAGTTACGCTTCCACAGATATCACTTGGGTGGACTCGTCAGTTTTGGCAGCCGTAGAGAGCGCCGACGTGATCAGCACCTCAACCTTGACATCGTCCAGCACTCTCTCCGGCACTTCCTCCATCCCGACCACTGTTGTTTCTGCTACTGCGACCACCACCGCCGCTACCGCAACATCTACATTTGTCGTCAACCCGACAGCCGGTCCATACATGAATATAACTGCTGCTATTGCCGCCTTGCCCAGTGATGGCAATGGGTACACTGTTTACGTCATGGCTGGCACGTACAACGAACAAATTTCTGTCACTCGGAAGGGAAAGACGATCCTTCGCGGTCAAACGGTCTTCGAGAATGATTACACCCAGAATACAGTCGCAGTATCTTACTCCAACGGTGTTCTGACGAGTGCCAACAAGGACGAGGAAACTCCAGTGGTCAATGCCAAGAACACTGACGGCAAGGGCCTGGCTATCTACAATATCAATTTCCAAAACACTTATCCCCAGACTGCCAACACTGCTGCCCTTGCTGCTGACTTTTACGGTACAGTGCAGTCATATGGATGCTCTTACATTGGTTACCAAGACACACTGCTCGCAAACAAAGGCACTCAGGTGTTTTCCAACTGTTACATCGAGGGCTCGATTGACTTCATTTGGGGTTTCTCCACAGCGTTCTTCCACAAGTCAGTCATCGCAACTAATACCGCTGGCTCTTGTATTGCTGCAATGAGCCGCTCTTCCTCCACCGCAACTGGAGGTTACGTTTTTGACAATTGCCTTGTCACATACACTTCGAGCTACGGCAGCACCTACCAGAACACATGGCTCGGCAGACCCTATTCCTCCTACAGTCGCGTTGTTTACATGAACTCATACCTCGATCAACATATTAACCCCATAGGATGGCATGTGTGGTCAACCAGCACTCCTCAAACAGACTACGTGACATTTGGAGAGTTCAACAACACAGGTCCTGGAAGCTGGTCTAGCAGCCGTGCATCATTCGCTACCAACCTGACTGCAACCCAAGCCGATGCATACACACTGTCAAACTGGGTTGGAGGCACCTCTTGGCTGGATATGGATGCCTACGCCTATGTTCCTTCCTACGACCTGACCGGTGGCAAGACTACAACAGCTACAGCCACTAGCTCTTCAGTTTCCACGACCTCCACTGCTGTCGCAACCGCCTCTGCGGTATGGGCTCACCCTTCAAGTGGAACTACTCCTCCAGCTGGAGCAGTTTTAGTCAGTGTGTCCGCATCTGTCAACGGGTCATATGGCAATCTCACAGATGCGCTGGCATCTCTCCCCAATGATGCAACTACTCAGATCATCTTCATGTATGCCGGAAGATATGAGGAGCAAGTGCCCACTATCAACCGAAAGGGCCCTGTGATGATCATTGGTTACACCACTGGAAATCCGGGCCAGAGCTATGCCGACAACGAAGTTACGATCACATTTGCGCGTGGACTTTCTGTCTCCCCTTTGCCAACAGGCCACTCCGACGCTGAAACAGCCACTGTTGCTACCGCGTCAACCAAAATCGCCTTCTACAATATTAACATCGTGAACTCGGATAACCTTGATGGCCGTGAATCTTCTTATGTCACACTTGCGGCATCTATCTACGGCAACCATGTTGCATTCTACGGTATGATCTATACGGCCTGCCCTGGTTTGGTACACTTTACTAACAATTCTCATATGTACAGGCGTCTATCTTCAAGGATGGCAAGATACCCTCCTGACTGGCAGTACGACAGGCTCTCAATATTATGAGTCCTCTTATATTGAGGGCGCGATTGATTTCATCTGGGGATACTCCAAGGCATACTTCAAAGGCTGTACAATTGGAGCGAAGAGAGCGAAGTCCGCAATCACGGCGCAGAGCCGAGCCTCATCTACCGCGATTGGCGGTTACATCTTCGATCAAACTTTGTTCACCGCAGCCGCTGATGCGACCGTTGATCTGAAGGGATCTGTCTACCTTGGTCGTCCCTATTCACAGTACGCCCTCGTCGTGATCAAGAACTCATATCTCACCGACGTGATCAATCCATCCGGTTGGAAAATTTGGTCGACCAGTGATCCTCGGACTGCTGCTGTCACCTTTGCTGAATTCAACAACACTGGCCCTGGTAATTGGGAGAACAATGAGGCTGCGCGTGAAGCATTCGGATACGCCACACTCCTGACAGAGGACACCTACTCCCTGGCAAGTGTCATGGACTCAACTGACTGGATTGATATGACATACTGGGATACCTTAGACACTCCTACTGCAGTCTCCCCAACAGCCACTGCGAATAGCACTGCTACTGCATCTGCATCTGCAACAGCGACAGTCGCATATGATGGAATCACTCCACCACCCGGTGCTTATATTGTGTCGAAGACCCTGTCCGGAACAAACACTACTGTCTACGACACAATCCAGAGTGCTCTTGATGCCATGCCAACATCGTCCAAAGTCACCCCCACGATTTTCATTTATCCCGGTACCTACGAAGAGCAACTGGTCATCGCCAAGTCTGGCTCTGTCATACTGATGGGTTACTCTGATTCGACTTACGACTACTCCAAAAACCAGGTAACCATTCAGTATAATCACGGTATTGATACGGGCGCAGATCAATCCAATTCTGACGGCGCAACCGTCTATGCTACTGGTAACTACTTCGAGGTAAGTGAGCTTTTGAAAATTGCATGAATCTTGGAGAGGCTAACAAAAGGCTAAGGCCATGAATATCAACTTCGTGAACAACAATGGGACTCAGAAAGACATTGCTACTCTTGGCTTTGCTGTCAAGTCAAGCAAATATGCCAGTCTTTACGGTACGTCCACTAACTACATCTCATCCCAGCTCAAAGTGAGAAATATATCTGACAAAAATTCAAACAGGTTGCCAAGTGAAAGGAAACCAAGATGCGCTTTTGATCAACGGTTACCTTTTCATGAGCAACGGATACGTCGAGGGTAACATTGACATGATTTGGGGAAGTGGCTCTGCTTATTTCTTGAACACCACCATCTCGCCAAATGAGGATGACATCAACATCACTGCTGATAAGCGAGCCACAAGTGCCTCCGTTGGAGGCTTCGTTTTTGATCAGTGCAAAGTTACTCCTTCCACTGGAGCTGGGTCTATGTCGAAGATCTCCCTCGGAAGGCCATGGAGCCAGTATGCTCGAGTCGCATACATTGACACCTATCTCGATTCCTCTGTTGAGGCTGCTGGGTGGGAGCAATGGTCCACGTCTAGCCCACAGACTTCCGGAGTTACATTTGCTGAGTACAGAAATTATGGACCGGGCTCTAGTACTTTGAAGCGCGCATCATTTGCCTCTCAGCTCAGTGACACCGATGTCATTCAGTTCGAGATTGCCAACTTCTTTGCAAGCACATCTTGGATTGATTTCAGCCATGTTGATGGCACTCCTTTCGTGCCTGGAACTGCTTCCACCACTACCACAGCTGCTGCTTCAAGCGTCGCCGTGACAAGCGCTGCATCTACAACAGCTAGCTCTTTGACTGTCGTATCTGTCTCTACACCCACTGTCACTACGACCATCGAGGTGGTCTCCACTTCGTTTACGACTGCCTTCATTACGGTCACTCCGACCGACAAAACTTCAACTGTCAAGTCCACCGTGGTTTTGACGATCAAACCTGACGAGGCCACAAAAACTACAACCATCAAGTCGACCACCACCAGTTTAGATGTTGTCACTGAACCAACAACGACATCCACAAAGACTGCATTTGTGACAGTGGATGTTGGTCAGACGATCACACTAAATCCAAAGACTGTCACGAAGACCGATAAGGCTACAACCACAGATACCTCCACTGTCACTGGCAAGGACACCACAAAGACAGTGAAAAGCACCGTGACCTCGACGTCTACTGTCACCGCCCGCGCCTCTACCGTCACCATCAAGGAGACTTCAACGACAACCAGCTTGAAAACAACCAGCGCGAAGGCAGGAAAGGTGACTGCTGTCACCACTATTACTGTGGGATCTGGAGGAACGACAACTGTTAGTGCCAAGGCCACCACCGAAATCGTGACTTCCACTTCTACCAAGTTCACCACCAAGACAGCGACAACAACATTGAGCTGCGATTCCACCGCTAAGCTGAGGAGGCGCGATATTTACCCCAGGGGAAACACTGCTACGATCACCGACTACGTCACTGAAATTGTCTACGTTACAAAGACCACGAGCACCACCATTCCCGTCGTCACAGACTACATCACCGACATCACGACCAAGACAACGCAGCTCAAAGCTTCGACCGTCACGGACACCATCACCTCCATTGCGACCAAGCTATCAACAAGCGTCATTCCCGTCGTCACCTCCCTCGTTACCGTGACTGACACAACCTCCGTTGGAAAGACCACCACACTGAAGCCTTCCACGGTCACCATCACAGTTGCATCCTTGGTTGACAAACACGCCACAGTGACTATGCCAGGCGAGACCGTCACAATTGTGAGTTTGAAAACAGCGACCGTGAAAAGTACTCTCAACCAGCCTGCCGCAACCACTACCAGTACTGTCATGACTACCGTCAAGAGTACCACCACCCTTCCTGCTTCAACGAGCACTATCTTCAAAACTTCGACTTTGACCAACAGTCCTTCGGTCACTATCACCAACCGCGCTACGTCTACCTCCACCAAGGTTGTCAAGACTACTTCGACGAGTACTGTCACTGTTATGAAGACTGCCAAGTGCTCTTGATTCTTCATCTTGGTGTTGCACCAGCTAGCCCTCGCGCTTCATTCCATTTCTGTAAACCATTCTTTCATTTTAATTCTCTGTTGTTCAATATTTTGACTTCTTTTCTCTTCTGTATAACTATTCCCTCCAATGCAAGAGGTTTCTTTTCAATGTGATACAATCGCTTCCCATCAGTCCTAGAGATCTTGCGACCCTTACGGCTCTACGCGATATTATTCTAGTTCTCTACGAAAAAGGGCCCGCAACTGGTGATGATATTCAAAATGGGCTCTCAGCCCGCCCGGTTTCAGAATTGATAAAAATAATCAAAAGGGCAAATGCCCCTCGGGCCTAAACAAACGAAGACAGGACCCCAAAAAAGCCCTTCCAAAAGACCTCAAAAAAAAACAATCCAAAAAAAAAAAAAACTAATACCGCCCTGGGAGGAGGGAGAGGGGGCAAAAAAGAGCCTCTAGAAGAAGTCTAGTTAGCATTCGAACAACAGCTCTTTGGGTCCTGATGTCAAGATCTGAGAAAGGCGACGGCTCACATAAATGGTATATAAATGATTGTCATATATTGTACCTATATTCTACAGGATCAGTCAATCTTCTGTCACATTACATACCTTGGTGAGGGATCATTCATCATGTTCCCTAGGCTGGCGTGGCCAGCGGCTTCACTCTGTCAGTATGGATTCGAAAGACCTTAGAGGAGACTTACCGATCGTATTGATTTTTTGCTATATAAAAAGCAAGTTTCAGCCCCAAAATGGCGGCAAACAACCAAAGGAGCTCTTTCTCCATGGCTCGTATGTTTTCGGGGTGTTCCCCCGCCTGCTTGATAAATTCAGCAGCCCAACTGGCCTCTTCCTTTGGAAGGGGCACAGGCAATGCTTCTATTCATAATATTAGCAAAATGTCATCTAAAGAGGGTTGGAGAGAGGGTTAGAGAGAGGGTTAGAGAGAGGGTTAGAGAGAGGGTTAGAGAGAGGGTTAGAGAGAGGGTTAGAGAGAGGATTAGAAAGAGGATTGGAGAGAGAGGTATAGATAGAGAGGCACAGAGAGAGGTACAGAGAGAGGTACAGAAGTTTGTTAGACAGCCACAAATGATAGCAGAGCAAACATACCTGTTTTGAATCTCCAGCGAGGAACAATTGCTGAACAAGTGGCGAATTGCCCATTGGATAGCGCCGAGCAGACCCAATCGCTCACATAGATAACCCACTTTTGATGGGGGAGTATCGAGTCAGTTTCATCCTAATGTGACCAGATCGGTCTGCAATTGGAAGGAGAGGAGTTGATCGGATATATCGGAGAGTAATAAATGCATGCGTGGGGACGGTTATCGCCTCTTGGCCTCCCGGGAAACGAATCTTCAACCCAAGCGCAGGGTATGCCTCGACGCAGTCTGGTCTTGCAGCAGTTGCAGCGCCTTTTAAAAACCAACGCAGATGTCCAAGTATTGACTTGAGCTGTTCTGGGTGTTCCCCGGCCTGTTTAATCAGTTCCGCCGCCCAGCTAATGTCCCAACGGATGATAGGCAGGGCCTCTATTTATGACGTTAGTAAACTGTCATCCAAAGAGGAATAGAAAGAGGAACAGAGAGAGGCACAGAGAGAGGCACAGAGAGAGGCACAGAGAGAGGCACAGAGAGAGGCACAGAGAGAGGCATAGAGAGAGACCAAACCATAGTGTTCAAAAGACAAGTGAATGATATACAAATCCAAAGCAGCAGGGTAACCTTTGAAGATATCACAAAACAGGCTCATTAGAGACAAAGAAGTATGATTACGTACCAGTTGTCTGACAGGCGATGAGAAATATGAAAAAAAAGGTAAAAGAACTTCAATTTGACTGATGCAAAATAATCGATGTGGGTGGTTTGAAGTAGAAAGAGTAGTGGAAAAGATGGTCGGGAGAGATGGATATCGCCTTTAATCTGTTAGCATAGACTCGACAGACATCAGAAGCTGAGACTTACCATTCGTATTAATTTATCACATGGTGCAAAAAAAGGCTTCAACAAAGGAAGATCTCCCAGCATGGACCTCATGTGCTTGGGGTGCTCCCTCGCTTGTTTGATGAGCTCTGCAGCCCAGCTGGTTTCACGGCATGCCAAAGGCAAGGCTTCTGTTGATAAGGTTAGCAGGCGTTATCAAAAAAGGCCAAATCATAGGACTCAGAAGAAAAGTGAACATATACAGCTCCACAGCGGCAGGGCAAGGCGTCGCAGAAACAAAGCTCAGTTGGGGACCCAGGCCTACATGTAACGTACCTACTGGCAAGGATGCCATAAAACAACCGATGAGAAGAAATGTGAAAAGAAGCCATTTTGTGATGGTGGTTATCGTAGTTGAAATATGTGCCCAGATGGTTTGATGAAAGAGTAAAGAAGTGAAAAGTGTTGAAACTTCGTTTGACTGTTGACAATTTAGTTAGGAAGTCACAGTCATGCAGTTGGAAGGTGCCAACGAGATGAATACGTCACCGAACAAAAAAAAAACATCAATTGACATGCCGAATTTTCAATGGCCTCATTTTTCGAAGGAAAATGCCCAGGCGTGTTTATGTTATTGGAGATAACTTCGTCGCACTCTTTTCAGACCCCAAGAGCACATCTTTGATCATACCCAACGGCTCCTCCAGCTCTCCCTATAGTTTTGGCACACATGAGAATCCTCGTATAAGAACCTTGTAATCTAATTCCATTTGCCAGCCTGGGTCTCGTGGTATTTGGCTAAAGAAAAGTAGTAAAGGTGGCATAGTTGGTCTGTATGACATATTTGATGAGACATATTTCAAGATCTATCAATAGTAAGCTCCGAGTTGTATGAAGCTGAGTAATAAAACATTGGAAGCTTTATGAAAGTCTGTGTTGAGGAAGAGGATAAATGGAGCACAACACTAAGAAGCCACATTCAAGTAACAGCACAGAAGAAGCGAACAGAGCGAGCAATGAGAATACCGGATTCGCGTTGAAAAATTCGAATCAGGGATCACAGTCCTTCTTCGGTGGGCATTTCTTCAGCTGATGAAGAACTTTCCAAAATCTGGGATGCCTGTTATAAGGCGGCAGGGGTGCAACTTCTTGAGAGTGACCAGATCTCGCGGCCGCGAGCAGGGTTGCTGGTTCATTCGGATGAAAGAACGAATTGATAATCTAGAAAAGAAAAGCTGAATTGTCACTCTTAAGTGCTTCCTCATACTGTTGATCCATCGGAGCCATCTTGTCCATATTGATGGTATATCCTTTTGTTTTCTCGCCACACGGACACGCCATCGAGCAATGTCCACTCATATGTTTTGTGGGCAGATAAGATAGTCGCTTTTCATAATATGCACAAGTTCGGGCACAGCATCCGCCCATCGCTACACACTCAGCTAGTAGCCTTGCTCCGAGATACCATCGAGGATCGTTTGTGATGGGGTGGTAGGTTTCCCCAAGAAGCAACGGCAACGCGCGTTCTTTGAGATTCAAAGTCCGTCCGCCCTAAACACAAGCCTGGTTGATTTCTGGGAGTTCTGCATCCCTCATTTCGCCGCCATGGATGCAAGAACTGATTTACTTGCCGTTGACTTCTTTGGCAGATTTTTGCATCAATCTGTCCCTAGGCTAAACTTGACATTAAAACTGCTGTTCGAAAACGAGAAGTTGAATCATAATACTGCTAGGGCAAGTATGCAGACGACCGTCGCAGTGATACTTAAGTCTCGATCGTAAGATGTGGTTCCGATGCCATTTCTGTAATTCTCGCAGAGAGTCTTCCGAGTATTTAGTGGGGGTATCTGTTGAATCCATAGCCGAGAGGAACAACGGTGGTTGCCTAGAAGACGCCTGGTGAACAGCCAAAAAGGATGGGAGTAGAAGTATCTCAAAACCACCAATATTCAGTACTTCCAAAAAGGGTGGCGGGTGCAAGCGAGGAAGGCACCGAAATCTGGAGCGGATTCCTGTCACACTTTATACGCCAGTAAACCGAGAGCAGCGAGTCCTAATTGTTTTGCGTCTTTGTCTTTGTTTTTGGAAACAACTCAGTATTCGGTCAGCCCCGAACCGAGTCATACACTACCACCTTAAATCAAGATGATTTCGAAATCATGAACAGCGACCGACTGTCTCATCCAAACACTGAGCATCGGAGGGAATATGAAATAAAAAGGAAAGGAAAAACACCCACCACCAAAAAACACGGGCAACTGGCTGATCATGGTTCCCGCAGACAGACAGCTTTGCTCCGAGGAGTCATCACGGGCTACAAGTATATCGGTGCTTTTGATAAAAATATCCTGCCCAAAGTTAGCACCCGGTATAGCATCGATCCACATTCGATTGAGAAAGCGGCTTTGAACCATGATTGCTTCAAGTCATTCGGAGCTATCCAAGGTCCTAGTGTGGAAAGGAATGTCAGAAGAGTGTGATGAGATGCCTGCTGATTGTCACCTCGTAAAATACGGTGGAAACGGGTTGATCTGATTCCCGCGGCGACTCTCTAACTGTATCTCGATCATGTCAAAGTTCTGATAACTCGACGTGTCCAAACTCCAGAAGATTAGAAAAGCGGGGCAATGTCTTACACAGACCCTTAGATTAAATGTAGTAAACTGCCGGGCTGCTGCCTGCGTTTACAGAATCCTGCGAGTATCGGCGGGGGACCTACGCTAGCGTGGTTTACTCCCCATCCCTGCCGGAGCACCGTTGGAACTCCGGCATGCTCAGACCACATGTATGCGGCCACTACCCGGGCGATGCTGTGGACGCCGCATGCGCCCGAGTGGGTGTACCTTGGAGTAAATGATTACGCTGAACTTTAGTTGTATGGCTTGGGTTCACGGTACATGGTACTGCACGGGGGATTGACCCTATTTGTGACTAGCGCTTAGAGATAGCCGAAGTGGCGTCGGAAATTAGCCCGACGTTGCATTGCGGAACTGAGTGGAGCTCGCTAAAGCTTAATTAAGTCAAGCTTCAAATACCAAGAACGTGGCCCGAGCTAAAATTGGGTCTCAGCGACGTTTCAGGGTCGCGTGACCAATTAAACACACCAACATTCGTCTACCATGAATTGGCAGGCCAATCATCTCATGCGCTTTTCATATCTTCGCAATAATAGTTCACCATCAGACTATCATTCTTGACCCACATTCATCTAATTGAGTCCGCTTTGACCGGTGCGGCAAACGCCGATGGACCAATCATGACCCGTACGTATGGGCACCCGATGTACGGGCTGATACCAAGGCGTTTGGTCAACGCCTCTATTGCTTGTTTTTCCCTGCAGGTTATTGCACCATGAACCCAATCACGCACTGGAGCTTGTTCAGGATTGAACCCGTGAAGGATATTACGTACCGTGGGGGCGAATAGCAGGCCTCCTGGGCCCCCTCGATCCTGCATTTTCAAGAACTGAAGTTGTACATGTGTTACAAGGGTAATACGAGCACTTATCCAGCGATGACCTAACGCAATTGACTACTCGTAAATAGATGAGATCCACCTGGGCAATACATTGTGGCTGCCTCGATTGGAACCAGCCGCTTCCCCGTCTCAACTGTTTTCTTTAATATAAGTATTCAGTCTTCACATTAAATTGGGAGTTCACCTGGTTAAGTCAGTTCACCTGGTTAAGTCTCTTCAAACTCAGTAGCCAGACTTGTTGACATCACCTACAATAATGTCTTCGCTTCCAGGGCCAATGGCCATCACGGCCCCCACAGAGCAGATTCGTGAGACGGTAGCATCTCCGGGAGAATTACGAAAGATGACAGAAGAGGGAGCTCATCCTGGCATTCGCCAACGTCAATGGGGTCTGGAAGCTCGCCTCGACCCTACTGTCACTTTCGAGGAATTCACTTACTGGGCCAAGATTGAACGAGAATTAGAGGACGAAGCGCGTCACCACCACAAAGTTGTTGAATCTGACGGAATCGCTGGGTACATCAAAAGCTACTTCACCAAGAATGCTTACGAGGACAAAAAGATCCATGAGTCGCGTGAGCTACAGCTTGGGGAAGAGTCCTCCAAATGGAACGAAAAGGAGGCAGCGGTAGCCTCCGACGCCAAAGGCACTCTTAGCCCCGTCGCACCCTCCGATTCCGATGCCGACTCTCTCGATGCCGAATGGCGAACTGCGGCCCGCGCTCTACGCAATGCTGGCTGGGGAGCTGTTTTCTATTTGATCACTACCGATATTTTGGGTTGGAGCCAGACGCCTTACGTCTTCGCCAACACCGGGTATGGGTTAGGTGTGGGCATTTTTGTTTTGATGGGCCTTGCTGCATTTGCATCTGGAATCATGATCTGGCGAACCTTCCTCGGCCTTGACTCGGCTCGGTACCCCGTCCTGAGCTTTGGTGATCCGTTCTTCCGTCTTTACGGTCCAAAGATGCGACACTTCATCAACTTCATGCAATCCTTGCAACAATTTTTGAGTGTTGCGGTCGTTCTCCTTGGAAATACTGGTATTATTGCCCAACTCGCCGGAAGCGTCAATTTGTGCTACGTTGTTTGTGGAATCATCTCCCTTGTTGTTGGCATGGCTAGTGGATACATGCGATCACTCAAACACCTGGGTTGGTTCTGTAACTTTTCGGTGTGGATCAACATTGTCACTTTCATCATCATGTGAGTTGGTCGTTCTAAAATTCTCATTGATACTCTCTGACCATTTCTTTAGTTGCGTCGCTGCGGCAAAACATGGACCTGACCCCACTGCTGCTGTCAACAACGGCATTTTGCCTAAAGAGTGGGCCTTCGAAGCTACGATGGCGCCGGTCAAGACATTCGTTAGCACCCCTCCTGCGGAATATCAGCCTACCGACACCAACCTCTTCGCTGCTCAATTCAACGGAATTAACAGCATGGTTTGTAAGTCAATGTCTGACCTGTTGACTGGAAAAATTTAGAAATACTAACCATCTTCCACCAGACGCGTACTCCGGTGCTGTTCTTTTCGTCGCCTTTTTGTCAGAAATGCGACGTCCTGCCGACTTTTGGAAGGGTTTACTTGCGGCACAGGCTTTCATTACAGTTGTCTACATCTTCTTCGGTGCCCTTGTAAGCTATTCAGCGACCATCAAATGAGATCAAAAAACTGACCCACTCAAAGATTTACAATTACTACGGACAGTACGGCTACAGCAACGTCAATCAATCTGTCAACCCTCAAAATCTTCAGGTTGTTGGCAATGTGCTTTCTCTTTTGACCGGCTGGCTTGCCGTCTGTAAGAAATACACCCTAATGAATCCAACTTTGACAGTGAACTGACCAAGACCAACAGTTCTATATTTCAACGTCGGTATGAAAACCATTTACATCGAAGTCGGCCAAGAAATCTTCAACCTTCCCCCGATCGCGTCGAAGAGAGGCAAGTTCTGCTGGTGGGGCCTCGGTCCAGTCTACTGGATTATTGCCTTCGTTGTGTCTATGTCCGTTCCAGAATTCAGTGCCTTCACCAATTTCGTGGGAGGACTATTCAGTTTGAACTTCACATACTCCTTTTCTGGGGTCATGTATCTGGCTTACAAGATCCAAGACGGTGCCAGACTTCCGGGCGAAGGCTTTGATCCCGCTACTGGACAGACCGTCCGACTTGATTCCGGTGTGAAGAGGTGGGCTCGAGGCTTTTTCAAAACCTGGTACCTCAGCGTGCCTGTTCTCATCTTCACTGGGTGTGGTCTTGCTACATCTGGTATGGGTACGTGGGCTGCTGTGTCTGCGCTCGAAGCAGCTTTTGGTCCGGGTGGCTCAGTTGTCACCTCTTGGACTTGTGTGAACCCGTATTACAGCGGATAGAGGTGACGTGGGTTGATAAATCGTCCTTCAATATTTACTTGGAGAGCGCTCTGCAATTTTATATTTCACATTTGATCTTGGGAACGACTGTTTCGTCGATCAGAACACAGCTTCAGAAGGAAACTTTCTAAAGTCGCAAGTTCACATAATCAGATAGAACCAAGATGATCAGAATCTATATTCATCTTCACAACTTTAAAAAAGCTCTGCTATTCGACTTCTTCCCAAGCTAAATCACTTTCTTCCGACATACCCGGTCCCACCTGGGCACTAATTTCAGAATATACGGCAAAAGAAGCAGCGGACGGAAGTCTGTCGTTTCTCGGTTCTGGCCTGTCCCGGGTAGAGAGATGGGGATATGTAAGTATTACTATTACTAGACTATATCCTCAATATTTTTGAATATCAGGTGATTATATCATGTGACTTTAGCTCCGAGAGAACCCGAATTCTTGGCGTAATGTGCACGGAGTGATGTGCGCATATTAAGACCCCGCACATTCCGACAGAGCTTCCCCTTAGCAAATCTGGTTGGCCTTAGCTGGCCTTGGCATGGACACCCTTAGCGTATAACAAAGCAAATACGCAGGGACCCAGACCTCGAAAACTTGCCCTCTCACATCATTTTGCCTCACAAAATCACCAAATCCGATTGAAAACACTTGCATCCACTACGCCCTACCCTAAACCAGTCGCGAATATGGATGAACTCCATGGCAGACTTTCTACTTTTCCCAACTGGGGATATGTCATTTATCGCACGACCTACTCTGCCGAATCGAATGCGCTTTTCCCAGACATTATCAGCTTCATCGAGGCCTGTATTAAAAAGCAGTTGGTGAGCACTGGCGCTGATCGTC